GTTTTCACATGCACTTTTGTGTTTTTCCCAACAAGCTTTTGGCAAACAGCTGTATGTAACCATTTGTGGAAGTTTAAATCTGCTAAATTGCCTGTGAAACTAGACTAATTGGAAATGAAGGATGTAACAGTACACTTACTTGTCATATATAATCATAGCATCACTCAGAGCATGCTGTGCACTGTACTGGTTGATTTGGATTTGGGATTCTAAGTGAGACTGAAAATTATCTGCTGTTAGCCAGAACTCCAGCATATGTTGAGTTCCTTCTTGTTCTAGATACTGAAAAGGAAATAAAAACTTGGTTGACTATCATTTCTTTTAGGCCTTCTACTTTCAAATTTGTTGACAACCTAAATCACATCACAATAAATTTACAAAAAGTACTGACCTCCATAAAATAAAACATGGCATTTTGATTGTACAAAATGTCTGAGAGAAACACTTTTCCACTTGTTAAGATATCAATTTGATGCTTACAATAAAAAGGACTGGCAAGAAAAGCAGGGAAGTACCTATAAAAAAAAGACACAAACAACAAGATCACTATGATTACTGGTAACAGGACTAAGGAGTCCAATTTGGTCTCTAATCATATGAGTGATTAACAAAATTGGATGAATGTGAAGTGAGAGTCTGATTTGTTAATCACAAGTAAGATTACAGACAGAATTGGAGGACACAAAGTCCTGTCACCAATTAATTAAGACTATGACAAAATTTCAGAGAGAAACAAGACATCAGTTATATGTTTTCACAAAAAAAGAAACAAAAGTTATCAGGGAAATATGCAAGACAACAGCATGTGCATGTGATGCCTTCTGTCCACTTACACACATGACGGATTAACTGTTCCTTTAACTGTCCCATCACATTGTCCAATGACAAGCATGATATGTACACTGTCCTATTAGTGCTCAAATCAGGCTGGTGTTAACCAATCACATTCAAGAATGTTATTAAAGTTTTGATTAATACCCCAATATCATGATTGAATTGGATTGTGACTTGATTAGATGGTGAAAGGAAAAATGAAATACTGCATTCTTCTTAATGATATCTTCAACAAAATGGTAAAATTGCAACAATGAAAGCAAAGCTTCAGAAATAGTTGCATTCACAAGGCCTTATTACAATCCTAAATACTTTCAATCAAGGCTTAGCATATCACATTAACACTTCTTTAGCAATGTTAGCGATATTGATATAAAACATGGTTGTATAAAAGACACCAAGAATGAAAACTTACATTCTTTCCATAACATCAAATGCAAACTTTTGAGCTGGTTGAAAGGAATCTGAAGAAATCTTTCCATCTTCACTGCAGATATTAACTGTTTGTATGCGACAAAATAGAATTACAACCTTTTCAGGAATTATAAATCCTATTTAAAAATTAGATAGAAAATAAAAGTCATACGACTCACTTTCAATCTGTCTTCGAATTGACTCCTCCAACCCTAATGGATTTGATGCTTCAAGTGAAATGTACTTGCTATAAATACTAATAGCATCTATGACAATACTTCGTGTTCTTCTTCGACGAAAACTATGTTCTCCATCCTCAAAGTCTGGTGTTAAATCAAATGTAACTTTAGATGTTCGCACTCCATCTTTCGTCTTTAAAGAACCTTGATTGTTGACCAGTGACTGATTACTACAGTCTGGTTGATTAATACCATTTTCTAAACTACTATTCATAATTGTCTGTTGCTCATTAGAGCCAAAGGATTCATTAGATCCGACAGCACAATTGCTGGTTTGTTTGTAATCAAAGTTATGTCCACAGTGATTACATACATCCTTCTTTGACAAGGAAAGGTTGATCAAATGTCCACAGTTTTTGCACAACAACAAACTATCACTAGCATCCTTTGAAATGGAATGAACAGCTGAGAATGGTTCTGGCCTATAACCAGTGAAGTCACCAAATCCATCATCCTCCACAGAGCGCAATTGATCTGTTGTCCCACTTGAAATGTAAGCACCATCTACTGAATTTTTTAGAGTATATAACTGAGAAGAATCAGATGTGCCGTCACTAGTATCTCCGATGGCATTAACACATTCCCCTTTTGAAGACTTTAACTGTGACATAGTATTTATTCTCAAACGATTTATAGTTGATAATTTGAATGTCTCTACAGTAAGCCAGAAGTTTAACAAATTTGTGGCATTTTGCTTTTGCATGTATTCCATGAAATAAGGTAAAACACTGTCATCCATGAGCACTTCCACTAGAGTCTTGGACAACTGTGACCTTCTTCGAAATGTCGCCACACACTGGAATTAAAAAAAGCAATATTTAGTGTTATCCACAAGTTGTATACCCCTAATTAAATTTCCCAAATTATCCTTTCTGTAATTCAGAGGCACAAACCTGCCCTTTTCAAAACCTCAACAGTGCATTTCATCTTTTTCTTTGTAACAAAGCTAAACCCTTTAACTCCTAGGAGTGACCACGACAGAATTTCTCCTTACAAATCAGTACAATATTAAGCAGAAAAGTGATGAGAATAAAGAAAATATCAAGAAGGGAGATTATCAATTGGTCCAATACCAAATTAAAAAAAATTTTTTTGCCGAGCCAATTTCACACTGCTCTGACCTATGATCATTTCCACATCAAAACCTACTAGGCTTGCCCCCCTGAAAAAAAAATTGTTCTTTCAGGGAGATCCCCCTGCCCCCAACTTCTACATGCACAACAACCTCCTCCAAATCACATTAAAGTGCAGTGGAAAAATATATTCCAATGTAATACCTTGGCAGACTTCTTCTTTGAAATGCTTGCCAGCAACTTCCTGCATTCTTGAACTATAGAGAGAATAGAGCAAAGAGAGTGCAGTTAAGGAATTTGCCAACTATCTACTATATAAATTATTGGGCCAATTGTCAAATTAAACAAATGCCACTACAAAGTGCAAGCAATTTGACTTTGGATGCCACCACTACAAATATTTAAGATCTTAAGCAAACTCTGATGGTAACTGCAAAGAGAAAATGGCAAAACAAAAGATCTTGTGGGAAGAACAATAGCTCAGCACAGATGGTACATTTTAAAACTTTGCATATTTCTTTGACCGCCTCTGCATAAGAAGACTGTAAAATCACAAAATTTTCCATTTTTTGAGGACAGAAAACCATTTTCCATTTTGAACTTGATGCTACACATACATGTTATGCTTTAAGTTCCAAGGTATGGTGATGTAGGATTTTTTTTTATGATAACCAGTGCAGCAGCTGTCGGAAAACCACAAGTTGAGGTTTGTGTTTAGAGTCAGATTAATAAGCAGCATTCAAAAGGAAAGACACCATGGTCAAATTTGTAGCAATTTTTGACTGGATAGGTTACAGGGAAGAAAGAATAATATAACCTCTGGAAGCAATTATTGTTCTTTGCTACAGTTTACAACACTTACTCCCGATCAAGTTATTTCTTCCATCTCTGGTTTCAACTGGTGCAACTGGCTGCTTATTTTTTCCTTTACTTTTTCCAGGTTTAGAGTTCTTCCCTTTTGCCTGCTTATCTGAAAAATTAAAAAACAAAGATTATACATTACACTTAATCTCTCCAAAAAATGGAACATCTTAAAATAACCTGCCTAACCCTAACACTCACATCTAAAATACCTATCAGAAAAAGCATTCAAAACACTGCTTCATGATCACGCATTCCCAGGTCAAAATGTGGTAAGAACAAAAAAATAGCACATAATGAACAGCCAAGTGTGTCAATGATGTTCTCACCACAATTGACATCTTCAGTGATCTATGACTTAAAAAACCCATGGTGACATAGAAACAATCAAAACTTTTGTAAAATTCAGCTTATAATATAATTGAAAACTTAAAACATGTCCACATTCCACATAATAATTACCAATGATTTATTGTAATTATTGCCATGATTTGATGAATAAGACTTTGGAATAAACACCATCATTGATTACATATAGCTACAAAATGCCCTAAAACTTTAATTGAGGCTGCAGTATTTAACCTAGTAAATTATATATTGGCGCGATGAATTCAGCTTTTTAGAGGACATCAGCAGAACTAGGACAAAATGTGGACTGTGTTACCCCAATCTGACAACTGACAATTTTCATTAGAATTTCATTCCTTGACTTTTAAATTGCATAATAATTTCTTCTTTCAAGTAATCATCAGAAATCCTCGTTCATAAATGCAACATTAAGATCAATACGCAAAATGTCTGAGAATTAATTTTTATTGCTAATTAATCTTAATCCAAAATCTACAGCGCAAGGTACGTAGTTCACGATAATACAAGCTGCTTAATGAAATAAGATACATGTTTGTGAAAAATTTCTCAAAATTTTTTATATACCATACTGAATGCTACAGCGAAGAGAAAAATAGCAGTAGAGGATGAAAAAACAGCTGACTGTATATAGTACGAAAGACAACGTGCTCTGGTTTGTACTCTGTCAACTTAATATGTACAGTACACGCTGAGTACTCGCTATGTTAAAACAACCTCCTTTGCAAACTTTGTTCACACAGCCACTTCAAAAATCATATTTACGACAAGACGTGAATGTGTGAGAAAATATTGAAACACAAGGAACGTTTAAATTTCACTTGCAAAGGCTTCCGTTTTGAACAGGGTAGGCTAGCCGCGGAGTAGATGCTTACCTTTGGCTGAAGGTTTCCTCGAAAATCGCAGCATTCGAGCAACGAATTACCTTCTATATCCTTGGAAAAGTATATGCGACCTCCAGCGCTGAGTACAAGGCTGTCTCCAAAAAAGAAAACATTCCGAAAAGCGACGATTTCCGTGTAACTATTCCGAAGTTACAGACATGTCTGCTCTGAGCATTTTCAATATATTGCATTAACAAGATAAACAGCTGACCATACCTCAGGAATGCAGGCGTATAGAGGTAACGTGACGTTTGATGACGCATCATTGGAGCGTAAAAGAATATGCGAGAGGTCTGGGAGAGGCGGTAAGGAATAATGAGAAAGAAGTGGCAGGCAGGGAGATGACTTCCTTTGTAGCGGAACAAAGGGCTGGTGGCGGGAACCCCTTTGATCAGAAATTAGCGCTACTCAGAGCGGAAATCCGTTCATTTCAGCTCCAATCAATCTAGATTGTTTTTTGATGAAAGTATGTACAGGAGATGAGTGTTTTGTACACGCCTCGAATGAATGAGATTGCTGTGCAAAAATTCTAATTGACAGGATATTAGTGACTGGGGACTGCTGACAACGATTGTTGTCCTCTAAATTTGCAAGTCTTGGCTGTCATCTGCTTTCAAATAGGAGGGTTGTGAAGGTGAGTTAAGACTTTAAGCTTCTTTGTTTATTTTTAGAACTGGCAAGTGTCGCGATTCGAGTATTTTATAGTTAATACCGTGTTGCAAGGGCCATTGTTTAATGTCTTGGTAGTTTACATACACAGTCGCTAAATTAAGATGTTTAGGAAGAGCTCAAGTGCAGATTTCTTGGTACGAAATTGTGGTTGCTTTACTCTTAATTAAATGTGTAACTTTTTGAGAGGCAAATTTAGCTTCAAGTTGTTTTTAAGTTGCGATCTTTCATGCGTGCAATGCGTTTCTCTTATAGTTTTCATGTTCGTTGCGTTTCAATTGGAACCAGACGCTCAAGAGTAATCTACGTAAATAAACAGTGGCTTCCTGCAGAATGGTGTTTATTGCGATTAATATAGTCCAATTTGTTTTCACTCGAAGGTCTTTGCCTCTAAATGCTTTTCACGCTTTGTCAGTTTGCTTTTTATGGAAGAGGATATGTCATAATTGTTCCCTTGCTTTGTCTGTTTTTCGCATTCTTTTTTTCTTTCAATCTGCGTTGTTCGCACAAGGTCCATCAAAGTTTTGAACATGATCAATTGATCATAACTTCACCTGTCGTGAATAAACTTTCGGAGACAATCGATCTTGTTTACCTTTGCTTCCCAAAGGATCACCAGAACCTTTTGTGCGACAGCTTGCTTCTAAATTTACATAATGTGGCGGTAATGTTTATTGTGGATCCTGTTGACCATATGTTCCTCGTAGATCGAGTAATTCGTATAGTACAAGGATTTACGTCCTACGAAATATGTGTAATGTAGGCAGAGAAATTTAGTATAATCTATCAAAACATTGTCCTCTCCTAAGGAGACAAACTGATCATTCCCTTGAGAGCCGATTTAATATCGCAGTTAGCGTCATGATTACGTGAACATAAAACATGAAAACACCATGCGAACATCCCGGAAACTTCAGCTTCCTGTTGATTATTAGTTTCGTAATAGGTAATTCATAGTATCAGATGGCTAATATATAGTTCTAATATGTTTGTTTTTGTTTTTGTTTTTTTTTGCTTAAAGGCAGAAATGTCAGCAATTTCAGTGTTATGGACAGTTTTGTCTCTAGTTCTACTGTTCACTTGTACCTTGGCATTATTTTCTCCGTTTTGGCATGAACACCTTCCTGATCCTTTGTCAACAAACAACAGTGAGTCCTTTACAGCATTTGGTCTTCTACGATTCTGCTTCCAGGAGCAATTTGTGACTTTACAAGAGATAGATGCTTGGAGATCCTCAAAATATTGCTCTTTTTATGAGAATATTTTCTCTGGAATCCCTTCTATTTACTGGAAGGGTGCTGCTAGTACCTATGCACTTGCACTGGTTCTGTTGTTGGGTGCACTTTTCCTTGCACATGTAGCATGCTGCCAAAGATTTATTTGTGGAAAGTCTGTCTTTGCCATTGCTGGAGTTATGCAGAGCATTGCAGGTAATTACGATATGTGGATGAAATAGTTCCATATATTTTTTTATGGGAAAATGAACTACAGGAATCATTATGCTCAGTCTTGATTTTTCAGTTTTCTTTTTTGGTGTTTCAGTTTCAGAAATTGCGACTGTTTTTTCTGGTTACGGATATTGGGTGGGAAGGCTAAAACTAGGAGAATTTACTCGCACTCAAATTGCAGGCTAGACAGGTCAACTAATACTGACAGATTAAAATGGCATTGTTAATCAGAGCTGTTGTTTATGAGCCAGAATTAGATCAGTCAGGTCATAAGCTGAAAGCAAAATTTTACACAGTTCAAGCCAAACGAGAGCCCTACACTTTTGTAACCCACAGAAGTCTATAAGCAGATCCAGATCTAAGGAGGCAAATGTTTTGACTTTGTCATACTATTAATCACTAAGGAAGCTTTCTAAGCATGAAAGCTAGTTTTAATGTTGTTAGAACTGTATTTGAACCGTCAAATGCTCATCATCAGGTTGGAAATGCACTCTGGTAAAAATAACTTCTTCTCAAATTCAAAGCAGACTTTACTTGATAGAGGTTAAAGTTTTCATGTTTAAATCAGAAACTTAAGAAAAGGTTGGTGGGCACAGAATTTTTTTTTAAGATTTATGACCCATGGTTCACCAAGATCTATGGGTGTTTAATATATATAATAAAGAAATATAATAAATACTATACTTTTGTGTTTTGCAGTGGCTCTTTTGGTAGTCAGTCTGCTGGTGTACCCATTTGGTTTCAAATCCACTTATGTTCAGCAGCACTGTGGTAGCTCAAGTGGTTTTTTTACATCTGGGGCTTGTGACATTGCCTGGGGTTATGTACTAGCTATTGTGAGCACAGCATTGCTTTTTTTCTGTCCAATGATTGCCTACCATCTCTCAGTGGCAAGACCAAGGTCAAAGGCAACCGTGGTATAAACAGTTTCACAATGGTCTTCTTTCATATTGATGAAGAACTTCAGTAGAAAAAAAGACAAGATCAATTAATTGCAAGCCCACTAGTAAATTACTAAAATGGCTGATAGTTTTTTTTTTTTTTCCAATATTGAATGTCAAAAGGTCATAGTACCGGTAGTTGGTTCAGATCAGATTTTAATCAAATTAGGCTCATTTATATAATTATACAATATATAGTATGCTTTGAAATAATTAAAACATAGTAAATAATGTTCATACATGGCTGGCTCCATGAGTGGGTGAGATGAAGGAATCCTGTGTCCTAATTGGCCACCAGAGCCAATCAGGATTATGTAGTCTGATTCTTAGAATAGAGAAAAAAACTCGGCATATTTTACAATAACTAAGCCTCTTTTGTTTGTTTTCACTATTTTTTGTGTTATTATGGTCCTTGACTCCGTCCAGGTCCCTGATGAAGCTTTGAAAGAACTTAGCCAATATTAGTTCAAGTATGGATTGGTATTCATTTAAAGCAGTAAAGCAGTATTTTCAGCATGTACCATAGAGATTATAAACAAAGAGCATCTTTGGCAACAAATGGTTAAATGAATACATGACTAATTTTAGCAGACCATAAGATGCTATGCCTCAGTTAGAACCTAAGTTATTTGCCTCTTCTATTTCTTTTTTTTTTTTTTTTAATTAAGTAAGGTTTTATATACTTTTTTATTCTACTGAGAATCCTTGAATGGTCCTAGATTTTCTCTTTGCTATGAAACTCTTAACCAGGTGAACAAAGTTTTATCTAATTGTATCTTGTCCACCCAGAGTAACTGTGTTAAATTTGAAAAAAAATGATTGTATCCAAGTGAATTTTCCCATGGAGTTGGTAGATCTGTTATATATCTTACAGAGGAGTGTATAAAATTTTACATTTATAAAAACAAATGAAGGATTTAAGATTTGCTCAAGTGATGATGAAAATGGAATATTTAGCTGTTGTGAACACAGGCAAGAAGTACTAGATTTTTTTCAGTTATTCAACGAGTTGCCTTGGAAAACAAATACTATATTTCCCTTTATATGTGACATATGCAAGGAAAAAATGAAATTTTATGGTTGCAGAACATTATTCAACAGAGTCTCTGTGCACCTGCTTGAAAAATTTTGAAAACAAAACTTTAGTTAATGATATGAGTTCTATCATATATTGAGTGACTATGGCAAGTCATATACTGGTAACTTATGTACTGGAGACAGAGCAAAATTTTTTGCACATGATAATGAGTAAAATATACCCTATTCAACACATTAAAATACATTTTGCACATTTAATTTTGCACATCAAGAGTATTAATTAGAATGGTATAATTATTAGAAATCTAATAAATAAAAAATACATTTCTACTGGCTTTTGTGGTTTACCTCAGTGTCAGTGAAAGAGATAGATGTTTAAAAATATAATGATGAAGAGGCTGAGACAAGATGAAGTACAAAATATTTCCTTGAAATTTCACTTTTGCCCAAATTCTCTCGAAGATGTAAATACAAGGTGAAATTCCGATTTCCCTTGACCCTGAAGAAATTTATTTTTCCTTGACTTTTTCCTGACCGTTGGCAACCATGGAGTGTGAATCAGCTGATTTTTGGAAACTTGGAACTCTAAGGAATACTTCCAAGGTACTTTGAGTAATGACTAAAAGATATTAGTTCGCCAATAGAGAATAGAAAAGCAATGATGAAGCTGGAAGGAACATGGATGGCTGAAGATGGAAAATAATAAAACAGATTGAAAACATAAACGAACTTGAAAAATCGAGGTCAAATTTTCACACAAACCGAAGCGTAGCTCCTGTCGTAAGGGGAAGCAAAAAATAGAAAGACAGAACCCTGGAGCAAGAAACTCAGCTCGAGACAAAAGAGGAAAAGACCCAGGCAACAGACGTAAGTTTATCAGTCAAATTGTCATGTGTTACACTCTTTGAATAAAGTTGTTACTTATTTACTTGTTGTAATAACAACACTTATCTTGCCATACTTATTTCGCCCTTTCTAGTTCCTGCTGGTTCTTGTCATCTGATCAATTTTGACCAACTACTTTCATTCCTCTCCTGGAGAGCAAGGGAATTGAAAATAAGATTGAATTATGCATTACAGCTTAACCCCCACAGAAATATAGCGCGACTTTCCTCTTTCAATTCAAGGAAGAAACTCTGCAATGCGTTGTTCTGTTGAAAAGTGGAGCGGGCTTGACCGTCCTGAGATGAGCGCAGGCCTAATATATCAGGTTTCTGGTTTCAATTTTGATAACACATTGCTCAAGGTTTGTCACTCTTTTTAAAGACGATTTGGATATTTTGCAGTTATTTTGTTCACAGTTTAACTGTACAAGGCTCAGACACTCGCCAAACTTTTCAAGTGCAGAAATTACATGCGTGGCTTTGCGCGCGCCGCGTCGATTGTGTTTTTGGCGCGAAATCTGTCGGAAGTGCTTCTAGGTTCGTGTTCCTGCCTGAGTTGGCTATTTGAAAGAAATGATAATAGACCTTTTTGTTTTTTAAATATAATCTCTGAGACTGATTTTGTTCTATTGATTGAAATTGTCTTTATTTCTTAAGAACTTTATGCGAACGCACGATGAACGATAAAAAAAAGCAAGTGAAGAACACCCCGCTAGCAATATTTCAGGAATATTTCCATTGAAGTCTCGCTTCTTAAAAGTTACCTTGTTCTCTATTTCATGACCCTTCAAAGCAATGAGGCACGTATAACCGGAGAGGTTAAGAAATGGCCAGGTATTCAGCCATTAACCATTTATTAAACCAAAATAAAATGATCTCTTTAACCGAACTTTTAGAACCCACGACGAAATCCTAATCTACATGTCCACCACGGTTTGACCACCCGAAAAAAAATGCGCCGTGGGGCCGAGGTGATTTGTCAGGAAAATTTTGGCGCGGAATAGTTGCAAGTTGAAGGAGTCTGGACACGGGACTTGTTACAAAATGGCGGCCCGTTCAACTGTGGGTGATTCACCCTTTGTGTTTCGAATTTCACACGACGAACTGGTGGCCTATGCTGACGAACTAGACAGAAAAAACGAAAAAAAGAATTCAAAAAAGATAAATCACGGAAAATATGAAGAAAAGGATTCCAAACCGAAGAAATTCGATAGGAAAACTGACGTCAGCAAGAATGCTTCTCACTCCAAAGCCGAAATGGAAGAAAGTTTTGGGGGAAAAGAAACCAAGTTTAATCACGAAAAGGATAGCGAGGGTCTCAAGAAAACAAAAACTGAAAAAAGGAAAGATAAAAGAAAATCGCCATCGTCCAAATCTCGGCATAATTCCTCCTCAAACACAGAGGATGATGTCGATCCAAAGGAGAAATGTCCGGTTACTAATAGCGACCAAATTGGAGTGAATGAAACAGGAAAGGCTACGAGAAAGCGTCGTGGAAATGTAGGCAAAGCAACCAAAGCTGAGGATGAAAAAGACATTGAAAAATATGAACTAGATCTGAGAGCTCGCACTGGTGGTGTTTTGAAGCTTTCTAAAGAACCTTCTTATGCTGCAGAGGATTCGCTTAAGGATGAAAAACCAAGGGGAATAATTAAGTTGCCCGAAGGTTTCCATATTAATAGTCACAATGCAAGTGAAGAGGAAGGTTTCACATCTGATATACCTCCCCGCAAGAGAACTTCAAGCATGAATGATGGCAGTTGCAGAAGCAGTGGCCTTCATGGTCCTGCTCATACAGAGAAATCAGTGTCTCCAAATAAAGAAGTTCGGTTTAGTGCAGTAAATGAAAAGATTACAGTACCTCTAAAAAAGCATAGCACAGGCACAGGACAATCTGGAGACAAACATGCTGAAGTAAACAATGTTGGCAGTGATAAATGTGTGGACATTCAAAACACTTCAATTGAGAACAATGTCATTTATGAGACTAAAGCAGAGAAAACACTTAAGTCTATAAATCAACAAAGAGCTCAAAGACTGTTAAAAGTTGTGGCACCTAAAGGGGCGCAGCTGATTCATTTGTTATCTCGTGGGACACTTGACAAGGCAGCTTTTCCAAAAATTTGTAGCCTAAGTAAAGAGATACAAGACACTTACAAAGGGATTATGATGCTTGATATTGGCCTGGCTACTCAACTAGAGATTGATCAAAACCTTTGGAAGAGTGCATTTTATAAGGTTATTGAAACACTGAGGAAGTATGGGAAACTCTTTTTGGGATATGAAGAAAAATCAGATGTACTCTCTCCTAAGGAAATAAATAACTGTTTGAAGGAATTCTTGAAAGATGCAGAGACATTTTATAAAAGTCTTCTGGAATTGTTACAGAAAGAGCATGATTTCTCAATTCAGGATATTGTCAGTCAACCAAGGAAGGCAGAAAAACTTGGGAAGAATGTAAGTACCTCCAATAATTTTTTCTCTTCATGGGTCTTACACTTTCTTTAAGCCTTTTTAACTAGGTGCTCATCTCCACAAAGGCAAGTTTTCATTCTTGTCAATACTAGAATCCTTCTCCTTGATAGATTGCCATACAAAGTAATCAAGCTCCATCTATTTGGGTTGGGAATCAGAGTTGTCCTTCTCCTAGAGTGGCTGCCAACCATGGCTAACAGGTCCAACCTACCTATCCCTGCTATACCACTGGGTTCTTGGTCATGCCACAATAGTAACCCTGTAGAAACATGGGAGGGGGGAAAGGCCATATGTAATGACCTTCTGCCTAGCTAGTGGTCATGCAGCAATCACCACTCCTGACAAGAAGAAAAGGAAGAGTGATCAAATTGCACATCCTAAAGTGAGCATGATGTTTGGCTCAGACCTCTCAACCCCACAAAAGCCTCATGCACTCCAGGGCCAAGGAGAATTGAAGAAAAAGTTAGTTGTGAATGATTGTTTTTTTGGTTTGTTTTTTTTTGAAAACTTTGCAAGAATATGACCCTTCTATTCCAAGGAGTGATAAGTTCCATGCTTAGCATGCATTTATCAATGCAAGCAGGACGTTTTGAGAGCACAAGAAAAATGGAAGAGTTGCTTCTTAGGGCCATACTATTATTATTTAACACTGTGATCTAAACATTTATTCCAGGCTAAACTTGCTCTTATGAGCTCACAGCACATTTTGATTTCCCTTGGAGACATAGAAAGATATCAAGTGCAATTTCAGCCCCGACCAAACTGGGCGTCCATCAGATCATGGTATCTTAAAGCAAGCAAACTGGCTCCAAAGAATGGTAAACCTTACAATCAGCTTGGCGTAATTGCTGTGTCAGCCAATCGCAAGCTAGACTCTGTCTATTACTACATAAGGAGCCTAGCTGTGAGTAATCCAATTTTGACAGCAAGGGAAAAGCTGACAGCCATTTTTTATGATATCCAACTGAAGGTAAGCAATTATTCCAGGGTGTCAGGAACCATCAAAAGTCAATGTAATTTACTTAACTGCTCAGCATAAAGGTTAGCTGTTTTGTCACCTAATAGGTATAGTTAAGTTGAACCTTGGTTATCTGGATTCATGGGGACTGACTTGAAAAGTGCAGACAGTGAAGAGTCCAGATTGAAAATTGAAAATATATGAATATTAATGACCAAAAATAAAAACTGAATAACAGAAAAGACAATACATATCATTCAATCAATATTTATGCATGAATCAAAGCATATTCTCAAATCATTGTGCATAGGCCGCTAATATTTGCCAGAAGTATTTTTACAAATTTACAAAAGCTAACCAACAACATAACAAAATGCAACCAGAGAATCAAGTCCAAATAACTGAAAAATTGTAATAATCAAGGTCTGATCGTGAAAATGCAGCCAAGTACAACCTGATTATAAGAGGTTTCTCTAAGTTGCTAAAATAGACAAAATTAATTCCACCATGATTAAACAGGATATCATTTCCAATGTTTTTTTTTTACTGTTTATATTATATCATTGTGTAGGCAGACAGAATCCAAAGAAATGAGGATCAAAGGAAGACTCATTCGGAACAGCAAATCCATCAGAAAAGAGAGAAGAGGCGATCCTCATTTGGAGAGGGCACCAAGGCTGTTGAGCTAAAATCTGATCATAAATCATCTCATGGCAGGTTTGAATTCATATTGAGTTAATTTCTTATTTCATTCTTTTATTCTCATAGAAGGTGTGATTTGTTATTGATTTTGTTAAAGCAGACCTTTTATCAATTATTAAGATGATGGTGTTTTTTTTAGCTGAGTCACTGCAAGTTGTGTTGTGCTTAACAAGTAATTTAATGAGTACTGTAAATGCTGGTGCACTGTAGAAACTGCACCATTTTTCCAGAAATTTTTGTATCAAATCAAGGGTGCAGCTTATCTGTGAGAACATCTGGAAGATGTGCTACAAACACCAGTCTAAGTTGGTAGATATGATGTCTATATTCTAACAGCTAGAATTATAGATAAGGAATCATAATTTAGTGTTTACATAAACATGAAGTGGGCATAAGGTTCAAACAGGAAATAATATGAGTGGCCAGTGCTCGATATAGGAATCAAAATTTTGTTTATATAGGCATGAGGTGTGGATCTTCATGTGCCAAGGAAAATACAGAAGAGTAGTGGTCACTGACCATGGTAAAGTACAAGAAGTTAATTCAAGAGGAGAACCCATCCTGGAAGGACAAACTGAGGAGCATTCTACAGACCCTGTAAAAGAATCACAAAAGATTTCTCTTCAAGAGGTATTATCATTTATAACTTAACAATTTTAGCAAAGACCTTTTACCTTCATTGCCATGAATTGTTTAATTTCTTTTTTTGCAAGGTCAACAAGAAGTTCATGCTCCACTATCTTTGTGCCCATGGTCTTTTGTACTCAAGAATTGGGTAAGATAAAAATGTGTATTTTCCTTTTCAACCCTTTGATCCTGAAGAGTGTCTAGAGTTTTTTCTCACAATGTTGCCTTAAAATCACACATTAAGTCACAAGAACAAATGAAATTACCACCCACTAAAATTTAAAGCTTTTGATTGCTAAACAAATTATCCTTGCCTGCACCTTACAAAATGTCTAGAGAACAGTATGGAGAAAATGCATAGTGATGTTAGGGTGGAAAGAGTTAAGCTAAATGTGGTTAAGATCATCTGGGTGTATAATACAAAGCAGTTAAGGATTGTTACCCTTGTTACTTTCAGATCAAGTAGCTTTTCCTCTTTACTCTCATTGAAGAGGTACACTTTTTTGGGTGGGAGGAAGCTCCATTTTCGTCAGTAAGGCAATGATGGTTTTTTAATTTCATTTTTTTTGTCTCACAGTATGGAAAGGTTGCCTACATTACAGTACCAACTCCTGGGTGAGTTCCATACTTTGCTGGAGTACCCATCTTGTTCTGCAATAAGCAGGTCTAACCTTCTACAAATGATGGCCATCAACATGTTTGCTATTGAACACACTTCAAGCCAGGGTGAGTAGCTCTACTGTTGTTACTTAAAGTTGTTTCAGTAGGCAACTCATCACTAGGTGCCTGAAGCTTGTGGTGGTGGAATTTGAAAGTGCTTAGCTCTTAAAATGTACCTACTGACTGTGTGGGAGAGCTGGGATGTCCAGGAAAATATTTAGTGCAAGGCCATAACTTACAGACTGAGCACAACAAGATGTATGCTTCAAGATTCATGACTCAGTCAATAAGCAGTTTATCATATGTCTGTGGTTCTTCCTTTTTTCCTTTCCTCTTTGCTAGCTTATCACTTAGTGGTATGGCTTTTTCTAGCCTTGCTCATTCCATCTCATATGGCCCTCACACAGGGATTTTTGTCCTATATCTTTTGTCTAAAGAGTACCTGGGGCAGTAGGAGTCATACTAATTTACACCATTCTCCTGCTTCTACATTTCTTAACCCTTTAACCCCTAAGAGTGACTAGCATCTAATTTCTCCTTACAATATTACCACTAAATCACACATTAAGGTCATGAGATTAAAGGAAATAATCACCTACCAAAAAAACTCTTGATTGGCAGTAATAGTATATGTACAGAGAGCATCAAGTTTTCAACTTTGGCAGTAATAGGCCATCAAGTTTTCAACACCTAAACCCACCCTAACTAAACTTAAAATTGAAAGTGAAACTTTTTTTTCTTCGGTATGTAGATGCAGCAGAACCTTATGTCAGAGTGGGCACACCTCAAGACCAAGCTATGAACCTTGCTGTTGAGATGTTCATCATGCTGCTCAAGGCCTGCTGTGCCCTGCTGCTGAAAATAGACTTTGAAGCAAGAAACACCCATGAAAGCCTCAGTGACACCCTTCATCAGTTCCTACCCTCAGTCAAAGTGTTTGCAGATTGGGTGGTCTGTCATGTTGACCTGTGGCAAGTCTCCTCTATAAGGTAAGTTGTCAGTGTGTGGGAGCTAGGCAAGAAGGGCAGAAAACATATAGAAAAGTTTTTAAAGTTAACCCTTTTACTTCTAAGTCCCAATTTTTGATTCTCTATGCTGTCTGTTGTACAGTTCTAAGGTTTTCATTGAGAAATGGAGTTGAAGGAGAACAGTGTAAAGTAATAATATTCTCCATTGGGAGTACAAATAATGCATGAATCACATACAAATATCTTGCAATATTGTATGATTATTTGGACAGTTGCTTACTTAGCACTGTAAAAAAAACTGGTTTGACGGGTTTTCTTCACTTGTGTGAGCTGTTTCAAAGCTTTATAATAGATAATCACTTATACTTGACTTTCTATTGTGGCTGCACAACTCATAAACTGCTCAGCAATACTACACACCTAATGAGATATAAGTCTGATGGTGGTGAAAAGATTAGCTGTATACTTCTTTATTGTCGCTGTAGAATTCTCCATTGGATACTCCATACTTGAAAGAAATTCTTAGACAGAATTTCTCCTTACACTATCAGTACAATATCAAGCAGACAAGTAATGAGAATAAAGAAAAATATAAATTAGGGGATTATTAGTTGATCCAATTCCAAATTCTCTGAACAAACATCATATAAATTTTATGGCAGACAGCTAGGAGAATTACTAATGAGATCTTGGGAGTTAAAGGGTTAAGATTTGTTTACTGATCAGAGGACACACTTTGAGTGCACTTTGTTGTACTTTAGCACTCACAGAAGTCTTTGGGAATCAGTGAGTCAGTTCACAAATGCCATATCTTATGTGGATATTGATGACCTTCATGATGATGATGGTAAGAAACTAACTAAGCTTTTACAATTCTTGTCACTGTCATAATTTATTATATTTGTTAGTTAGTATATGCCTTGTGATTGGTCAATTTAGCAGGCTGTATTTCACAGTATGGCCTGCTAAATTCAAAAGTTTGTTTGTCGTCTTGCTAGCATCATTTTCTCGGTCTGTTTATTAAGTTGCTTAGAGGTAAGAGAGGTATTTATCATCAAGTTGCTGAAAACTTCGTAGACATCAGAAGTATATAAATACCCAACTGCCTACCCTTTGTGCGTGATAGAAAATTACATTTGTGATTTGAATTTCAAATGAACTTTCTTTATTACATGTTCTATTGACAGAGCCTTTGTTGTTGTATGGTTATGCTGCCATATTAGTTTTTAACAGTAACTTGCATATTGACTATGAGTGTTCTTTACCTTCATGGTAATCTTTCTGTGTCATGTGCTAGCTAATGAGATGGTAACCTTGATGGAGGATGAATTTCTTGCTGGATTTAAGCCATTGAACACAGCAGTGAGACCAATGTGTAAAATTCCAGATGCAAACAGTAAGGTAGAGTAAACCTATAATAATTAATAGTAATTTGTTTTTCTAGGAATCAATGTATAAAAAACGACAGACCTAAATCACTTTCTTTGGTGAAATGTGGTTTTTTAAAAGTTGAACCAATTTTAAGCACACTGTTTCATTTTTAGGTAACCTACAAGCAGGCTAGGCATGTTTGTCCTACCCCCAACCCCTATATGCATACAGGATGATTTCAGATGAATAGGGTGGGGGTTTTTTAGGGTCAGATGTTATCAGTGTTAAACTCATTGCAGATCTCTTGTGGGCTCACATTGTTAAAAGTCTCATATTTTCCTACAGAAAAAGAAACATTTGTGTCAAAGCGCTGATAAAGACAGCTTGCTTGCAGGCTAATTTTAATTAGTTGATATCACTCAACGTTTACCATTGTGAATTTTTTTCCTCCAAAAAGGAATAAGGATAATGCAGAATGATATTTTTCATATAATAGCCAGCTAGTATGTGACAATTTGGATCAGATCTTCAAAATACACACGATTTTTAACCCTAAATTAGCCTAGAATTGTAGTGTTGAACTTTTTAACTAATCAGAGTCACAGTTGTATAATACATTGAAAAATTTTTTTTAGCTTGAAAATCAAATTATAGTTAGGTGTCACTTTTGGTGAGAAGGTAGAAGTTTCTTATCAAAGTGTTGGAATTTTTTCATGTCTTCCACAGAATCTTGCTGAAGATTATTTGCGATGCCATAGTCTAAAAGAGTTTGCTGCATTTTTGGTCTCGCTGGAGCATCCACCACTGGAGTTTGATAATGACAAAGGAGAATTCTCAGCAGTGCTTAAAAGTACACCAGTGTCACCAGTGAAGGAGTCACAAGTCATGGTTCACTTGGACACATCACAACAAAATGAACATGAGGTTTGTACCTTGACCCCCCTTATACCCTAACATTGGTATGCAGGTTCTCCTTACTGTTCTCTATACATTTTCTATGGTACCTGCAAGGAGAATTTTTCTGACAATCAAGAGCTTCTTGAATTTGCAATCATTTCCTTTATTCTCATTACCTTAATGTTTGAAATCAGGGATGAATTCTACTGGTCTCACTGTTTAGGTTAGCAATGGGCTGTTTAGTGGCAGTATCCAGCCAGTCCATCCAATTCAAATCACCAGCCAGAGCATACTATATAAATCATAAGTATGTTGTCACACAATTTTGTGGGGTCCAGCAGAAGAAAAAATTGAACCTCCAAATATTTTTGTTTGGTATAGGACTCAGATGAGGATGCTGATGTTATCATTGAGAGTGAAGAGGAGCAGCTGGACTCAGGGTATGATGCTTATCACATATCACAAAATACACTTGTCAGCAAATAGTTTGAACCAGGAGTAACATGTTATAATGTAGTGTGATCGTCCAGGTGAGTGTAGTCCTGAGAAGGACTGTTGTCGCTACAAGTGATTAAAGTTTTGACAACCTTAGTCAAGGTCATTATCAGAGTCAAGTGAATAATTGTTGTCAGTTGAATGTATTAGTGGTAAGTCTGGTTTATGTAAACTGATTGGTCACTTTAGCCATGATGTTATTGGCTGTAAGACTCACCTTGTACATTTGTTGCATTTTTTAGTATTGTTGGTAATCAATCTCCAATTATAATTTTTTCAATTATTATTGTGACAAACAAATTCTTTTTGTCTTGTTACTTTGTTTGTCTTGTTACTAGGGGTTGCATATTTGACACAGTTTATACTTAGCCTAAATTTTTTTATGTTTGTTGTTTGTCACATGCACAAATTTTTCAAAATTTTGCTATCTTCAATGTACTCTTTTGTTATTTTTTTGTGTCCATGCCCAAGGAAACTTTAATTTAATGGAAAGTTTCACAATAGCAAATCTTCTTTTTCTCTGGTTTACTCAGTAAATTACATTTTCATAGGATTTTGTCTGTTTGCTAACCAGGCTGTTGATATTAGCTATACCTGACATGTTTGTTTGTGTTCTTTCTTGTGTAAGACACATACCATTTGGTTATGTAAAACTTTTTTTCTGCCAAGCTGGTTGGCAGCAAGTTTTTTGAGATCATACAATGCTGTAGCTTGGGGCAAATTGGCTGAGCTTTGTTGTTTAGCATTTCATTAACTTACACATGAAAAATCACATCTCCTGGATTTTTTGCTTTACAGTGATGAGGTGGAAAAAGACCTGAAGGAACTCAAGGTAAAACTTGTCTTTACCTTAATTATATCACTTTTTTTTCCAATAAGTACTCTAGAGAGGAAGGGCCTTAAAATCGTTTTGCTCTCTTCTGCAGGCCAAAAAAGATGCCTTGAAAAAGCAAATGGAAGTTCACAAGCAGAGAGAGGATAAGGCAAAGGTCAGTTTCCCTGGGATGATCTCAGGGTGTTGAGCATAGATCCAAATTTACTGTGATGCACCTCTGTAACAATGATTTATTTCCACTGACTGCAGGCAGTGATAGAGGAACACATTTCTAAGCCACGTCTAATGTTTGAGAACTACCCAACATACTTGGTACCAGACACTAACTGCTTTGTGAATCATTTGGAAGGGGTCAAGGCCATTGTGGCCAGTCAGGATTTCACTCTAGTTGTGCCACTCATTGGTAAGTGAGTTGAAGTGTTGGTTCAATTGCTGTTCTTACACCCCTCCATTATTTTTGTCACCTTTAAAGTGTTTTTTTTTTGTTAAATCTTCTGCAGTAATTAATGAGCTTGATGGTCTGAAGAAAGATGTCCTCCTTGATAAATGCGATGATTTACAGCATGCTCATTATGTCATGGAGAATGCCAGGTGTGTGTGTATTATAAACAAAGAAGCTCTGGTGGCTTGTGAAGGAAATGAGAAAATTTGCTCTCATTTTCTCTCTGTGCACTTCATGTTGTCCTTTCCCAAAGAACCTAAGCACCACCAGTAGTAGTTTACGGGTGTGGAATTTATGGAGCCTGAAATTTCCTCAAAGATATAGTAGATGTTTCTAGTAGATATATATAGTAGATAAGATATAGTAAAAGTAATGAGTTAGAGGCTTCCTAGACTCTTGTGCAAATTCTTTTTGAGGTCAAACCCAAATAACTTTTCACCAGACGCTTGTAACTTACATATGATGCCTTTGACAGAGGAGAAAGACAATTTTAAGTAACTAATAGCTTTTACAATTCTGTTTGTATTTTCATTCTGTTTGTATATTTAAACTGTTGGCAAAAAGGTTGTATTTGTAAAGGAAAAAAGGAAATGACAATAGACAAAACCTGGAAGAAACATTTGTATATGTTACATTTTTTTTTTATATCTGTCTGTAGATCTGCAATTCATTTTCTTGAGTCTGAGTTTAGCCAGAGAAATCCTCAGGTTAAAACAGTGACCAGCAAAGGAACAGAGTTGGATACAATTCAATTTAGAAGCGAGGATCCTTCTGGAAGAAAGGTGACATTTCATTCCATTCCATATATCATGAATATACTACATTTAGCAGAAAGCTCCGATGGAATCAGAATAATTGACCATCAGACACAGTTTACATGCTCCAAGCCTTGTGGTGTTTGGGACACAGGAAGGAGCATACAGAATGAATTTATTTTATAAATTATAACTTTTCTGACGATGATAAGGGGGGGGGGGGGGTCCACCCAGTTACACTTTTGAGTTCCCTGTTTATCACAACTTACCAGAGACAAGCATCTTTTGATTTATGTATTACCTGTACATTGACTAAAACCTGTGGGTCCTGATGAATATGGGTTGTTTCAGGGCAAAGGATGCAATGATGATGTTATTCTCTCCTGCTGTTTACACTACTGTGAAGAGAACTTTATCAACCGGTTGGCCACAGGTATTATTTTCTTTGTCAGAAAATGTTGAAAGTTCCTTAGAGCTGAACATAATCTCGCATAGTTTGCTTTAAGTCTCTCTTTTTTTCTTTTACCTATTTGTCCATCTCAATGTCAATCTAAAACATAGTGCATGTAGTTTTCAGTTTTATTTACAATATTTTTGTTAAAATCGTAAACAAAATGAATTGATAATAGAGTTTTTTCCAACAGTGTCGAAAAACTAAAGCCAAAGTAATCAAAATGGTCAAGCAGAAAATAGCAAAGTGCTGTATAGAACCAATGAGAACTCAGAGTCAAACCAACCAAACTGATTAAAGCACAGGAAAACACAAGTGACCTAGTCATGATTGGTTTTAGTTTTGCTTCTGTTTTATAAAGAGTGGCGCAAGTTTTCTAAACTAATCACAGAGCAAAGTAACACTGCTCTTCCTTTTTTGTTTCTATTGTTGTCATAGTTTGCAAAGATTTGTTAATGGGTAAGAGTTATGAGATTATTGTACTTTTATCCTTCCCAATATTGAAGCTAAACAGGGGAAAAATGAGGCTCTGAAATAAATTCCCAAAACTTTTCATCCCTATCCTTTTTGCAGCCTGTGCTCAAGGAGGAGGCTAGTTAGTTTTAAATCATTGTTACATCTTCCACAGCAAATCAACCAATAACAATTCAGAGGAAAGTAGTTTTGCTGACAGATGACCGGAACCTAAGAGTGAAGGCTTACACCAGGAATGTCCCTGTACTTACAATACCACAGTTCAGACAAATGGCTAGGCTGTAACAAGCAATGAATGGGGTTATGTTTCAGGCTAAAGCCTCAAAAATATCATGACCTCTGGTTGGTATTGTATCAAGACCTGACACAGATCTACCTGCAAGGAGAGTTAGAAGATGCTAATGAACTCATCACTGCAAAGCTGAATGAGGTGCTCATCACAACTTTCTCATCCAGCCCCAAGCACCTATAAATAACACATCATTCATGACTGTTTTGATATGTTAAGTTTGAAACAAATAAAATGCTCTTGGTATCCTCATAAGGAAAAAAAAGTGTACCTGTCATGGTGTAATTTTTTTTTTTTTTTTTTTTTTCATTTTAACCCTTTAACTCCCAAGATCTGATTGTTAATTCTCCCCTCTAGCTGCTACATATTTCATAGTAAATAAGTTGTGAGAACTTGGTGCTAGATCAAGATAGCAGCTTCTACCTGATTTGCTGAATAGCATATAGAGGTTATAGGGAGAAATTTCGTGTCAGTCACTTTTGGGAGTTAAAGGGTTAACATATATGTCTCACTCTCCTTAACCCTTGACACCTCAACATCAGTCTGAATATTCTTATTATTTTCTACACATTACCTAAGGTTGTGACAAAGAGAAATTTCTTAACAACCAACAGCTTCTTAAGTTTGTGTCATTTCCTATTTTCTTGTGACCTTAGTGGTTGATTCAGGGGTGATATTATGAGGAGAAATTAAAATAATGTCAGTAACTCTTCAGGGTCAACAGGTTAATTTTGCCTTTGGTTTTCTAAGTGCCAATGCTCACCTTTACTAAGGAAATTTATTCTGAGGCAGCTTGTCTGTGATGTCAGTCTGTCACACAGGTGGACCTGCCAAGCCCCAGTCGCTCAAATGATGGGTAACGCTATCTTCTTGATGGCAGAGTGTGCATTGTTGACACTTACAGGGTATGTTCAGAAAATAAATGCAGCTGAGTGGCTAGCATGGCATGTTAAAATGCCCTTTAAGGAGGGTGGGGGGAGGTGGTGGTTGTCATCCTTCCTTGGAAAAAGGTGAATTTGAAACTTTACAAGACGATTTCTTGCATTCTAGGACATGTTTGAGCCATTTTTTTAAGCTAGACATTGATGTAAAAATCAGTTCAAAAATACTTCTTTTGTGTTAGATCACAATTCACAAAGTTGATGATGCAAAATGATCCCTTACTGACCCCTAATGACAACCCTGCTTTCTTCTATTGGATGGCAATGAAGGGTAGATGAAATTGTATTCTGGAAAAGGGTAAGTTTCTGTGGTGTGAAGGGTATAACTAGTCCTTGGGAAATATTACACAAATCTTGTTACCTTTATAAAAAATTGGAAAATGATTATCCTCACCAATTTCAGTCTACTCAGTCTATTTCTAGAAATGGTATCACTAGCTCTAAAATTATGACAACTGCCCATATTACTAAAAGGTCAGCACTTAACTGAGCATAATTTTGTTGGTAATGGATTTGAACTGCATTCTTCTTGTCTGTTCAAAAATGGTTGTTCCAATGATTTAATTAACCTTTTTTTCAAACAATTCTTCAGAGCTAGGTCTGCCTCATTTTACTCTACAATATTGCCTAAGTGATGGTAGCACATGCCATGTTGGTCACCCATTATCAGGATTTAACTATGCTTTTTTTCAAAACAAAGTACTCCATGATGTCTGATTGCTGGTAAGAGTCACTCATGCTCAAGGTTTAAGAACAGACACAGATCCTGGAGGTTACAAAGATTTATTTGCTTTTAGTTAGAGTTGCTTAATCAAACAAGCCAAATCCCATGTCATCATCAGATTCCTCTTCTTCCTCTTCCTTCTTCTCTTCTTTCTTCTCCTCCTCTGCCTTCTCACCAGCAGGAGCAGCAGCTCCCCCACCTGATGATGCTGCTGCCATCACAGCACCACCTGTGGGAACTGATGCCAGTTTGGATTTGCCTGCTTCAATCACCTAAAAAATAACACCAAATTCACCTTTAGAGGAACCCATATTTGGAGAAAATGTATCTACTGTAATAGACCTGGTTGTCCCTAAAAATAATAACTGCTATTACACACTTTAAAAAAAATTGGGGATGTGGCACTGGCTTTGGAAGTCAGTTGGTCTTCCTAAATTTAAACAACTTAATCACCACACACAGAGAAGACACACATCACTAACAAAAAAACAGGTTCTTTATTTAGATTTGTAAAATGTTTAAATTCAACTAAAGAATTTTTCAGAAAGGTAATCAACCTATTTAGTATACCTTTTGGTTAGTACATTCATTGTGATTGGTCAATTTCATGGGCCACACTTCATTATATGGCCTACTGAATCCAAAAGTTTGTTTGAACTGAAATCTTTCCTCGCTATTTGAAGCCAGAGATGTAATAAATATCTGACTACTCTTGTTGTCTTGGTCTGTGCTGTAAGCTAAACAATCTTTTTTTTTTCTGCTTACATTTATCCAAGGTAAAAACACCCAACCTGTAACTTAAGGAAGGGACCCCAAACCCCATTGGTTAGAGGTATATATCCTTTGAATGAGATTCTGCACACTTATTGGAATTTTCAAGATTATATCACTGATTGGAATGTCAAGCACTTAAATCTACCTCATTGATGTCCTTTCCACTCAACTCTTTAATGACTACATCAAGGCGATCAGAGTCAACATCAATGCCAACACTTTCAAGGATGGCTTTGATGTCTGATGCAGATGGTTCTTTGTTCCCTCCAAGGGTGGCAAGTAGATAAGCGGCCACGTAACGCATCTGAAAAATAGTTTCAAGTTGATTCCATCAATGTTTGTTCTGGATGATAAGTTGCCAAGTGAGGAAAATCTCCAAAGGAAAAGGATATCAGGTTTTATATCTTTCAAAATCATCCTTTGATAAGCTTAACCTGTGACAGATTCTTGCTTAGTGGGAATGGGCAAAGAATTTGAGCAATCAAAAATTACAGGGGTTGCCACCACTTGTCTCCTGCCAGCTGTTTCAATCATCTCCCTAACTGAGAGCCTGGAAAAGGTCTGTTCTGCTGCTAACAAACACAGATGACCCAGCCTCCCTTAGTTGCTAACTTAGCTACATTGCATTTAAAAACTAGGTTGCCCTGTATATATGGGTCGCAGCCTGTCCAGATCCCACCATCAGTGGGCAAACACCACAATCTAAAACCTAGGCCCTCACACCACACTGAAAGGGCCTCCCATGGACCAAGGGATTGAAATCTCAGCTTGCAAACCTGGGCCCAGTTATTCAAAGGGTGGATAGCACTATCCAAAGGATATATCACCATCCAGCAGATAAGGGTTAAAAAAATGGACTATGCCATCCACCGCTAAGATATTTATCCAGTGGATAGCCTTATCCACCATTTAAACAACTGGGGCCTAGTTTAAATTCCCCCTGAGAACTGAAGGCAGATTTCATCCAACCAACCAGCCCAGCTAGATTAATTAGGAGGAATACACTCTCAAGTGAGCACAGTAACCTTGCTAAGGATACTCATCCCTGAGCTCTAAGAGAAGAGAAGGCATCCACATGAAACCGTGTCCAGATAAGAACCAAGAGTTTATATCTACATGGGAATCAAGATCCACTGACTTACACTCTGGGACATTTTCAGATCGATCGTGTGCATCATGATCAACTTCCTTTAGAAGCTTTTAAAACTTATTAGGCCTATCAAGAAACCTAATCTCCTCTACATCCCACAACAAATGTGCGGAAGCTAAAAGTAACACTTTGAACACAGCTCAAAAGAGCTGATATTCACAGCGCAACGTGGTCGACTAGATGTGTCGCATATTTGGAGTATTTTTCTCCCGTTAAACGTTTATATTACACATTACTTTATTGTTTAGAGACTAAGGACCTTTATACTCACTTTTTAAGTCAACTAAGACACGAAACGATGTGCACGCCTCAGATTATTGTTCTCAAAATTTTCGAATGTTCGTCTGAATCGGACAAACGAGAGAGGGAGATCGAGGGCACATGTCCTCGTTTATGGTTCTCTGGGGCGGACCACACAAAAATTCAGGGGATTTTTGCCAGGTCGCATGGATATTCAACATGGCGGACAGGATCACACAGTTGCAAGATGCTTTGAATCAGGTTATTTTACTTTTTATGATTCTCCTATCGAAGAAATAGTTGAAGTAACATAAAATTTGCGAATTTTGGTTTTCATACGTCATGTGGAATACAAATCATCGTCTTTGCTGCTTTTATTCTCGTCTTCAAAGTAAAGTAAATCTTATGGTATTTTTTTTGCCATGTTTTCTAGCTTGCAGATCAATTTTGTAACAGTGTCGGCATATTACAACAGACAGCTCAACCTGGAAACGTTTTTTCAGGTTTTGAAAAGAGTAAGTTTTCTCTTCTGGATATTAGAATTGCATTGAGATGTAGGATTGCAGAAAATCCATGAAGTTTCTAATTTGAAAGAACGAGGCATGTGGTTTAGTAAAGAGATTTTTTAAATTTGTAGTGAATGGGTTAATTGATAGGACAATGGGACGTACAGTAGATTATATCACCTCCAAGGTTAAAGCTATTTTTTGCTAGAACCTCTTGTTATTTATTACCAATTGCTGAAACTTATTGCTGTAAGTTAAATATTTAAATGCGTCAGTAACTGAAACACAATTTTGCTCTTGAGGTTAGTCAGTCATCTGAGGCCATTCCAAATCCCAAACCTGTCAGATGCCTATTGAAGATTTCATATGTATCTTACTTATCAGGTCATTTTTGTCCAAACCCTGGGTGAAATTCTTGTCATCCCTATTAGATTTATTATCCAAAAAAAAAAAATTTTGGAAGTGGGAAGGTGGAAAAAACTCACAATTAATGACACACAGTATGGACCCCAAACTCTGTCAGTAAGGGATGTTTATTTTCATTTTATTTTCAGATGGTGACAGTGGTGATGTGACACAGGAAGGTTGGTTAGACTTAACCCTTTCACCCCTAAGAGTGACCAACATCTAATTTCTCCTTAAAATGCCTCCTCATTTTTTCCAATTCAACTCAGTTTTTTACTTTAAGGAAAAGTCATGTCATGTTCTGTCAAATGTTTAGTTTGACAATCATTAAAGTTTCCAGTAAGCCAAGATTTCTCATGGAAGCATTTATGCCATCTCCCACTATTTAGTGTCTCAGCTTTGCTACTTATTTTGATCATAAGAAAAATTATTTAACATTCTGTTGAAGTTTAAGTTTACAGTCTTTCAGGTTTCCAAAAGCTAAGATTTCTCAGGGGAAGTAAGTTTATTGCCTCTCATTTTGATCATTCCCCTTGCCAAATTGTGTTTTGTTGAGAAAAAGAATACCAGCTGCAAAACCTTCTAAAGAGCAAGGTATCTCAATCCATAAACAGCCAAAATTACCTTCTTTTAATGATTGAATAATGTGAAAAAGGGACAATGGTTTGCTTTTAGGACATGCTGCTTTGTTTGCCACTCTTATTGCAAGAACTGCAAAGGACATTGATTTCCTAATCGAGTCTCTTCCAAGTGAGGAGTGTTCACCAGAGCTTCAAGTAAGATCAGTGTGTTTTTTAATTGTTTGTTTGCACTTATTCTTCTTCTTTAAGCTGTAGCTTAAAAATACTGTTAACAGTACAAGTCAGCATCAGCAAATGAAAATGTTACTTTAACTTTTTGCTTCAGACATTTTGTGACTAACTTGTAACCCTTAAACTTCCATAAGTGACCGAGACAAAACTTCTCCTTACAATATCAAACAACATTAAGCTAGCAAGTAATGAGACTAACAAAAAATTTAAAGTTCATCACTTGTGCTACACTTGTATACATTTTTGTTTGTTTGTTTGTTTGTTTTGCTTATTTAAAATGATTAAAAAATTATGGACAACACAGGCAGCAAGCTTGCACAAGTTGGAAGCTGAAAGTAGCGCAGCTGGCAGGAAACTGGAAGAGGCTGTAGCAAGAGGAGGTGAGAAGCCTTTACTGTCTGTTAGAGGGATTTTCCATTTTGTGTCATGAAGAAAGGTAGTAATCACAACAAATGGGCTGTTGAGTGTTGTGGAAGATTTGATGAACAACTGATTGGTTGGGTTTGAAAATGTAGTAATCAATTATTTACATAGTGGGTTGATTGGATCTCATCATCTGAGTGGCCCTGGTCTCATAGAATGCACTGCAAAATGTTGTGACTTAGCTCCCAGACTCTTAACCCTCTACACCCTAACATCAGTGTGGATATTCTCCATACTGTCCTCTGTACATTTCCTAAAGTGCAGACAAGGAGAATTTGTTTAACAGTCAAGCCCTCTTGTGGTTGGTAATCATTTCCCTTATTCTCATAACTTCTGTGCTCAATTCAGCTGTAATTTTGTAAGGAGAAATTAGATGCCAGTCCCTCTTGGGATTATTGGGTTAATACTCTTTTTTTTTTCCTCTTAAGAAAAACTGTTAGAGCTCATCCAACAAGCCCTGACTGACATTGCAGAATCAAGGTTGCGCACGAAGTGACCAATGGCCTGTTTCAATCAGGGTTGGTCTTGGTGAAGCTGTCCACGACTGTGAGATGTTAGAGGACCGAATAGTGTCAAGGAATTCCATAGCCGGCGGAAGTTCCAGGGCATTACAGTCACTGTTTGCCGACATTGAAGAAGAATGCCACATGGATTGCCTTCGTGATATGCACCAAGGACCAAGAGAGCATTTCTGGCAAAAATTGACATTGCTTTTTAATGGACGAGTGCGTGAAAGCGAAAAGTGTATTCATAGAGAGGACAATACTAGTTCTAGGTGATAACAAGGGTGGCAAGGAATCAGGACGAAAAATCAATAAACATTAATCAGAAAGAACTGAGATGCAATCTAATTCATTAAGGATGAAAGCGCAGCTATTGAAATGGAATGTAGTGAATAAATTACGTGAATAAACAGGATCATTCGGTATCTTGTGATTCATTTGTGTTTTTCCTGTGTCATGCTGAGTAGGGCTTGTTGACGGACCAAAACCTTCGCCATGCCCTCACGCAAAACACAAACGAATGACCTTGACTAATCGTAATTTAAGGGTGGCAAAGGGTTTTCGCGTGGTATGTGATTGAGCCCAAAATAAATTTGTGACGCGCGGGTTTCACAGAAAGGCAAGGTAAGGTGAAAGTTGAAGTTTCCTCTTTTAAATTCAGGACGCGTGAAATACTATTTAATATACACGTGACGCGTAAATTTTTCTAAAGTTCGTGCGTGGAACGGGATCAGGACCCCATGCTTTGCAACCCTCTAAGTAGGGATTGTCAACAGGCCAAAAGTTTTGCCGTGCGCTCACGTAAAACGCGAGCTAATGACCATGACTAATGGTAATTTAAAAACGACACCCTATACCAAATTGCGCTGACATCATTATGGAGTTTCCTCTGTGACTTACAAGAGCTCTTGGGGCTCATAAACGTAGATTTTACGGAGATGATGCACGTGCATGTCAACGAGTACCACGTAACGTGGACATTTATAATCTGATATTCATCGATCCGATAATGTAGATTCCCGCTGAAAAAGATCCCGCAAATATGTACCACATGGAGTCAAGTAAAAAAGTTCGCACGTGAATGAATTGTCAGTTTGCATCATTCGTGGTCTGACTATTTCGAGTTACTCATCTACGAATCAGTACTGTGCAGCTCCCTTTGTATGGAGAAGTTTTGAACTGAGTGTCGGAAAACCAAGAACAAAGTAATTCCAGCGTCCATTCACAGAAAAGGTTACCATTATCATCAGCCAATGAGAAATTGGAAAACAAGAAAAATGCTTGAGGTGCGGGAAAACGCGAGTGACTTAGTCGCGATTGTTTTGAGTTTTAAATCTGATTGGTTGAGAGAATAGGGCGGGTGTTCTAGATCAATCGCAGAGCAAAGTCGAGTGAAACCAGAGCAAACCCGGAATACTGAACTGAAATTGCCCTAACTGAACAGTGCCGACAGAAATTGCTGTCATCTCGAGCTGGAAAAATTCGTTTCGCCAAAGACAAAAAAGCATTGAACTGAAAAATAGACTCGTGAAATTTTCAAGCTGCACGGTAAATCACCTTCATTGCTTTTTGCTAAGGATTTCGCGTAACGTTCCTAAAAATAGGCGCGAGTTTTCTGGACCAATCACTAGACGAGGGGTAATAAAGCAAAACAAAAGCAACCTTAGATTACAATCGACATCCAATTGAACACTTCCAACAAGAAGTAGTTCCACAAGAGAGCACAGATCGGAAGATAGACAATATTAACCAGCTCCATTTGCTTGTATTCACCAAAAAAATTTGATCGAACCATGGGCTTGTGAACGAAGTGATGGCAAAAAGGCCGCAAAAGTAATAAAGGCAGGGAGGAAAAGATGGAAAGCTGAAAGGGCATTTGTTTTTGTAGCTTGGCAGTTTGTTTCAAATGGTGCAAGAAAAGTCACTTCAGCTGAAAGGTTACATTAGTTGTGTCATACAGATATTATGCACTCTCGAGCGAATAAACGTTGTGTAACCGAAAATGACAAGTGTTCAGTTCTTCACTTTATTAAAATTGTATCTCTACTAACAATAACAGCAAAATGATTGTACAGTGCAATCAATTACAATCTGCATGGATCACTTGAACTACTTTTAAGCCGTATGCTATTTGACTAACTCACTTCAAACCCGTAAACCCTTGCCACCTCTGAACTGTAAACCAGTTGAGTTTCCCCAAAAAGTTCTTAAATCGTATATCTCCTTATAGTAATCCCCCAAATTAAATATTTAAGTCATGAGTATAAAGGAAATGATCACCAACTAAAGAAACTCTTGATTTTTTAACAAATTCTCCTTGTCAGCACTTTAGTAAATGTACAGAGAGCAGTATGGAGAATATGAATACTGATATTAGGATGTAAAGGGTTAAGGCGTGCCTGAGAGTTAAGGACACAGGGGGGTAAGGAACAGTTCTGAGCGGGGTGTTGCTTTGGGAGAAGCCGGGCTGTTTTAATAGTTAACCTTTAACCCCTAAAAGTGACTAACATCTTCTCCTAACAATATCACCCCTGAATGAAAGATTAAGGTCATGAGAATAAAGGAGATGATCACCAACTAAACAGGCTCTTGATGTTTGAACAAATTCTCCTTGTCAGCACCTTTGGAAATGTATAGGGAGCAGTGCGGAGAATATGTATATTGATGTTAGGGAGTAAAGAGTTAAGCGCAACAGAGTGTCGTAAAACCAAAACCGAAGGAAAATATCAACGAGGAAAGAAAAATATCCTTGAAGGAATTATTAGTTGATCTAATACCAAATTCTCCAAACTAACATCTTAAGAATTGTATGGCCAACAGTGAGGTGAATCACTTAATGGATCTGGGAATTTAAGGGTTAAGTGCGCTTTTCGATATAGTGTCACAAAACCAAAACCAAAGGATCCGCATTGGCCAATCAGAAGAATGGAAAATATCCTATACAGCCAATGAGAGAACGAGAGAATGGCGCGAGTTTTCTGGACCAATCACAGAGAAAAGTTAAGTAAACCTTGAATACTTTCAACGCCCAATTGAAAATTGTTCTCAGGGAAATAACAAAGTTTCAGGGGAACTGGGTCTAGCGGTTTACACGGGTTAATTTAAGATTCTAATTTGTCAACGCTTAGATGCTGCTAGTGTTTTTTTACGTTACAACGTATAAAACAAAAAAAGCTAAAACTAAAATATACAATTAGTCTGCCTCCTAAATTCCTAAATTTTATCACCAGGAAAACTGGCCAAGATTTTACGATCGGATAAGAATTAGTTTACGATTTTGCATAATTCTTGATTTTGCCCTTAACGGCCGTTACAAGAAAAGCCCTTCTAAGATGATTATAGTTAGATAATTTCCAGGCAATTACTAATTAAAAAGCAAATCGACTTCGAGCAAAATATTAGCGCGATGAATGCAGTCTCGTCTTCAGAGCCGCGATCCTTTAAAATCAGCGGTACAAATTAGCTTTCGGTTATATACAACCTTGCAAGACATGGCTCCGATCGAAAGGATTGCGTCTCTAAAAGTGGAATTAAAATGAATGCCGTTTGATTCAATCATTGGCCTTGCAATGGCATCAACAGAAAGCGTCGAAAGAGACTGGAACTAAAATCGAATGTTCTACGTATCAGCGTTCTCCGAACTGTGAGCTCAGGATGATGTCATCTCGGTTGACCTTATGAAGCAAGCTGTTGATTATATGAGCTAAATACTGCTAATGCTTTTATATAAATATAAAATTGTTGAATTGTTTATTTTGGCACGTACAATTGGGAATCTTTGGCCCAATCTTCAGCCAGCCACCGTAACAGCTTTTGAGGTCGACTGCTTCCCACAACGTCACATCCCCAAAAAGCCCTTGGCCCTTACACTTTCCGTGCTTGTTCATGGCCTCGTCTTGACACTCAACACAGATTGGGGTCTGTGGGTCAAGCTTGTCTGCCCAGGTATTTCTACAGTGCGGGTGCTTGAAGTGCACCTTGTAATGTATACAATAGCTTGGCCTACACAAAGAACAAAAATAGCTTCGTTAGAATTTCAAAATAATCCAACATAGTACGAAGATAACCATTACCAGAGTGCCCCCTCCTTGAGTAATTTTAAAAGTTTGACAATTAAATATATTTATTTGTAATTTTTATCCTCTGGAAATCTATAATCATTTTGTCATATTAGTATATTTTTAGCCTTTTAAATGTTCTTTAGAGTTTTTATAATTTTTACTCTAATTTGAAATTTTTAAATTGTACTAATTTTTTAGATTTTATAAATTGCACATGTCTTTATTCCCAAGGGCCCCTATGGACTACCCTGGTTAAATAAAGTCGCTTACTTACTTACAGAAATATATTTACAGTAACCGTTGCATGTTGTCTTTCAGTAACAATTTAAAATCATATGCTGAGCTGAATGCTACACGCATTTAATTGGTTTTTACCGCTGATCTATGGGAGGACAGACGCATAGATGAGGTCATCATTAGCAACATTTTGCTTTTTATCATGTAAAGGAAAAAAATATTAAATTTTACGGTGGGTGATGTTATCACCACCATTGTCACCTATGCGTCTGTCCTTCGAAAGATCATCGGTAAGAACCATTAAAAATACGTGCATAATTCTGTCAGCTTGATAGTGAAATGGTTTCAATAAGGCCTTAAGCTACTGTAATGAAAATAAGCTTCCAAACTGTCGCAGATCCATGGCGTCATCAGGGATGGAAAACATTTTTGTTGTACAGCTGTCTATATTGTGGTGTGATATAGTGGCAGACAATGCTAATGAAAAGGTACACAAAGAAAGATGACAAATTGGAGAGTGTAGGTGCATGTGTGGTGCTCTAAGGGATAAGCTAGGGTCTACCTCACTACCAATAAATTCACGTCTTTGAGGCGAATAAGGCAAAGCGCGAAGCGTTAGGTACGCGCGAGGGTAGAAGCTCCACCCTCGCGCGTGAATCGCATTTTACGCCTACCTGGCACTTGCCTCCGTTCGCTCAAAAACTCAAAAAATTGCGCCTCTTCTGCTGGCTACGAAAGTTAGGGTGGAACGCAAAATATTTTCATTCCCTGATGATGCCGTGGAAACATTATACAGTAACGCGATAGCTTCAGCCTCTACCATTAACAACCAGTATTAGCTACCGTGATAAATCAGCCATTGCAGTCACGCAGTTTATTTAAATCGTTCCTTATTAGAGCCAGTTTTATTTTAAGTTGAATCTTCGAGTTGCAAAAAGAAAAACCAATTTCCAAATTGCAAACTATAACGGGCAAAGCAACGAGATCGAGACAATGGCAAAAGAATTTTGCAGGTAGAACAAAAAAAAAATCCCATCACCTCTTTGGTGCCTCCGTCGTCTTCACTTCTTCCCTCGGCGCTGGTAGGATTTTGTCCCACACTGAAGGAGCGCGTTCTTTCTTGAACTTATAGGGTAAAATTCTTGCAAAACCTGAAAATGGAGATATGAATTTAAGTATCTACTACAATTGTTCTGTTTTTCTCAGGAAGTACTCGACGTTCTTCCTTACATTGCCCTAACCTGCAAACTCTAACGCCGTTTTGTGAGATGGACTTTCGAGCATTCTTCGCGATTTTTGAGTCTAAGTCTAAAACTATAACTTTCAGTTAGAAGATAACGATGTTGCAGAATCCAACTAAGCCTTGTCTATTTACATTGTATGGCTAATTTTTGTTTTCCAAGCAGAAGACATAACATAAAAAAAGAAGAAATTCCAGAAGCTTCCTTACCTAATTCTTTGCCTCCACAAAGTTTTGTAAAACATCCACTATTTTCTATAAGCGGAGGACATTCTCTTCCGCCGTTCATTGGTCGGAATGTCACAGTCCGAGTCCTCCGTCTGAAGCCTATGCCGCATCGCGGACTACAGGGACCCCAATCCGACCATGGAGAAACTACGCAGTCTTGTTTCACTGCCAAGAAAATTGAAGAAAACTACTGAAAACTTTTGTTTAAAATAGAAGTTTTCATTATAACTTTTCTATTTCCAATGTCCATTTTTTGTTACTTGTTACCTACGCCTCGAAGCATGAAGTTTGTTGTATTTCATAGCAACCTCTGATTGAGTTTAAAAGTTAAACAGAAGTTGAGAACAAAGTTATAATAACAATAATGATAACGGTAAGGTCAACGTTAACATAAACTACGACGATGACGATAGCGATGACGTTAAAGATAATGGTTATCACCATATCCATGACAATGATAATGATATTATAATCCTCAAATATTTGTGGTCGTTCTCGATTTTTCTTAACTGACCATGTGATCGAATATGCCCCAGCTAAAACCGAGGACGTAACGCAAGTAATATTCCCCAATTTCAAACTTTCGGTCTACTACGAGAAACGTGTTCGTTTTAAGTTTAATTCAAGTGACTTTCTGTAGCACGAGCCGCAGGAAACAACAAGTTCCAGTCGAGGGGCACGAATCCGCACAATTCCATTGAACTTAAAGAACCATAAAACCATACCCAGACTTCATTTATCATTCCTCAGAATCCGTCATTAAGAAGTAAGATAGATAAGATAACTCTCAAATCCATTCTTTAAATAGATACAAGGCACGATTCATACGGAAAAAAACCGGAAAAAAAACTAAGAGTGCAAATATTTATAGGTAGGCTATAACAGTAGGCCTGTGGAGAGAAAAAATTAATTAGTTTTAACCCTTAAACTCTAAAGAGTGACCAAGACAAAAATTCCTTCTCACAATATCAATACAAAATCAAGCATATAAGTGATGAAAAGACGGGGAATGATTAATAAGGGGACCTAAGGGTTAAGGGTTAACCTTTTAGTTGATCCAACTCTAAATTCTTGGAATCATCATTATAAGAATTTCATGGCAGACAGTAAGGAGAATTATCAATGAGATCTTGGGACAGTACAATAGTGCTGAGGATTTACCATTCCTGCCCTCAAGAAGGGTCTTAAGTAGCTCAGGGCTATTTAAAGAGAAGAGGCTTATCAAGGCACTTGGCATTAATTATGGACAGGCTTATTCCTTATGGATTTCATTAAGACCGTCGGGAATGTTTCTATGATAGCAATAGCGTTTATTTTTTGTGGTTGGAGCAGCCCGCCAAACAACTATGTGCATATTTTAAGTCGCGGTCGATGAAAGCGGAGTAGGAATTTATGTCACTCATTGAAGGATTACTTTCAGTTATCACGCTCAAAAGCACTCCGGAATGAAACAGAATTCCGATCATTTCATGAACGAAGATTTGCGTTGTTTTGTGCGTTGCAGATGTGAAAAGACAATGAACAGCGAAACCATAAACACTTCCAAAGAAATGACGAGTGATCAAGAATTTCGAGAGCTTTCAATGTGACCATTGTTTGTGAAGATTCTATTGTAAAAATGCCTAATTAATTTTCAACGTGAATTTTTTGGTCGGTTGCCGCATCTTTTCTTAGTTACAAGGTCTTCATCGATACCACACATCTGCAAAGGTTAAGGTAATTACCAGATTAGATTTTAAAATCCACTTTTTACAAATTAATCCGAAGTATGTCGCCACCTTAAACAGACGGAATTAACCTGCATATATTTGGAAGATGGGAGGGGGGAAGAGGGGAGAGGGGGGATAGAACAGTTTAACCTCGCCTTTAAAATTTGCTGTTTTACAAAGGATCATCAGCAATGAAAGAAAAGATACCTCATGCGCTGCCAGGCTCTAAATACTCGTAGAAATAAAATATTCAGTTTCTTATATGAACAAAAAGGCTATAAGAACTTAATGTTTTCAGTTTTATTATGTATTTAGTTTTGGGTTCAGTCATTCGTCATTGGAAAAGTTCCACTCGTGTTTTCATAGGGCTTGAGCTACGTGGGGGGAAGCTGCAGAAGGAGACGTTTTCTACGGGTGGGTTCGCTTGTCTTCGCTTTCTTCTCAAATTTCTTGATATTATTTAATATATATGGTACTGGAGGAATTTCTAGTCTGTTCAGTTTGTACCAGGGTGAGTGAAAATCGCCCGACTTTATGTCACGACAATTATATCAACTTTGCATTTCTCGTGAGTTTATCCGCGAAGAAAGAGATCTTCTTCTGGAAGAAGTTTATATCATCCAGAACTATTGCGATGAAATTATGGCATCTTCACTTGGTGAGAGTTTATCTTAGGCTAGGAAGATTGACTGTTTCTGTTATGTCTTGGAAGAATTGAAGCAGAGAATGGTTTTGAGATAATCATACAACTGAGGACAATATGTAGATAGGAGGTTAACAGAAGGATGAATGAGAGACTGATCATTTGAGAGGGAGGGGAGGGTGGGGGATTAAGTTAGTCAGTACTAGCTCCACTGAAAACATATAGAGCTTTACTATTAATAGAACTGTTGGTGTCTTGATCTCGGATATTATAAAACTTTCAAAAAGGAAACCATATCAGACAGCATTGATGGAGAAAGGATGATAACAGGTAGTTTAGTCAGTTCATAAATCCATACAAGTTTGACATATCCTTTTTAGGCACGAAGCGTGTCTCCCAAAACTGAAAACCGCTGAAAAGCAAACATCTTCTTCAAGAATTAAAGCAGCAATTTGATATTTACCGACAAAGATTTTAAGAACGTAATCTAAAGATGAAAGAGCGAGATGGCTGAAAAAATCGACGACTGTATCTAATTATTTAAGCCGAATTATGGGCTTTTCTACAATAAGTATACAGTAATCTGGTCTAATCCCACTTAATTAGAGATAAATATAATGTCACATGTAAACTACCAAGATTAATAACGGAAAAAATAAATTAGGTGAATGGCGTCACAAATTCAAAAGAAGTCGAGAAAAGGGATGTGGCAATTACCGTTTCGTTGGTCCAGTTCAATAAAACGACGAATGCTAAAAAATATTACGCTGTCAACGGTAGCGTGTTAAGGTCTGTTAACGATGTCCTTTTAGCGGGTGAAGCCATTCCGAAAAGCTCATTATATACTCCTTAACTGTCTTTTTTCAGAGTGTTTGTCCTTTGAATAAAAACAGGATTAATTTTCATAAACCGGACACCGAAAGAACTCTCTCGACATGTCTTAAAGAGCACTGATTTAAGGATTTACTAAATTTTCTGGTCAAGTCCAAATTTGATGATAAAAGATTAATAAAAGAACAATGGCGAAGCAAAAGTTTCTAATTATAGCAACTGTTGAGATTTCTCCTGCAAAAAAATTCTTGGCCTTTTAAGAAATATCTGCTGCCAAAAAATTAGAGACTTTGTGGCTTGACCGCGACAAGGTCAGGCCCATGAATGAGCTCACAATATCAATCGTCTAGTTTTGAAAATATTCTTAGTGTACAAGTTGGTACAACAACTTCAAAACTTTCTCTTTTTTTTTTTCATTCTTGTACTGTTTAATTCCAGGAATGTCTCTTTGTTGTTGTTCCAGTGTTTGCCCGGTAAAAAGGTCATTCACCAGACTAATTGTAAATAGTAGAAGAGGTACATGTTTTGACTGCAACTGGATGGTAACACATGGAAAAAATTACATTACGATTGTTCAGTTTATGATATCCACTTAATATCAATTCTGCAAGTTAAAAAGATGCATTCGCCCACCGGTAGCTAAAAATATTGCGGAAGCTTCATTCTGCTCGTTGCCGATTTTTTTGCATTTTGTGGGAACTCATTTTTGCGGTTAAAGATGAATGAAATATCTCTTGAGAAAAACTTTTTGTGAATTTCTGTTCAAACAGCCAAACATTGGAATAAATTTGGTGTTAAGTCTAAGTGTTCTTATTTTTTTAGTTTCTTAGAGGAGGGACACGTTTGATGATCTGAAGATGGTTATTTCGAGTGTTCGGAACACGGAGAATGAGAAATTGCCCTTAATTAGCACGTGATGTTTTTTTTTTAAACTCAAATGTATGAGGCAAATCATTTTTGCAGCGTTTAATTTCGCAGAGAGGGAATTTTTTCAAGTCGAGATCAGCAGATTATCCCCAAAAATTAAGCGCACACGGTTTTCACGATAAAATCGAGTTGCCTTTGAAAAGGCTCGCATTTGGTGAAAGTGATATCGTAGATACGAAGACTCGAGAGCAGTTGCTGATATCTATAACCCCGTTCTTTGACGTTAAAGCGCAGGGGTACGGATATCGCACGCGTGCAGTGATCTTGAACATGCAGCCGTGCTCATGCCTATTTGCATGTACTCAAGAGTCAGGTTTTCAAAATAAATCCCCGGTTTTACGAGTAAAACACGTTTTTCATGCATGAGGTACAAAGCTTCCTCCATGCATCACTGATTAAACAAATCCTCAGTGCTTTTGATTTATGGTTAATTGTCTTAACTTCCGATATAAAGATAAAATACTCAGTACTTGTTTGATTCGCCTACGTACTACATTCAAATCAGCCTGCGTACATTCGTTCCCGTTATTTTTATCTCTCAAAACATCCATAAGTGCTTAGATTTTATCGATCAAGTAACAATAGTGACTCGCGGCCAAGTTAGACTACACATAATATGCCCAAGCGAATGTAAGAAGAGAGTAAGATAAACAGAATGTAATGGCGCGTTTTGGGTTTAAAAAGGATACTTTGGGTTTATCACGAGGCTTTGACGAGCGGAGATTCACCCATAGCTAGACTAAATTGTAATCAGACCCTGCTTAATTCTACTTACATCGCTGTGAAATGACCTTCATCCTCAAAACAAAGCGAGAAGAATTCTAGCCACTTACCATTTCCCCAGCCGCATGGTCTCTTCACACTTTCAAAATCAGGACAACAGTCCGCGGCCGTCTCACAGAATTCATCGCAGTAGCAAATAGTATTATGAACGTAATCCTCCATGCCACAACTGCTGTTTCTGCCGCCGCAACATTGAAGAGAACCGCCATGTTCTCTTTGATCACAGCAATGAACGGGACCTCCGTTTTCTTCCTGAACACAGGCACCGTTGGCTAATGAACACAGCGAAATACTAAGCGCCAGAACGAGCATCAAACCTTGGCGTTTCGTGCGGTCCATTTCTCTAAACGTGTTGTTGCTCTCGCTCGAGCCGGACGTCTGGAAGAAAATCTTAGTAGCCGTCTTATTTAACACAAATACGAAAAATCAGGGGATGACCCGAGCTGTCACGCCGGAAGTTTCAAATGTTTTCTCTTTTTCCTTGGCAGCGTGTCAAAGTGCCAGGATCCAAAATATTTCACGGTGACAGAGGGGTTTTTTCGGGCACAAAAAGAGACTTATGTGCGCGCCGTGGGTTGACAGCACGCGAAAAGTGGCTGACAGATCACACCGACTCAAAGCCTTATATTAACCACGTCACTTTGTTTTTTCAACAAACTACGGGGTGCTTAAAACTAAGCGGGAAATGGAGGAATCTTGGCAATGTCCGCGCTCTATGAAGCCTCTTTATACGGCTTGTCGTAAAGCCGTTTCAAACGCCGGCATTTTTAGTACTTAGTCGCTAAGTTAAGTTCTACCCAGAATAGCGTGCTACAAATCGGCTTCCCGAACAATCTGCGAGCCTAGGTATGGTGGATTTCTGTAGGGGGTCCGTTCTACAGGTTGTACCAAGTATTGTTTTACAACAAAATAAAGTTATTTATGACTGAAGAAACGTAATCAGCAAGTTTTTGTGTAGACAATTCACTTAACAGTGAGACTGTGACAAAAAAGTGCGATTCCTAAAGATCAGTTAAATGTTCTCCAACACAATCCTCCATTATTGCACAGCTTTTAACCACTTTTCACAAATGACTTTACACAAATTTTGCTGGTCGTGAGGGTTCTAAATTTTTCAAGGTGAGTGAGTTTTCCTGTTCATCGTCTTTAAAATAAAGTTCACTGCCGTTTCATCAGTTTATCACTGTCATCACGTTTGATTGCTTTTTCGTCACTCAACTCATGAAAGGGTCAGTTTTTGACTCTCAAGGGAGGCAATAAACTTTTCGGATAGTCTGTCAGAAGGAGGGATGTGTTAATATGATTCTCAGCAGCTTTTCATACCGAAATATCGTCTCGAAAATAAAATCTTAGTTGAAGTGCGAGTGAAGCCTATAAAAGCTACCGTTGAAAGAAGCCCGAAAGTGCTTTGATGGGATCTGTATCTGTGACTCCCAAACATAAGTGGGGCGCTACTATCAACTGAACGACGAAGCCACATTGGCAGCGCCGCAAATTTTAATGGGTTCTTAGAACCTTGCCTGGACAGAAGATTTGGACCCCATTCGAACTATAAAATGCTAACGTTGAACAACATGTAAAGATCATCGTAAAATCTTTTGGCGGAACAAAATTTTCAATTCCAAGCAATAGTGGCAAACCCTGATTTCACTTAACGTCCTTATCGAACAGTAACTTTTAAGTGTCTCGGCCCAACCTTTGGCTCAGAGCCTGAAATCTAATGTAGTGAGCGTTGTCTTTGATCCTATGAGATAAGCAGTCGATTGGGAAAATGACTAAAAATAGAGGAAAACAAAGGTTGTTTTGCTTTGTTTCAGCTTGCGAGAAAGTTCTCAAATAGTCAATGACATGATTAACGAGATAATAGATCACACAGATAAATCGACGGAGAGAAAAAGTTCAATTGCGCATTGAAGAACAAGCAAAGGTACGCTTCACAATAGAATGAGGGGGCGTTAAATTATTTCGCCTTTCCGGTTTTGGTCATGTGTGACTTTGACTTTGGGGTTTTTTGGTGCTCTTAATCTACTCTACAGTGGCTTTTCATTTCTTTCTTTTTTAACAGACCAGTTTTAAGTATAAAAATGTTTTTTTTCGGTTGTGTAGCGCCATTCACCTCGGATGAATCACCGTTTTCGCGGCGGTGTCGCGGTTTTCATGAAAATCCGTTTTGGTCGGTTTTCCAGTTTTGTGATGGCCACAAAACCCCTCACGTATCTCTTGTGATTGTCTCTGTACGCTGCTTGGGATTTTTTCCTCTGTCACTTCAAAAAAAGGGCGGGTAACTTCCGAACCGCCAAAGTGCACCATTTCCTTAGAAGAGACTATAGAGAAAGATGTTTCATTTTGTCACGAGCGTGGGTCAAAGCCAAAACAAAAACGATGAAGAAAAACATAAGAAACAAAAATTTCACTGACTCATTTTCTCCCTTTGATACAAAAGTGATTACGTTTAGACAAACGCACGTCCATATACACTAATAACAATCGGAACAAAGCAACTGTATCTACTAAGCTTGAAGGTTAATCCGCTACTGCTCCCTTTTGTGTTCGAAAAAATTTTCCGCTTGAGACAAAGACGCGTGAAGGAAAATGCTGCGGTATTAAAACGCAGTTGGAGCAAACTTCGAAATCACGCATGGTTTTGGCGGTTTCGGAAATTACTCTCCGTTATTGTTTCAAATCCAAAAAAACCAAAACAACTGTTTCCACGAGGTTAATCTGAAACCACATTTCATCCGATCACTTGAACAAAGCGAGTGTGTAAACTACCTACTCTCGGCGAAGTTATTATTTCTCTCAACAACAGAATGCTAATAACTCCCAACAGATATAGCTGATCATAAGACCGCGCTAACCATGCGTGCTGGCTGTTTAACAATGAGTAAAGGAACACGTGTGAGGAGAGGGGTCCCTTCATTCGTTGGTTTCCGGACAAGACTCAGATGAAGATGTTTTTCAGCGATTCTTGTGCCAGAGACCAGTGTGTAATCTACTTTGATTGACAAAAGAGTGCTACTGGCAAGCTTGAAGAGGGTAAATTAATTGTAGATACTGATGTGAGGGTGTTGAGGGTTAAAGGGAAAAATAAAGCAAGGTTTTTGGGAATCGCCGCATTTACAAAGGTCAATTTAGTATACGAAATAACATGATTTCGAGTGCAATTTGGAGTAAATAAGCATGAGTACCTTTTTCAAAGACGACAAAATTTCACAAGCCCGTAGGGCGAGTGTAATTTGTAGTCTTTGAAAAATTTATAACTCCTTATTTAAACCAAATTACACAAGAAATCATGAAATTATTTATTTACAATTAACGCGAAAAAGACATTACAGAAAGTCTAGACAGACGAAATTTTGATAGCGCACGCGCTATTTGTACTTTGCACTCGTGTAAAACTGCACTCATGTTACATGAAAAATGCACCTGTTTTCAGCCGATCAGAGGCGCGTGATTTTTTCATGTGTATTAATACAGGGTTTACTGAAAAACTTGGTCATGCTTCCCTTTGCGATGCTAAGTTTTCACCCGTTAGGAAAAGATGTTCGAGTTTTGCCAATGTTTGCACTCTTGGCTGTCTGTAATTTTGATTTACTGAGAGTAAGTTTTACTTCAACAGCGCTGAAATGCCGTCTGGAATTAATTGAGGTATAAAGAAACACAGGCAAAGATATACAAGTAAGAAAGGTTTTGAAGATGCGCTCTGATTCTAAGAGATGAGGACACAAGTGCGACGCACTTGAACCACTAATTACTTATCTGGTTATTTTCTTCACTTGATAATAGAGCAATTTTCAGTTGAATGTCGAACGTAATCTGATGTTGCTTCAGTTTTCCTTTCCTGAACGGTCCAGAAAACTCGTACCACCCTCTCGACCAATCAGATGCAAAACTGAAACCAATCACGACTTGGTCGCCCGCGTTTTCCCGCGCTTTAGGCAGTTCGGTTGGTTTTACTTTGAGTTCTCATTGGCTCTTTGAAGTATTTTCCTTACTTCTGATTGGCCGTTGTGATTACTTTGATTTTATGTTCACAATACTCAATCGCAAAGCGCTCTAACAAAAACTTACAATGAACAATGACGTATCAATCAATCTTGCTCAATGTAATAGTCTTTTTTAATCATCATTTTTAAAAGGAACCGAATACAAATAGAACTTGGGTTCACGACTTCATAAATATTCTCACTTTAAACTTAAACTGAATGGGTACACCTTCTTTCTTTCACAAGATCGTCATCCAACAAACGAATGACAAAAGTACACAATTTGTTGTAAACTCAGCTAGCGTTTATTTTCTTTCTATTTTCATAAAGTTTACTTTTTTTCCCTTAATCGACAGTTTCTTAATTGATAACTGCTCTAATTCCTTGAGGATTTATCCAATTCAAAACCCCGTCCGCGATCCTGAAGCTGTGAAGTCCGACTTTTATCCGGGACATTTTCACAAATTTCCAAGCACTTCATCTTTGAACTGGACGATATATTTTCTCATGTTTTCCTTCCTCTTTGGCGACAAATCGCGCCGTGGTGAAGAGAAAATCACTTAGCCTTGGAAAGAGAAAGACTATAATTAAAAACGGTTGTCATTACGGACTGAGTTCACAGAGAATTACATTAAAATAGGGTTGAAACCTCCGCAAAAACGAAAAAAAGGTAGATTCCAGTCTGATTTGTCACAGCACTGAGGGTGGAAGTTCAGCAAAAAACCAACTTAATCAATCATAAGAGAGGCAAGATGATTTGGTTTGATCAACTGAGTTGGTAATGTTAATTGGCCGCCGTAAAGAGCTGCTAAAGCTGACGTTCCCTGCGTTAGCCATACATCGGAGCGAATGACTAAGGGCTAATGCTCAAAACGTCAGCCTCGGAAACTCTTCACGGAGGCCAATTTGCATTCTCGACTCGGTTGATAAAACCAAAATATCTTTTTATATTCTCCCACCGACGCAGCACCACAGTTTCTTTACAAACTCACCCTTGGTTGTAAAGGAGGCAAACTTAGTTCCGACTGTTAAAAACTTACATTACTTTCGTTGAATCTCCTGACAAAGACAAATCGGAGATATGAATTCATTCTTAAGATCACCTGTTTAAGAAAGTTCCAACTTCTGGATCTACGCTTCCGCTCTGGACCAAAGGAACAACTCTACACAAGAAAACCACAACCAAAGAACAAGTTAAACTTTGTATAGAGTTATTCTTCGGCTTACTAGTAACACAGGGTAATTTTGTATTATCAACTGGGTTGATAACGTAAAATGGGAACCGTAAAGAGTTTCGAAACTGACGTTTGGAGCGTTAGCCCTTCGTCAAAGCCATAGACGAAGGGCTCGAAACGTCAGCTTTAAAACTCTATACGGTGGCCAATTTACGTTATCAACTCAGTTGATAACTCTAAATTACCCTGTTATACTCTTCCACCGACGTAGCACCACAGTTTCTTTAGAAACTTACCCTCTTTAGTACCAGTAACACAGCCGCACTGCAAAACTTTGACTGGCTTTTTTTCCTACGTACTCATATACCATTGTCATGTGGTTGTTCACAAATGTGGATGCCAATAACACAAGATCAACTACGCCTTTCAAAAGGTTCATCTTTTGAATACAGAATCTAACAATAGTAGCCAGCATGGCTATAGGTTTTGTATGTGCTTTACAGCATTGAATGGTGTATCCACAAAAATTAATAATGAAGTCGCAAGAGGTTTGGGACGGAAGAACCTCCGCTGCTCATTGTGGTGCTACTGTCTTTATTTTAATCAAGCCCCCCCCCCCCTTCAAATGAAAAACCCACACACAATGCAGGCCAATGAACTGAATATAGGCATGAGAGAACAATGAGCAAAGAAATTACATTAGCATAACAGCCTACCTTCTCTCAGCTCGACGACAAACTGATCTTGCTACATGTAACATTGCACTGCTTTTCCCTCCTGACTGAAAAACAACAACAACAACAACAACAAAAACAAAATCCTCATCGATTACTACTCTTAACATTCCAGGTAAACTAAACATGCTTTCCAATCTCAGGAACAGATCAATTAATCAATAACTGACTTGGCAGCTATTATTATTTTACTTGATATGAACAATTATTTACTGTTTGCTAAGTTTCTTCTGCCTTTCATCAGGCTTCCTTGACAACATGTCAGCACCTATTCATACTTCTGGGTGGAGAGAGGCATTTTAAGAATGAAGTGTTTTGCCCAAGAACACAACTCTACACCCAAGGCCCAGGGCACTTCTCCAACCACATCTCCCATCTGCTACCAATGAGCATGTTCAAGTTTTCCATGTACATATTACCAAACATAAGCGAGCTATGTTCCTTAAATTAAACTTAAGTTGATTCTAGCCACTCAGTAAAATCAGATTGACACTCACTGGTAAAATAAAATTTCTGAGTGAAGGAAGTTGCATATGATAGGAATCTATCCATTCTTCCAGAGTTTTCACATTCTCCTGGTTAAATTTAGTTTTTTCTGAAAAATCAAAACAAAAAAATAATTCTTTTTATTTTAAAGTTAACATACAGCTTGCAGAAGGTTGCAAATGGAGCCAAAATGAACATTTTTGACAGCAACATTGTGTGTAAGCTAATTTTTGTGTAATGGGCCTATATTTTTGAGCAATTACACCACTGAAAAACAAGTCACAGCTATATCTGAAACATCAATGAAAATAACAGAATTACAAAATACTCAAAAGAACAAGAGAAAAGCCAAACAAGGAAGTGGGAACCTCACCTAGTGAAAACAAAATTAAAGCCTACTATTCTTCATCTTTGTCTCAATTTGTACAACTGCGTGATTAAGAATTCTCAGAAGTTATAGTATCATGACCTAATGAGCCAAATATATTACTTTTTGGCCCTCCGATTCAGTCAATAAGTATGCTTTATTTTAGGTTTATGTCACAGTCAATTTGCAAAAAAGTGGTTGCCCTCCACCGATTTTTCCTCAACTTGTTTTAAAAAAAATGAAATTTGGCCATTACAGCTGTCCATTTCAAGGTCCCTATGATAACCTAGGAGCATCAGGCTGATTTAACAAATCTTCTATTTCATATGATTAATATATTGTGTTTCTCTTACCTATTTTCCTTTCAGATGAAGATTGTCGAGGTGTTGCAATATTTGAACCAATGTCCTGCAGAATGCACTGAATCTGTAGAGGTTTCAAAATTGGCAGTGTTTCTGTGAAATGCAAGTAAGGGGTTGTTACACACAAGAGGGGTCAAAGGGTCAAAGGGTCAAAGGGTTAAATCAGAATAAACTACAGGTCAATCCCATTAACATATTAATTGTCTGCAAAGCAAATAAAGTCATTACCTGCTCGAGTTTTTCTACAACATCTTTATGCCCTGCTTCTTCACAGAATTCACTTGCTAGTCTACGACATAATAAAGCCAATAAACTTGATTGTTATCCAACTGCATTAAATAGAGTAGGTATAAATAACATATGAGTCGCGTACAAATATCCCTTGATACTGAACAGTTGGTTATTTTGTACTGTGAAAAAAACCTGTCATAATAGTAATATCCTTTACTTAAACATGATAGGGTTTAAAGCTCAAAGCTTTTGGGGTTGTGTGAAAATAATCATAACATGAAACTACATTAAAATAGGGTTAACATTACTTACAAAACACAACTACCATGGTAAAAATTTAAAAAATGTTCAATAAGTTTCTAAAAAGAGAAATATTAAATGAGTTCACATATTTACATCTGAATAAATTGACTACAGCAATTAAGGCATAGAATATTTAGAAGCATTTAACATCACGGTAAAGCCTGGGTAACAACTGGACAGACTTTGCATTAAAATCAAGTTCCTTAAAATATTTCACCAATCTGCTGGGCATGCTAGGCTTCTCTATCTGCTTTGCTTTTCCTACCTCATATGAAATGCATATCAAATGAACCAGTTGGATATTAAATAACTTATTAGTCGTTTTAGTGTGCAGTATAAATAGTATTTTAACTCATTGTTGGTATTTTCACTCACCCATCAAAACATGGCACAACTTGTAAAAATACTCAGCAATACTGCACACCAAAATGTCTAATAAGAAATATATATTTTTAAATTAGCCATACAAAAAGCAGAAATGTCAGAGGAATCCCCTCATTGAAATTATACCTATCCTTTCATTCATATCCAATAAAGCTTCAAATAATATAATGTGTAAAACATAATATGTACAGAGTAAAAAGCAGGTGTTCAAATGTATTACCCAATGAAAGAATTTAATTCATCATTTTCTCCTAATGCCTCAAACAGTTGGTCAGTTTTTGCACGACGCTCTCCACCATATGTACTTGTGTAACCTGATAAATCAATATTCCCATTGAAAAAATAATAACTTTTAGTAAAGATTAGGTGTTAGCCCAATAGATTTGCTCAGGTTTGCTTTGACACTTTACAGACCTTTATGAATTAATTTTGCAATGAGGGAACCCAAAGGTTGCACAGATTACAGTTTTATGGTAATGGTCCTGAGGTCAATTCTAATGTTTAAAGATTTAAAAAATTTAGGCACCTTGGGACATATTTTGAGGAGCACTTTGTAACCAATTGTAAGCAATCAATTCTTTGTTTACAGCTTGACATCAGTATGCATATTCTTCATAGTGCTCTCTATATGTTTCCTTTTGTACAAGACAAGGAGAATTTATTAAAAAACCAAGAGTTTCTTTAGTTGGTGATCATTCCCTTTATTCTCTAAACCTTTAAGTTGGATTCAGCAGCAATATGGTAAGGAGAAATCAAATGCTTGAGGGTTAAATGTGCCTATCACCCCAAATCCACCTATCCCATAATCTTTGCTGACAAATGGTTATGTAAGAGTGAATAACCATGAAAAGGTGGATGACAAACCAGGGCTCAAGTCCAAGACCTCTCCATCTACACTCTTGTGCATTAATCACTGGGTTACAGCTAGCCTGCGATCTGGTGTTCTCATTGGAATAAAAAGAATGCCTGATCACAGGTGAGGCCAAAGCATCTTCCTCAATATAGCCATACTCTAAGAGCAGATCATAAACATGGCCAAACAGGAATTAAGATGCACATATCATTCTTGGTGAGAAAAATAAATGATAGCATAGTGGACTCAGTGCATTGTGCCTTATATTAAGCAGGTGCATTTCATCACAGGTTTAAAGCATGTTGTGATATGTTCTGGTGTAATATGCTCTACCCATGAGTTCAAATTAAGTATGGGAAAATTACCGTAATTATTTTGGTGTATGTTCAATTACCTGTATCTCCAGTTCTGGTATATATCTTTGGTCCTACAGGGCTGCCATAAAAACGAAGAGGTTGTAGCTTACAATGATGATGTGAACCTTACAAAATTTTGTAATAATGTACACTATTTCAGGTCAAAAGATCAAACGGCCCAAACATTTCATATGATGCACAGTCGTGGTGCTCTTAAGTGTGAAAGTGAATTTTTTTTTCGCCAAAGAATACAACATAGTGATCCTTCCAGGACTTAAACTTGGAAATTAAAATCTAACTCGTCAATCTCCTAATGCGATATCTTAGACCACCGACCACCTCGAGTTTTGTCAGCCTATGAGTACTAGTCGCACGGCAAAGGTCGTACTAAGATCAATCACCTTTATGATAAAATCATTAATGGAATAAATTGATTTTAGCATACTACCTCGATGAGCTCCATCTTGCAATAAAACTTGTAAGTAAAACACTGCGCATTTTTCTCAGCTGGAATGTAAAAGATGAGGGGTAGAGAAGGCGCTTACAGGTGAGAAGAGCCGCCATCTTTGATTAAGGTAAGGACTTTAAATAAGTATCATCATTTGTAATCTAGTACCCAGATCACTTCAGCATGCAGTATGAGTAACAGACTTCAACTGCGCTTTAAGTGACATAGCCAGCCAATAGGCCCGTGCACCTGGTCTACATTCTTATTCCTGCGTACTTTACTTTTATAATGTGACCCTCGCAAATGTTAAAAAAAATTGAACTTTCTTGGGGAACAAACCTAAAACAAATTGAAAAGGCTACACCTCTGCTTTGGTACTCTATAGGAATATGGTTATTGCTAAAGAGAGAGATGAAAGTTCACATGTCCAAGCTATAACACCTGAAAATATTCTAACTCAAACAGAAGCCAATAGGTTTGAACCTTCTGCCCCAATGTCTTGCAACCAAGGGGAAAAAAAACAACACTTCCTTCTCCACCAGCTAAATTTTATTGTAAGCTTTGCAGATCTGTCAAAATAACAATGGAATAGTTTTCTTGGTTGGTTATTCCATTGGATTATCTTCAGTATTTTTCTCTTTTTCTTTGGAGAGAGTGGGGGAATCATAGAGGCTAAGAGTGACTACGTTCTATTTTCTCCTTAAAATGTATAATGTACAATGAATCTCACATTAAGGTCACAAGGTAAAGGAAATGATCACCAACTAAAGAAGCCCTTTATTGTTGAACAAATTCCCCCTTGTTGTAGAGAACAGTATGGAGAATATTCATACTGATGTTGGGGTGTAAAGGGCTAAAACATGTCTAGACTTTGATGTGAATGGGATCTAAGAGGCATGAAGAGGGACTTGCATGGTACTTTATCCTGAAACTTTGTCTTGCAATAGTTTAGGGTTTGAAGAAGATAAGTTTGTTGCTCTTGGGGAATTCACAAATGAGAACTCAACTGTGCACAATAGCTCATTTAATAAAAATCAGTACATTAAATTTTCCTTGCAAAATATCATTTACTCATAAATATGCTTTAACTTTAAGGTGTTTAAATGATTACTTACATTTTGCTTACAGCAGTCAATGATCAAAAATGTCTGGTTCCAAATTTCGCTATTTTCAATATCATATAACTCTTTATAACTATAGAGTCTGACATATTTAATGAGTGGTTTTCATTTTAATACAAAGACCAGTATGTGGTAATAGATTGCCAGAAGTTTAAAAGTGACAAATCTTAAATTACGAGTGTAAAATATCAAGCAACAAGATTACAAACTTTCATCCCTAATCTTCTGTCACTACATCACAAATCTGGTAAACCTTCATTAACCTGAATTTCTCCTTACAATATTAATACAATGTTGACTAGATAAGTGATGAAAATAAAGTAAAATATTAATTTGGAGTATAATTAGTTGATCTGATACTAAATTCTCTGAACTAACACAATTAGAATTGTATGGTTGAGAGTAAGGAGAATTTCAAATTTAATCTGGGAGTTAAAGACTTAACTGGTTCTTACTTATGATCTATTGAAGGACAGACCCAAATATGATGTCGCCATTAACAACATTTTGCTGTTTTATCATATCTAGGATAAAAAAATTTACATGTTGCTGTGGGTCTGTACAGTAACAGAACACAGAAGATGTCAGAATGTGGTGAGTACATCAGTGACACACTTGCCTGTGACTTATGTGCTATGTTTGTGTACTTACCACATTTTGACGTCATCTGTGATCTACTACTGAACAGACGGCAATATGGAATCAGTTTAAATTTTTTCTGTACTTCAAAATAATGTTACACTGAGTCATTACAGACCTTTATAAATGCTGTCACATCATACTCCAAATAAGTGGGAACAATTTAGCAACAACTGTCTACCATATTTTCTTACACATTTTTCATTCAACCTAAAGTAAGACATATGACCTTAATTTACGAATAATCAATAAATACTGTTAACCAAAGAGGATTATGGAGCTAACTTGCAGCAGAAGAGTAAAAATGATGGCCTGCCCTTCAGGCTTCAGCATGAGTGTTACTTTACCCACAGAAATAACAAGCTGTGAGAAACACAAACCAGCAAGAGGCCTTGGCAAACCCCTTACCAACTTGTCTCAAATCTTCCTGTGGGCTGAGACACCAGCATCCTGCTGCACTAATAATGATGGCCTGCTCATAGTTTATGAAAATGTAGGCTCAAGAATAACAACATTTGCTACAAAATATTCATTTACAGCACTGTACATTAAAAAAGATGAAAAATACCAATTTAATGTTTGAGAAAGCACAATGATAGAAAATTAATGACAAAGGTAATCCTCTTTGGCCACAAAATAAATAGAACACATTTCTAAAATTTTATCAACAGTTATCCCTAACTCATCAAACAATCCCTGATGTTGGTGTTAAGAATAGAGCATTAAATGTGGACAAACACTGCACATTGAATGAACTTGGTTTAAGATACCACTTCACAAAACTGGAAAGTGGTAGTCACAATCCTTGCCTGAAGACAACTCAGTGAATAATTTGAAATAAGTTTTCTTTTTTCCATTATTCTCTGAACCCTGGGTATGGCAGCTGAACCAAAAAGAAATTCAAAACTACTGAAAAATACTCGCAAACATTAACATGACAACCCAAAACTAAATGGGGTAAGTCTCATCGGTGAGGGGTGGGGGGAGGTTGGGGATATAAACAGTTAATTTGATTTTATCAACTGAGTTGATGTTGTAAACTGGGCTCTGTAAACAGTTTTTAAGCAGATGTTTTTGATTGAATAGAGGAAATGTGGGTTGTATGAGGTGTCTATGCAGGAAAATGGAACTTTGGTATTCAGAGGAACAAGGTAACTTAAAAACACAAGAATGAATTATTTGAATGAAAAGCATTTGTAGATAGAATTGTGACAGTGGACAGGTAGTGTACAATGTATGCTACTGTTGTTGATGTTTATGTCGAGGTTTGGGAAATTTTGTGTTTTTGTTGGTGGCTACAAAGGTAGGGATTACATTCAATGTGTTCCCTATTCTTTGTAAATACCTGTTAAAAATATTTAACATATGAAAATTTCTTCTCTTGTTTAAGTCAAATAATCATAGCAGGGTAAGTGAGAACTTAGTACCTCCCTGTACTGATCAAAAATGAATTTACTACTCATAAATTCTCTCCTTTTATTGCGTGGCATCATTTTGGTCCTTTAGATGCCTGATGTGTATGTTCCCTCTGAAGGTCTTTCTTGGTGAGCTTCAAACTAAGAGACTGGTAAAAAGTTAAAAAGTATGCATTAGATTTTGGCCTAGTGTTAACCCTTTATCTCCTGAAATCTGATTGCTAATTCTCCCCTGTAGCTGCTACACATTTCCTTGTAGATTATATGTGAGAATTTGGTGTTAGATCAAGACAGCAACCTCTACCTGATAAGTTTGAGTATTCTCATTATCTCTTTGCTGGATAAGGTATGGATATTGTGGGGAGAGGTTGCATGTTAATCACTTCTGGGAGTTAAAGGGTTAAGTACCAGGTTGTTTGTATACCATGTCAGTCTTTTCCATCCATCCTCAATCATCCTGGTTCCCTTTTGCTTTATTTTGGTGTTTCTCTAGTCAGAGCAATTCCCAATTGAATGTGAAAAGAAACTACTTTTGATTTGCTTTTCTTTGCTTTATGATTGGTCCAGAAAATTTGCACCACATTAACAACCAATCAGATTCAAGACTAAACCCAATTGCAACTTGGTCACAGCACAGGACAACCAAGCTCCTTTAGCTTTGTGTATGAGTGGTGTAACTGTGGCTTAATAAGTCTTTGTAATTACATGTGATTTCTGATCTTGGTTCTTTTAAAGCATTTTAAGTAAAATATTGGAGGTGATGCCAAGTAAACAATAATGCTAATTCCAGTTATTATCTAAAATGATCAAAACAACAAATTAAAACAGTTAATATATCAGAGTTACTCCTCATACTCTTTGTATTGTGTCTTCACTTGCAGGTAAGTTGCCAAGTTAAAAAAAGGATTGTAAAATTACAGGTGTACAAAATTAACTGGTCTTTCAGTTGCCTTACCACTGGTATCAGGGAATCTTCTTGCATTAAGTTCTTTGGTAAGTTCCTGAGCCTTTGGTTTGTCTCAAAGAGCCTGTTGACAGTTATTTACTGATCACCAAAAGAGACCAGACAACAAGGAAACTAACCACTACACTAGCTTTGAAATCTTTATTTTGAATAGTCATCTTTATCATGAAACCTGTTTGCAGGTTCTGTTTTATGCAAAAAAAGATCTTTTGCATTGCAGTGTTAAACTTAGATTCAATTTAGATTATGTACAAATTATATGCATGAATCAGTTTTCAATGGCCAATAAAACACAGAAACATCCACTTTTCATCTCCCCTTGCATCATGCAGCAACATGGTTTTTCATCTTACCCTGGACAACGCTGAAGATCTCTAGGCGTAAGTGCTGATTTCATCATTGCCAGAGTAGTTCTGAAGAGCACTTTTGGTCCTAAAGGAAAGAATAAAATAGAATACAGTTTTCACTTTAATTCTTCTCAAATTAAATTTGACTACCTTAACTAAATAATGAAAAAAAATGCCAAGCTATGACAACTCCATATTCAATCCAAATATCAATTAAGCTGAGAAATTCACCCTTGTTTCCATTGAAAAAGAATTGTGAATGCAGACCTACACACATGAACTGATCGTTACAGTAAACTAAATCTTGCCTACCCTCATTTCAATCATGAAACTGAGGATGGGAGGACCTTTAGCTTATCTGCGACAAGATTGTGGAACCAACTACACATTAACCAAAAGACAAAGGCAACAACAGTTGCTTCTTTCAGAGAGGCCCTTGACAAATATTTTTTAACAAGCTATGATGAAGTAGAACATTTCAGTCCAAATGCGATTTAACCTGACCCAAGTGGCATATTTCATTTTATCTAGTTTTTAGCTTATAGTCTTATAGACCTGTCAACCAGTTTTATTATCCTCAAATACATTTAATTCTAATTATTGTACTTTTAGGATTGAGGGCCACTACTATATCAGTTGAATTACAGTTGTGTGTTACCCTCCTTAAATTAAGTTTGTTTTAGCTGTTTGTTTGAATTCTGTGTTACTAAATTTATTGACATGCATACATTCCTGCATTAAAAGTACTCCACATCCCAACATGGACATGGAGCCCACCTCCCTTATCATCAAGCAAAATGAAACAATAAGGACATAATCAAATCATATAGCCAAAGGCCCTCACTTCATCAATCTCATCTGTAAACCAATTAATTCAAAAGAAAGCTAACAAGCGAAACAAAACTCAGAGATCGAGAACACAAACCTTCACAAAAAAACATGTCCCATACTCGAAGTACAGTGGCAAATGGGAGGTTCCTGGAAAATAATTCAAATATAGATTGAACAGACCTTGGACTAAGAAGACTCCCTTTTAACTTCCAGAGGTGATTAACATGCAACTTCTCCCTATAATTCTCATACCTTATCCATCAAACAGGTAATGGGAATACTCAAACTTATCAGGTAGAGGTTGTTATCTTGACTTAACAACAAATTCTTGTACCTAATTTACAAGGAAATCTGTAGCAGCTACAGGAGAGAACGAACAATCAGATCTTGAGAGTTAACGACTCTCACCTAGCCAAGAGACACATAAACCATTCTGTCATGTACATCAAAGGGTCTATGTGGTGTTTTTCCTGAAAGATAAGAAATGTGTGTGCATGGTTAGGATTTTGTAATAAGCACAATCAATAAATAAAGCAAACACAGTATCTTCTGAAGCTTGGCATGTTCTTTTTGGCTTTTCTATTCTTTTAACAAATAGAACTTGGTCAAAGTCACATCCAAAGATGATGAGTTCTTTCCTCTTACTCGCATTATTTCTGGCCTACGCATAATTCATGCTTAAAAATATTGAATGTGACAAATTGTCATTAATGTGACAAATTGTCATTAATATAACAAATTGAATGTAAAATACCTACCATATGTTTCGCAATATGAGGTGCAGTTTTTTCCAACAGACCACCAAAGATGGCCCCGTCCAATTTAACAGCTTCCTGCATTTCAGTGAAAATAACTATTTAGATGTTGTTGGAGCAATTTCAATTGAGAGCTGAAAGTAATCCTAGATTGCATTGATTTTTCCTAACTTTCCTTTGTGATAGGTCTGGATAACACTTACACCCCCCTTCCCCTCTCCTTTTGATCAAGTAGATAAAAAACCTTATCATGTGCTTTATGCAGTTTGCTTATTTTCAATTTGAGTTCTCATTAGCTCCTTAGGATGTCTCCCTTTTCACTGAAAGCCTTTAACTCAAAAGCCAATTGATGATATTTTAAAGTGATTTGTTTTGACTTACTAATTTGGGCTTGTAGTATCCAGGAATGTAGCTTTCACAAATTTTAACCAAACACCAGAAGGCTTCCTGTAGGGTAGAGGTGAGAGGTTAAGTTTCATAGGTCAAAATGTTAACAAAAGTTTAAATGATCACCAACTAAAGAAACTATTGATTGTTAGAAAATTCCCACAAGACTCCTGCCTCAATTTTTTACTTAACCCATTTTATAAAATTAATATAGTAACTAAATGCAGAATTGTTTAAACTCATGGCTCACCTCTGCTGTCATGTGCATTAAAAGCACTGCTGCAACTGGAGCCATTGCCTGTGCAAAACACAGCAGATGAATAATTCATCAGGTTTAAAAATCATGCTTAAATTTCACCACAGGAAGTTGAAAAAAAAACAAGACTATTAATTCTACCTGACAGTATCCTGTCTCTGTGTCATATTCTGCATAAGCTTTCAAGATGTCGAATAAATCCTTTTGCCCCAACCCATCCTTTTCACAAAACATCTCATGAAATGGGAAGGTTCTGCTTAGATCTTTAGTAATCACATCCTGCCATTGTGAGGATTCTTTCATAACTAGTTCCTAGAATAAGTCAAAATATTTTAATTCTCATATCTAATTTGACCATTTCATAAACAAACTTTTATTGCAAGATAGCATGATTTCTACACTGTGCTGCCCTACAAATAATCCTAACAAATAGAAATGGTGTGATTGATGACCAATTTTTTGAAGCCATCTGGACCGGTAAGAGAGAATTTACAAACAAATACCTGTATATACAAAAATATAAGATTCTACAAGAATGCTGTTTGTTAGTTATGAGAGTTTGCAACTCATTCATTTATCTGAATACAAATTTTTTACAAGATATTTGACATCTGAGTTTCATGTAAACACTTCTACCTTCTGACACATTTGCCTTCTTAACAAGAAAGCTACCAAAACCATGATATGGCCTTAAGCCCCAAGTGAACTATGTCGTATGTCAATTGCAAACTTCAAATTAAAATGTGAAGTCTGTACTCAAGCTAAGTGGCTTCATCCCAGCTTCCATGGCATGAAGCAACTTAGACTATTGTTACTCTCTCCTAAATTGGATGCCAGTCCATCACATGGTCACCCCTAGCATTTCATCAGGCTTCCCTGATAATTTGCAAGTATCCATTTATACTCCTGAGTGGAGAGAGGCATTGTTAAATTTAAGTGTTTTGCCCAAGAATACAACACAATGACCAAGCAAGGTCTTAAACTATAACCTCTATACCCAGAGTCCAGCACACTAACCATCTGGCCACTACAAGCTTCAAAGCCATCTTTAATTACAAAAAGGTGGCTTATAAAGTTCTACTAGAAAGCAACATTTAAATTAAAAAATAGAGAGACTAAAATATATATGGCAGTTTCCTTCCAACATACTTGGAACCTTCCTTCATTTTCCTTCTTTAGATCGGCACTGCCTGATAAGTGCTGCCAAGCCCTCCCACGAACTGACGAAGGAATACCTTTGCGGCATCTTTCCTTCACCTAGTTGCATGATTATAAAGTACATCAAAGTAAACTCAGCTTCGTGCTCCTAATCATTTTCTTGAAAAAACCAAAAAACCTGACAATTTCTCAATATCTTATGTCTTGTGAAGAGACTTGTTGGAAATTAAATTTGAAATTTCAAAACAAATACACAAATGTGCATGTGTTTTATTTTGAAATCATGCATATTATTTCAAACAAAATTGCACTCCCCTCAGTTCAAACTGACCTTTGAGGACTTTTTGGTCATCCATTTATCCCAGTCATCAAACATGTGCACCCATTTCAACTCTCGTTGTCTTATAACTTCAATGGGTAAACTAGTTTTGCTGTTTCTGAAAAAGAAAAGGTGGATTACACATCACATTAAAAAATTATGTAACAAAGCACTTCCATATTCTCTTTAAAGGTACATCTTTTCTTTCCTTGTGCCAGCTAGAATTTTATTTTTGGCCATTATTTTGGGAAGAAAAGGTGGGATAAACATCACATAAAAAATTATGTAATATGGCACTTCCATCTCCTCTTCATGTTTCCTTTTTTACCTTTCTTCATGACAGCCAAAATCTTATTTTGGTGACCATTTTGTGGTTTTAGGTTGCCAACTTTAAAAAAAAATAGGCATGCATAGCATGCAAGAGTTATTTTTTCGGCTGGGCAAGTTATAATGGGGCACTTTGTGTACATAATGTTTTCATTTTTGTAACAGAAAAAGAACATTACTTTCAAATGGATGAAAATATCGCATTACTTCACCTTTAGAGAAAGAAAGAAAAACCTAATTTATCTGAACTTGCAAAGGTATTTTGTGGTCTATTGTCGCTATTGTCTTAATACTTCCAAGCAAAAACAAAATGCATCAGTGCCACACTTAATGTTGTCTCCTTCCCAACTGTTGTTTGGTCTCATCGCACAATGCCATCTATTCCCCACTGGAGAGAGAGCGCATTGCTTGATAAGACCAAACAACGGTTGCAAAAGGGAGTATGTTTTCTACCCTTCCTCTAACAGAGAGAAAATAAATTTATTTGTCTACAGTTAGTTGCCTCAAAAATATAATTCCATGTAATTTTATTAAGAAAAGCAAACTGAAACTCTGTTGTATCTCCAATAGACCTTAACCAAAGATATATTGTGATCTTGAATAAGTGAAGTTACATTGAATACGACAAAAGGATAATATTTCAAAGAGGGCTCCTTGATTGGTTGCTGCCTATCTGGACTATACCCTCTATGTGTGAAATACATGATAAAATGCAGGTTTTTTATGAGGAATTAACATGTTATTGGATTAAGTCCAAGAAAGCTGAAAGCCAATTTTATTTTTAGAAAAACTCAAAGCACGGGAGAATTGAGTGGAAAATTCACTATTAGTAGTATTTGGTTTCATGAGGATTTTTTTCAGTAGGGTTAGACAAAGTGGTTAGGATACGTGATTAAATGCAGGTTGTTCACGAGGAAATGACACATAATGGAGAGAAGTCTTATTTGGCAAAATTGAATTTGATTGATGGAATACAGTTCAGGCATGTGAAGAATTGCCTAATGTTTATGTAATGCAATGATTGGGTATGTTCAGATTGGACTTTGGAAGTTGTTTTCTTGGTACGTGATGGAATGTAAGCTGTTTGGAGGGTGAGTTGTGAGTAAAGGAATGGAAAAAACATGTTTTAACTTAAAAATGGTACAAAAAGGTTAAATGCGAACCTTTCATACCCCAATAATTCTCGACATCGAATAACAACACTCTCATGTAGGCCACAAACCATTATACTCATCAAATGAGCCAAAATGTATGGATAATGTCATTCTTTGTGCATAGCCCCCTGATTCCATTCCATTTCCGAGAAAACAATACCCAAACACTCTAATTGGTGCAAGATATCCAAGTGCTGTGATATGATTGGTGCCAGATACATACCCTTGATGCAGTGATTGGTGCAAGATATCCAAATGCTGTGATATGATTAGTGTGAGATACATACCCTAATGCAGTGATCCAATTGGTGCAAGCAACATACCACTCTACATGCTAACATAGCTTAGAGCTTAGGCAAATATGTAAAAGGCACAGTCTTGGTTTAAAAAGCTCCCACCGTTATCTAACTTAATTTTAATTAACAAAATCTTTATTACAGCCGTATAATTTCGATTGTGTCCCTACTCACCCCCCCCCCCTGCTCTAAATGCCCCCTGACTTATTTTGAATATTCGTACGTTTAACAAGATTGCAGTCGACTGACAGAAATCACCATACAAAAGAGCTATTACACACTTACCAAGCCTTACGTTCCACCCATGTAAGCTCTTTCGACTGCAGAAAGTTATTTTGAACTACATCAACATAAATTAAACACAGGTAGACTTACGAGGCTTGTTTGTGATCTCCGACAAAACCGTACCGGTCGACAGATGGACCTGCAGTTAAATTCTCGTCTGGATTGATAGGCGTAAAACCATTCAGCTGAATATTTTGTGGTTCATAATATTCCATTATTCCAACGAAGAAATACAGGAACAAAGTCCATTACAATTGCAATAATGTTACCGTCATTCGTGCCAAGTCATTTCCTCCGTGAGGTTCACCAGACGCTACACAAAGGTGCAAAATTTTGAAGCATATGTATCGGGCGAACGCCTTATCAGTAGATATCAATGTAGACTACACTTCGTTTTTGCGAAGAACAAAAAAGACTCAAACAGGAAAAACTTCCTTTTCAGTCGGAAGTCATTTCGAAATTCAAGAAATTTAAAAATAATATTGATTTTGAGGCTGTCCCCTTTGTCGGATACCGCATACCGAAAATACTACGATCGCAGAGCGGGCTCAGCTGAGAAGCAGAAAAGTGGGTGATCAGTACTAAAATTCTCCTTAAAGTTTTAAACAAAGTCTTGTAGACAGATGATGATAAAACACAAAACACAGGACGAAAAAAAATTTTTTTCAGGTAAGAGAAGACCTGGCGCTTTCGCAGCTGAAGAGTTTTCTCCGATCAAGTGGTAGTGTAACGGGTTAACGAAAAGCCAGTAAGAAGGAAGGAGCTGTTATGTAACAGTCTACAAGTTGTACAAGTATTCAATCAACGTTGCGCAATAAGCTTCTGCACATACTTGCAGCACTTGCAAGACGATTTATCCACGTATCTGGAGATTTGAAATCACCGTAAGAATTCAATGGTGGTTTGGCTGAAATAGTTAATCTATTTTACCTTATTCGCTTTTCAGACAAACTGCATGCATCTTCCTTGACTGTTACATAAATCGATAAATAGCAAACCATATCTGATAAGTCCACTGCAAACCCTATCTGATAAGTCCCCTTTGTATTCCATAGGTGCCCTCTATAAAAAAACAAACAAACAAACAAACAAACAACAACAACAACAGCGATAACAACAACGACAGGTGTAAGTAGTGCGTGAGGGATGTGGAGGGGCGAGATGTTGAGGGGCATGAGCAAGAGTGAACAGGGCGAGAGTAACGCCCTCAGCAGATTGCTGATGTGACTGTAAGCAAGCTAGAGACGATTTCTGTATGTTGGTTTGGATAAAAAAGTAAAGCTTTTATAACAAAGAGAACGGCACAATAACCGAGCTTCTGTGTGCTCAATGTTGATCTTTCCTTTTCTTGTGAGAACCTGGTAAGCACTGATTATCAGTGCCAGACCCCCGGCAAACCTCTCCCAAACTCGTCTCAAATCTTCCCGCGGGCGGAAAAACGCGCGTCCTGCAGCAGTAAAAATGAGAGCCTGCGGAAGGCTTGGTTATTACTTGCTGAAGGGGTTACAAGTCTAATGAATAATTGACTTTTATGTCAATAAATAGCGTGCATTGTCCTTTGTCTGCAGGTGCCACTCAAGTGACCTAGTGGAATATTGATTCTAACAACTGAAGTGTTTAAGAACTAACATGTAACCAGTTAAGTCAACAAAATAAATGTCGTAAAACAGCAAGAAACCTTCAAAGTTTTTACCATCAACTGGCATGGAAACATGGCGACCCATTACGTTGCTATGTTAGTCGTGTTCTACTCCAAGGCGCAGTGGAAACTATTTTTTGTGCTGGTGGCGTATTGTGTTTTTAGACTAAATTCTCTGCCATTACCTGATGGAGCGAGAAAACTGGAGGACTCTCAATCTGGTAAGATTTTGAAATTAATTTCGGTCGTTTCTTCCTATTGCTTTGATTTTTACTCTTGTTAGAGAATTGACAAACTAAAATATTAGGTTTAACTGTTCCGCCATAGACTTGGGTTTGGTTAAAGTGGTTCAAAAGGGTCTTAAGTGGGGTCTGACGTTTCCGTGGTTCGACTCTTCGACTCCCACGAGTGTTCAGTACGTAAATTCTCCTGGCAATTTTTATATACTATCAATCAGAGCAAGAGAGATTCTGGCAATATCAACTGGGGCTTAGTATTGGCATCATATCCGGTCCAGATATAACGACAAATTCTTAGGAATAGTCCACGAATCTAGTAGTCTCCATTCCAGCGCCGGATGTCAAGCAACACTCTCATAAATTGGGAGATTTAGCTCTCGTTTCTTTGGGATATCACACAACGCTCTCGTCATTTGGGAGAAATAGGTCTTGGATCTTTAGCATGTCACGCAATACTTTCATTAAGTAGGGGAAGAGGCGTTCAAATCTCAAGTTGTGGGATGGCAGGGTTGAGTTATCTTAAGATTCCCTTAGGGCTTTCATTCACGTTGTAGAAACATTATTCACTTCTAACACTTCTTTGAGCATTAACCCTATCTAGAAGATTTGTGAAATAAGGGTAATTTGCGATGATCCAATGGGTCTAAACTGTTCATTCCGTACTGTTTTTTAATAACATTTGTAAAGGGTCTATTTCGTTTGTGGCAAGTAAGTAGCAAGTCCGGGTACATAAAGGTCGATCGTTCATTTCATTTATCATACGTCGAAGGAAATTTGATGTATACTGAACTGAGCAGAATTTCAATATGAAAAAGGTGCGATTTAGTGCAAAAAAAGGATTTCGATTTATGAATAAATCGCACTGCTGAGGGCCAATCTGATCGCAAGGATCAGCAGTGATTTTAAAGTGGAGTAGTCAGGGTGCCCTAATGTAGAATAGAAACTTGTTCAGCTTGTGTGCGCATCTGACATGAAATGTTATCTGTTCTGCGCATATAAACTGTCATTCACGTTCGTTTTTGTTTTCCTAACTCTTTCTTAGTGAGCTGTGTAAGCGTCAGTTTTATCAACAACTGCAAAAGGCCAATAAAAATCTGGAAAACGATGTCGCCGACAACATTCAAAGGCTTCATTATTTCAGGAAACATTTACCGAATGAAGACTATGGTGCTTAACCAAAGGAAACCAGTTGTATTTCACGCAGAAGATCTGGGTTCCAACCAATCCGATAAACTTTTACTAGAAGGGCAGGAGTCCCTTTCAATTCTCCCGTTTGACTGTGATGACAAATTTGTTAATGTTTCAGTTAGCTGTCGGTCTAAACTAAGCTAGAAGAGTAAATTAAACTTAAGACGTGATAAACCCTTTCACTCTTTGATTAACTCTTTCACACCGAGTGATTGGTATCCAATGTCTCCTCACAGTATCTCTTTTGAATCAAACATGACGGTCACGAGACTAAAGGAAATGATCGCCATTTTAAAAAGCTCTTGATTGTTCAACAAATTCTTCTTGCTATTCCCATAGTGAATATATAGAGAACAGTTTAGAGAATATATATGCTTATGTCAAAATGTAAAGGGTTAAAAAGTAATTAAGAGAAAATAAGGGACAGAGAGCAACACTCAGCGTGTTAGCTAAAAAATTATTCAACGGTTCTGTTTATTGTGGCAAGCTAAGTTTGAATAGAAATCGCCTGCGCCGGTAAATTATTGCTCAAGAAATACAATTTCCTTCTCTTTCGAAGTGGTTTTTCATTGAAATTGAATTACCTGCTCGCTCTTCGCCGTCACATTGCTTTCAATTTGAACATCGTCTTTAGGTTAACCTTCATGTGGACGTCTCGGAAAGTAGATGTCAGTTCGAGGTAGTATCCGCAAGGAACTTAACCCTTTGACAGGTTAGAGTGACTAGCATCTAATTTCTCCTTACAGTATTACCCCTGAAACACAGATTAAGGTCACGAGAATAAAAAAAAATGATCACCAACTAAAAGAGCTCTTGACTGTTAAACAAATTCTTCTCGTCAGCACCTCAAGAAATGTGTAGAGAACAGTATGGAGAATATGCCTACTGATATTAGGGCGTAAAGAGCCCACTTCGGTTTAGATATCTCAAGGCCCAGACCGCGAACCTTCCTCTCTGTTTCCTCTTCCTTTGCATAAAAAGGTCACAAACTTAAGGGCGTTACTGGAGTGTATACTGAAGTGTCCAAGACTACCCTCCCCCTACCAGCTCAACAATTCAGGGCCCAGTTGTTCAACTAGCGCTAACACTAATCACATAATGTTAAACACCCAAAGCTAACGCTAACGATAACACCATCCATTGGATAAATCGCTATACAGCGGATGAGTGTTAGCAAAATGTAATGCGCTAACTAACAGATAGAGGTTTATACTATATAATAATAATAATAAGGACTTTATTTATAGAGGGGGACACGTAACAGCTGAAAAGCTGACAAACCTGTGGCCCTCTAACTAGATTATACAGCATTACAAAATAATACTAATAAATAGATAAATATACAAATAATTACAAAATTCTATGATAGAAATAGCAGGATATATTAAAAATATTCAGAAAGATAAAATTAATTTATAAAAAATTAAAATTAGATAATGTGCTATTGCTTAATATTGTTTCAAAGTTGTCCAGGTTTCTATATGAGCTTATAAAATACTTTTTCACAGCTGTTTTGAATAGTTTTATACTAGGCTTATTTTTGATATTATGGGGAAGGCTGTTCCATAACTTAACTGTGTCAACACTGAATGCCTTGCCACCATCGTTATTTCTTAGGTATTTGGGACACACTAAATTTAAATTGCCATGTCTAGTAGACCTATTGTGTACAGAACTGTTCGTCTTGAGCAAGTCTCTGATGTAAATCGGAACATCGCCTTTAAGGCTCTTAAAAATCATTGTACACTTATTTAGTTTGATTTCATCAAAAAAAGGCAACCAGCCTAGTTTACTAAAGTTTATAACACTTCTAGAATAAGAGTCAACTCCAAGAATTACTCGGGCAGCCCTTTTCTGTAACCTTAGGAGACAGTGGAGTTCTTTAGCGTCGCAGATATTCCAAACCATGCTCCCATACATAAGGACGGGTTTAATCAAGGCGTTATAGTATAAGAGTCTTTCTTTTATTGGAAGGTACCTCTTTATCTTCTTCAATAAACCAATACGCTGAGAAAGCTTGGCCTTTAGACTAGAAATGTGGTCGCTAAATGTAAGATCTTGATCGAGTGTTACACCAAGCAATTTATAAGAAGTTACTTGTTCTATTTCGGCCCCATCAAGGGTTATTGACAGGTGATTGCCATCCGCTAATGATGAATGTAGCCTCTTTCCGGTGATAAGTAATGCATTGGTTTTAACGGCGTTTAGGACCATCCCATTTTCGCTAGACCATTTACTTAATTTATCCATGTATTCTTGAAGACGTCGTTCCAATTCCAAAGGTGCATTATCGATATTAGCGCTGGCTTTAAATGTGGTGTCATCCGCGTAAGCATGAATAGTTGAGTCCGATCCAACAGCTTCGGGAAGATCATTGACGAAAATTAAAAACAGTAGAGGTCCTAATATGCTACCTTGAGGAACTCCATTGGTTAGCGTAAGTTGTGACGAAGTCGAGTTATTTACAGTAACACACTGTTTGCGATTGAGTAGATAGCTCTGCAATAGCTTTACAACATTATCTGGAAATCTATATGATCTTAACTTTACCAGGAGAATGTCATGATTGATCAAGTCGAATGCCTTGCTATAGTCCACAAAAACTAAGCCGCTGACGTTGTTCTTATCAAGGTCAAGAAGGACTTGGTCCAGAAGAAACAACAAAGCAGTATCCGTGGAGTGGTTTTTACGGAACCCTGATTGGAAGCGGTATAAAAGTGAATTTTCTGTTAAGTAGGTGTTCACAGCATTGAAGATGTGTCTTTCAAAGACTTTAGAAAGAATAGGCAAAATGCTAATAGGACGATAGTTTTGAATATCTTGCTTGTTTCCTTGATTCTTGAAAAGAGGTTTAACCTTTGCTATTTTCCATTGTGAGGGAAATGTACAAGTTTCAATACAGTGATTTATAATTTTAGCTATGGAGCATGATATTTCAGGAGCTGCAATCCTTAGAACTCTGGCACCAAGCCCATCGATTCCCGTGGCTTTGTGTGTAGGTATACTTAGAAGATAATCGTTAACCTCACTAGGAGTTATTTGCGGAATAAGATTTTCAATTTGACTGTTAGATTTGTCTGGTGGACCAGGAAGAGCATCATAATGAAGTACAGGTGTCGACTTTATGAGACGTTTATATACATCAACGAAGAAGCGGTTAAAGCGTTCAGCGATTGAATGGTCATCCTTTATCAAGTTGTTGTTTTCGTCAGCAATAGGGACGGAGTCGTCGTTATTCTTTGTATCTTTAGATAGGTCTTTAATTAAAGACCAAAGTTTCTTTGGACATTTTTGATTTTTACTGAACTGAGTTTTAAAGTACTGTTCCTTCGCATTTCTTAGTTTCCTCGTCACTTTGTTTTTAACCAGTTTAAAAGCAGACCAATCTTGCTTATTTTGTGTTCTCCTGGCCCTCTTTAGAAGATTATCGCGTTTATTTATTTCGTTGTATAGATCATTAGTGAACCATTTTGGCTGATTGATTTTCTTCACACTCTTGGACTTTAAAGGTGCGTGATTATCAAGAATGTCATTAAAGATTTTGTACCAAGATTCAACAATGTCATCGGCATCTCGAAAAACAAAGGAGATATCCCAAGGGGCTTCTCTTAGGTCTCGCAGAAAGCACTCTTTGTTGATTTTGTCGATATTTCTGTATTTGATTTTGGAATGTTGTTTACGTTGTGCATCCATGGTTTTGTAGCACCTCAAGATGGTGACCGGAAGGTGATCGGAAAGTCCAGATTTACCTATGGATACTTCTCTAATTCTAGCAGGATGACTAGAATAAATATGGTCTAAGCACGCATCAGAGGCAGGTCTTGTTACCCCATTTACCATCTGCGTTAGTCCAAGACTGTTCAGTGCCTTTGCGAGACAATGTTTTGAATAACAGTTGAAATCAATATAATCCAAATAAAAGTCTCCCAGAATAATCAATTCATTGTTTTGGAGATGGGCATTTTCAATATTTTTACCCAAGCTCTCATTATAATCTTTGTTGGCTGAAGGTGGACGGTAAACACCAGATATCAAAATCGGTCTCTTTGATTTATGAGGACAAATTTGAAGCCAGAGAGTTTCAAGATCATCCAGTTCCAAATCTCTTCGACGTAAAGCCATAACTTTCTCATTTACATACGCAAATATGCCGCCACCTTTCTTCCCGATTCGATCTTTTCTGTGTAATGTGTAGCCGGGTATCATGTAATAGCTGTCTGGAATTTTACTTGATCCGAACGTCTCAGTGAGAATTAAGACGTCGAGTTTAGCAGCACTGTTGTTGTTCGAGGTGAGCATTAGCGATAGTTCTTCCAATTTGGTGTCAGTCAGTCGTTGGATGTTCCAGTGGCAGACTGATAAACCTCTGAAGCCTGCAGGTGGTTGAAGATTATTAGGCCCTGGATTGACGGCAATATCGCCAGATAGAAGAATGCACAGACAAAATTGGCCAAGCTTGATGAACCGCAACAACGCGTGAAGCTTCAAATTCAATTCGCAAGGTGTGCATTTCGAAGGCTTTGACTTACAGTTGAACGTAGGTGGAGCAGATATTTCCTTCCCAATGAAGAGTGTAACTGTAGAGCGATCGAATTCAGGTGTAATTGAAGTAAATTGGCCAAGTAAAACGCTGAAAATAGTCAATAGAAGCACGACTGCAAAAATATGTCTGCACGCCATGACTAATTTATTCACCTCTCAATACAGTGGATAAGCGTTATCCACCCTTTGAACAACCAGAGCCAAGTGGCGAAAAAGTGCGAATCTGAATAATTTACACGGCATGCATCTCTCAGTGCTCTTCCGAGAAAAGGTTAATTTAAGAAACACGCAGCATGGATGTCAACATAACGGTCAGGTCGGTACTCACGGTGTGACTCCTCCTTTTAGAAAGACGTAGCCTCTGAAACAAACAAATGTAATGTTTACAATGTTCACTGCATCTCGTTTCTGGGCGTTCGGTATTTGACTCCTCGCTAGTCATATAACTATTTCCCAACAGTCACTTGTCTCCATAGCAGTCTTCTATTCAGGCTTTGTTTTACTCAATACTTTTAGACTAAAACGCAAGTGTCCTCTTTTCTTTCTTTTTAACACCTTATAATTGTGAGGTTGTCTGTTATTTGGAGCCGAAATTCACAGATAGCGCGTTTTTTTTTTGTTGTGTAAGCAGTTTCGTAAACTTAACCCTGTTTACTAGTGATAGAATTCTAACGAACTAGACTCAATCAAACTGTTTTATTCCACTCTCGTATTCGCTTCTGTACGACGGGTGTGTAAAAAGCTACTCTGCCAAATTTGTAAGAAATCACTCTCTTATAAGATATTCTCTACATTGTGATTGGTTGTTGGTAAGTACTGATTTAAAAGGTCATTCAAGGTTGCTTTGATCATGTAAACCGATCAATGTTCCAAAATCACTTAAGGCGGTGCTTCTACCTCTTGACATAATGTTCACACTCATCATCTGACATGTATCACGCACGAATCAAAGTCTCCGACAGCAGGACGCAGTTTTGTTAATAACATAGCCTTTAAAGATAAGTTCAATAGTTTATTTTAATGAAGCTTAAATCGTGGCGGTATTCATTCCTTCTCTATTAACAACTATTCACCCGAAGTGGAGGTGGTCAGTGGTGGATATCTACCGAGGCGCGAATAGTTGTCACGGTTTTTTTATGCTAAAACAGTGAGTTTTTTTCAATACAAAAAGATGATTTCACTTATTTATTCCTGCAACGATTACAACATTTCCGGGCGGAAATCCGGTGCGCGTTGCTCAGAGGTGAATAGCAAAGGATATTAGGAGTTTGAGTAGCCAATCGGAGCGCGCGTTCAACGCTATTTTCCGTTTTAGTATATACAAATTATTAATTATTCACCGAAGTGTAGGTGAATAGTACTTGCTATTCGCTTCCAAATTAGCCAATAAGCGCGCGCGATAAGCACTTCTCACCGAGTGGTATATTCCTTAGATAACCAAGCGAGGGTGGGGCGGAACTGGGTTCCAGTATCTTTGCGTGAGTAGATCTTATCCACAATGCAAAGCGCTGGTTCACTTGCTGCTCCTTACGTAAGTATTCAGCAAAGTTACCGAGATTAGGGACGGTCTGTGTTTGGGAAATCAGTTTAAAATTGGCTAGAGCTTAAAATAAGTGAATCTTTAGGGATCAGTCATGTCTACAGCTGATGTAGCTGAAAAGCCCTTAGTTGGAACGGTTGATATCGTCCTGTTGGCTTCATTCATCGGCGTTTTATTGTATTGGTTTTGTGGACGCAAAAAGAAAGCAGAGACTGCCGCTCTCACACAGAAGTTGGTCTTAGCGTAAGTTTTCCCGATTACCTTGAATTTGTTTTATTTAGGGTGCAGTGATATTCAAGTATAGATTCATTTTAACCTTTCATCTTGTGGCAGACAGGAATATGTGCAGTTTTGCTTGAGCTTAAGCCGGTTGCAATTTACATTTTGTGTTGTTGACATATGTCATTCTTTTTATTGGAGCACTCCTGGGAATATTTTAAAAACGTTTTGAGTTTACGAACTTCTGTTAATTACTAACGCGTCGTATGAATTTAGGAGTAGCAGTAGATGTAGGCTGGCACAAATTGCTGACAAAGCTAACTGCAATCGCACGTAAGACCTAATTATAGTGTTCCGTCTCCAAATTTCAAATTTCAGCAGCTTTTTCCTGTTTGTACAGGCCGACTACCAAGATTTCTCAAGATGATACAAGTTTTATTGGAAAAATGAAAAAATCTGTGAGTAAATATGCCATGATAGTGCTGTGTTGTGTTACTATAAATATTAATTTACTGTTGTGGAAATATGTATTAAATTCTGCTCGCTTTCTAGGGAAAATCATTAGCAATCTTCTATGGTTCGCAAACTGGGACAGCAGAAGAGTTTGCCGGCCGCTTATCAAAAGATGCTCAACGTTATGGATTAAAAGCTCTTGTCTTGGACCCTGAAGAGTGTGACATAGTAAGTTTAAAATAATATTTGAGAAACACGTTTTGGTGGGGTAACATTTTTGCAGAGCCACTTACTCCAATGATCTGATCGTTTATTCTCCCAGAACATTTCCTTGTAAATTAGTTACAAGAATATTTGGGTTAGATGGAGATAACAACTTCTACCTGATAAGTTTGAGTATTCTCATTACCTGTTTGCTGGATAATGTGTGGATATTATAGGGAGAAGTTACATGTAAATCACTTCTGGAATTTAAAGAGTAAAGAAATTCACACTTCCTGATATTTTCAATGATAAGTTCATTTTAAATGAATATGTTTGTTTCTATAGGAGGAACTTGCTCGCATGGGAGAAATAGAGAATTCAATGGCGATATTTGTTATGGCTACATATGGTGAAGGAGATCCTACAGATAATGCTCAGGAGTTCTATGAATGGTTACAGAATGACAGGGATGACCTGGATTGCCTTAGTTATGCAGTAAGCATCTGAAGGAGAACAATAATTGTCAAACACAATTGATAAGGATACCATGGGAACTATAGAATGTGACCATGATTAGAGGGTGTACATTTCAGGCTGTGTGTATTACAGTTGAACCTCGATTATCTGGACTTTTCCTCTGGCCCTAATTTTGTTATGAATATTTATTGGTCATGATCAAGATTCGTAGCCATATTCTTTTTAAAACTACAGTGTTGAAAAGTGAAGTAAAGGGAAGTTTGTTTTGCTTTCAAAAATAAAAAGCAGCCCTCGGTTCGATTGGCTTAGAGTTTCTTTGTTGTTAAGTGAGATTTCAAGCTCTATTAGCTCGTTTGGTATGTTATGCAAGATAAACAAGCTACACAGCATCACAAATGTTTGTTCCTCACTAATATTCATATTCTTGATTATCGGGTCACTTGATTATCAGGACTATTTGGTCTAGTCCCAATGAGTGCAGATAATGAGGTTCGACTGTATGCACCTGTTGATGGTTTGCCTCAGGATGAGGAGGGGGAGGGGAATTGACATTTTCAAGTTTTCAAAATCAGTTTTCTTACTCATAGGTATCCATTATATATTGAAATTCCATTCCTAGGGTCCAGAGAGATTGTATACCAATTTCAATAAACAAATTTTGTAGGGTAACTTCTAAGATGGCAAATGACTTCGATTTCCAGTTTCACCCAGCCTTCCAAGATGGCAGCCAGGTCAAATTCCTGACCCTGAGGTGGTACATAAATACCAAAATTCCTACTCAGGGGGCCCTCTTGGTCAATTTCGTGTGGGTGGCCAATCTCCCCATCCCCTCATATCTTGGGGCAAACCACTGATAGTTGCATTGATCAAGCTAATTATATAATAAAAACTGAAATAATGTATAAAATGAAAAGAGCAGACCTGCATGTTTTTGTTGGAAATGGGAGGATGGTTGATTTTTAGAGAAAAATCTCTCAGATTCCTCGTCAAGTCAAGGAACACTTAACAAATGGATCTTAAGAATGAATAAAAAGATGGGAGAGATGTTCTAGGTTAAGGAAAAGTTCTGCTAGTTAACTGTTACAAGTGGTTTTATTAGTACCATTAATCTAGCTAGTCTGTTCCTAATTATTTTTCTGAATATTAGGTCTTTGGCCTTGGTAATAAAACCTATGAACATTACAATGCAATGGGGAGATTTGTGGACAAACGGCTGGAAGAGATGGGGGCTGTAAGAGTATTTGAGAAGGGAGAGGGAGATGATGATGGAAAGTAAGTTCAAAAGAGAGCAGAAAGTTATCCTTGCATACAAATTTATACATGGGGGGTGCTAGTAAACTAGTTACTACTAATTGTATTCTGTTCTAGAACAAAAATAACAAATGGTCAGGCCCTGAGGCCTTTTGTCCCTTAGGTTAGCTAATAATGTTTTTGTTTTTTTCATATTTTCTAAGTCTGGAAGAAGACTTTGTACGATGGAGAGAAGCATTCTGGCCTGCAGTTTTAAGCAAATATAACATTGATGTCAGAGAAATCAAGAGGTACATTTCTACTAGAACAAATTTGTTTGTTATGTCTGTAATATTATACTTTTTTTGTTTTTTGAGATTTTTTTTTGGGTGACGCTTTTCAGTGTGAGGGTTATGAGATGTGCTCTCTGGTAGCAGTTGCACCTCATTGCCCAAGATGACTCATGACTCTGGGGGTAACCTTTTGATCCTTTGAAAAATTGAAAAACTGTCAAATATGTCTTAGGTACCAAGTACCACAAAATTGTCAAACTCCAGATATCTTTAATTGGGAGATGTTTGATTCAGCAGAAACAGCCCTGACCCCAAACCCCCTCTTAAAAATGGGAAAACGATATACTTTATCTGACATAACTTATGTGTGTAATTTATATTTTTCAGGAGACTATCTTCTTGCATTGATCGACAATTCAGACTTGAAGTTCTTAAGGATTTTCCAGAGGACAAAATTTATACTGGAGAAATGAATAAACTGAAATCGTACATCACTCAAAGACCGTAAGTGCAGACAGGAAATTGGTCATAATTTTGTTGCAGTCTGTTCTTAAATGATGAGCTTGATGTTAGAGTTTATGGCTCAAAGCTTATGGATAATCTGTTCTTGTTTTCAGGCCCTTTGATGCTAAGAACCCATTCATGGCTAAGGTTCTAGTGAATCGGGAACTGCACAAAGCTGGTGAACGATCCTGTATGCACATTGAACTTGATATCACTGGCTCCAAGATCAAGTATGTTTTCTATCATTAACCTGTACGTGCATTTTTTAAGATATGTGTTCCCCTTTTGCTCTTATACATGAAAGCCTATTGTTATAAATGACTAGTAGTTGCTATGGGATAAAGCAAAGGTATTCCTTCCGAACCCATATTGGCAGATCAATGAAGCCAACAGTCAGTATTAGGGTTAGAGTGGTCAGAAAGAGGCCATGAATGTGCAAACTCCTTCATAGAATGTGTTGCTCTCTTGCTCTCCTTGGCATGTTCTTAATTAGAATGTGTTATTCAACCAAGGTATGATGCGGGAGACCATGTCGCTGTTTATCCCATGAATGATCCAGAACTTGTGGAGAAACTAGGAAACCTCTTGAATGTGGATCTTGACGCAGTGGTTTCACTGAACAATACAGATGGTGAGAAGTTAATTAATATACAACTACTGAAATTCTATCAAAACTCCTTGTCACCTTTGCTTTCTTTGGTTCCCAGCATTGATCAACACAATTGAATTCAGTCAAAAGTTTGTTTTCCATGATAAAAAGTGACACTACTGCTTAAGTAGTACTTTTCAGTAATCCTTTGTACCCTAACATCAGAGTGGATATTCTCCTTAATGTTCTCCATACGTTCTTGAGGTGCTGACAAGGAGAATTTGTTTGACAATTAAGAGTGTCTTTCATTTGTGAAAATTTCCTTTGTTCTTGTGACCCTAATGTGTGAATCAGGGGTGATATTGTAAGGAGAAATTAGATGCTAGTCTCTGTTAAGGGTCAAGGGATGATCTTTGTGGCTCATGCGATCAAGCAAAGTACAGGGCATGAAATTAATTTTTTTTTTCTGAAAGCCACTTGGCTCCTAAATTCTTCAAAGTGGTAGCCAATTCAAAAAAATTTAGTCGCCACTTTCAAAGACAAACAAGACCTTTTTTACGCTGTCAGCGTTCTAGATAGACCCTCCAAAATTAAGTTAAGGAAAAGATCTTTCACGTGCTACAAGTGGACACTAGGATGGATGGTATACAACGTTCAAGCTCACCTTAATCCAAGATGGCGTCTAGTTATCGATCGAGATGCATGTGCTGCGTTTTGGAAACAAACTTAACGAGGAAGTTTGCCGCGGATTTATCTTTGCAAATCTTTTTAATTCACTATATCTCTTGGTAAAGTTATGATGAAACATTCTAGTCGCCAATTTGGCGGCTAATTTTCAGGTTGGTAGCCAAAGTGGAAAAATTTAGTCGCATTGGCGCCTGTATCGGGCGTGTTTCACGCCCTGAAGTAGGATTGAAAGTTAACTCCCGTAGTTTTTCTAGAAAGATAAAAATACTTTGATGAAGCAAAATTGTTGACTTTTTAAAACTCTCCTAGTGCTAAAATTGTTTTTTATTTATTCAAAGTGTTGCAGTGCTGGTAAATTTTATTTTTTATTTTCTATATCAAGTTTAAAGTTACATGTCTTGAGAATTCTCCCCTCTAGCTACTTCATGTTCCCTTGTAAATTAGTTACATGAATTTGGTGTTAGGTCAAGAAAATAACTTTTACCTGATAAGTTAGAGTATTCCTATTACCGGTAACTGTGTGATGGATGTTGTAAGATATATCAAAGGGAGAAATAAGATGTTAATCACCTCTAGGAGCTAAAGGATGAAGACACATGCCCTTGACTAACTAAGCAAATATCTTTGCCTATTCTAAAGATAAGTTATCATGTACTCATAGGCATGCTAAGAACTTGTCAGAAAGATTAATGACTGAGCACTCTTCCTTCAACCAACATATCTGATACTTGTAGTATCAGAGGAAGAACATTGAGGCCAACATCTTCATGGATCGTTTTTAGGCAGGAAAGTCTTATGATATCATAGCCTTTGAGATTTAATTTCAAGGGTTACGAATCATTGGATTATCAGTCTTAAGACACTGGGAAAGAGAATCATTTAAATAGTCTATTGTGGTCTAAGATTATCTTTTACCCCTGCTGGTATATCTTTACAAGCACAAATATTTTGATGGACATCTTTATGTGCAGTTGTGGATTGTAAGATGCAGCAATGTCATATCCTTTAAATTGATTTGAAGGCATATGAAATTGCTGCGCTTTACAGTCCTCTCTAAAATTGCAATTTTGTTACTTCTTGCTTGTTTGATATTATTTGTTTGCATTTATGACACCCCTGCTAGTATATCTTTACGAGCCCAACTATTTTGAATGATCTTTATGTGCAGTTGTGGGTTGTGAGATGCAGCAATGTCGTATCCTTTTAATTTATTTAAAGGCATACGAAATTGCTTCGCTTTACAACCCTCTCTAAAATCTCAATTTTGTTACTTCTTGCTGGTTTGATATTACTTGTTTGAATTTATGAGCAAAAAACTTCAGAGATTTCCTCCCCCTTTCCTCGATACTACTTGCAGCCTCCGTGTCAAATCCTCATTGCAGATAGCAAATGGATGGAGTATTGTAACAGATGGATTCCATGTTGCTGTGCATCTGTTCAGTAATAGATCTCAGATGATGTCAAATTGCATTAAGAACAAAAGAGTGGCATATGAAGCACAGCTGAGTGTGTCACTGGTGTTATTACAACATTTTCACATTTTCTGTGATCTGTTATGGTACAGACCCATGGCAAAATGGAATCTACTTGTTTTCCATGATAAAAAAGCAAGATGTTGTGGACCCTTTTTAACTCCCAAGATCCCATTAATAATTCTCCTTATTGTCAGCCATATAGTTCTTGTGATGTTATTTTGGAGAATTTGTTATTGGATCAACTAAGAATCCCCTATTTGTAATTAATATTTTTCTTTATTCTCATCACTTTTCTGCTTGATATTGTTTTGATTTTGTGAGGAGAAATTCTGTCTTGGTCACTCATAGGAGTTAAAGGGTTAATGGTAATGTCATTTATAGGTTATGGTAACATTATTTATACAAACAATAACCTTGCTGTTATTGTTATGTTTCATAGGACTTACCTAAAAAACATCCTTTTCCTTGCCCCATAACATATCACACTGCCCTGCTGCATGTCATTAATAGGTTAACGGCAACATCATTTATACTCATAGTAAACTTGCTGTAATTGTTTATGTTTCAGAGGACTCACCTAGGAAACATCCTTTTTCTTGCCCCACAACACATTTCCCTGCCCTGCTGCACATCATCTATAGGTTAATGATAACGTCATTTACACTCACAATAAACTTGCTGTGATTCTTATGTTTTCAGAGGACTCACCTAAGAAACATCCTTTTCCTTGCCCCACAACATATCGCACTGCCTTGCTGCACTATGTAGACATTGCCAGTGTAGTAAAGACTCACGTGTTGAGAGAACTAGCAGAATATGCCAAGGATTTTGAACACAAGGAGTTCCTCATGAACATTACTGATACAACAGAGGAGGCAAAGGTAGGTTTTCTTTTTTTTCGCACCTTGGAATGAATTGTAATCATCCCCTGATTACACCTTATACAAATTCTCCAGGCTGTTCCTTTTTACATTTCCTAAGGTACCGACAAAGGGAATTTGTTTAACAGTCAAGATCTTTTGTTGTTGGTGATCATTTTGTTTATTCTTGTGACCCTAATGTGTGATTCTGGGCTGATATTGTGAGGAGAAATTAGATGTTAGTCACTCTTGGGTAAAGAGTTACAAGGTTGTAAGGATTACTCATTCTCTATTTGACTGGGGTGTATCCTATACCTCCATTCATACAATAAAAAAATATTTTAGTGTTTGACTGGGAAATGTTAAACCTACTTGCATTCATTCAGCCTTTACTTATAGTGAATAAAGCTAAATAGAAATAGTTGATTGCTTGCAAAGGTTGAAAAGGTATTTGTAAAATTTTTATTTCTCAATAGAAACAATATCAAGATTGGGTTCTTACTCCACACCGGCATGTTGTAGCTGTCTTAGAAGATCTTTCCTCTCTCAAGCCACCTCTTGATCACTTGTTGGAGCTTTTACCTCGATTGCAGTGCCGTTACTACTCGATATCATCATCACCAAAGGTAAAATAACAAACATTTGCATTTGAAGTACTTATCATTAGTAGAGATTGTCTCTATTAAGTTGGTGGGCGTAATAGTATTTGCATTATGTTAATGTACAATTTTCATTGTATCGATGTTAAAGTTACTAGTATGTTTATGGGGGGGAAGGGGTTCGTTGACAGAGAATTGTAGTCATTTCGCACCTACCTTACATAACATGGCTTGGGCATGTACTTTCTGATATGTACCTTTTAAAAAAGTAATGCTTGCCAAATTGTATATAGTAGACATTTTTTTCAAGAATAACTTGCTATTGCAATTGAGGACTTGAGCTAACCTGCAAAGTTTGCATGTTAATTTTCTTGTAGATGTATCCCACCTCAATTCACATCACTGCTGTACTTGTAAGGTGGAACACATCCACTGGTCGAGTACAGAAAGGTGTTGCTACTAACTGGCTTGCCACCAAGAAGCCTCAGGGTAATGTAAATTAAACCATATTATCATTTAATGGATTAAAGTCTAGTTGTGAGAAACACTGAAAAGGTGTAGGAACGAAAAGAGTGTAAAAGTGCCCAAGCACTCTAACATGGTTGGTTATACTACCTAAGGGACTATCTTACCAAGTGTCAAAAGTCCATTATCAAGATCATCACAATTCCTTCAGTTATTGTATGAATTTTTTCTTCTAAGCCTTGGCTACTTCAGATCTTTTCCTGAACTAACTGATTTCCAGAATATGCCAAAAGTTAAAACCTTTCAAAAAAATTATTGGTGGAAAATTTCTGAGAAACATCTCTCTCCCCAAATCTGATACCATTTACTCTATGCTTACGCAAAAAATTTGTTATTTTGTTGCAGACCTGGAAAATGTTTGTGTACCTATCTTTGTTCGTAAAACACAGTTTCGTCTACCATTCAAATCAGTGACCCCTGTTGTCATGGTGGGCCCTGGAACTGGCTTTGCCCCTTTCAGAGGATTTATACAGGATAGGCATGTCCAGAAACAGAATGGTCAGTAACTTGTTGCTCTATGCTGGAAAGATTAACCCGTTACACCCTAACATCAGTATGCATATTCTCCATACTGTTCTCTATACATTTCTTAAGGTGCTGACAAGGAGAATTTGTTTAACAATCAAGAGCTTCTTTAGTTGGTGATCATTTTCTTTATTCTTGTGACCTTAATGAGTGATTCAGGGGTGATACAGCAAGGAGAAATTAGATGCTTATCACTCTCAGGGTATATAGGGTTAATGAACACCTACTATTAGGTCAGGGCTGTGGACTCTGGAGCAAGAGCTCTGGGTTCATGGGAGTGAAAGGGTTAGCCTGACCTTCTAAGACAATGGAGTAACTGTCTTCAGTTGATTATGATTTTGTTATGCATAGACTGCTAGTTTCCAGTTGGTTAGAAACAATCAACTTAATGTTCCCAAACATAAAGATTATATAATTTTGTTGTCTAGTGAGTTGCATCAGTCTTTTTGTCTGAGTGATGTGATATTGAAGAAATGTAAAATGGTTTCCGTGTTTACATAGCCTGATGTAAACATGCAGGAGGTTGGGAGAACACGAGATAAGTGTAGGAAACCACGACGCGAAGCGGTCTTTTATAAAATAACTAATGAAAGAGGAACAAAAACCATATTTACATATGCTCATGTAAAATGGTTTTATGGCCAATCAGAGCACGCATACTATTTGAATTATTTTATAAACAGCTGTACTTGCTACACTCTGTCATGACAACTGCAAGGTTAAAATCCATCTTTAACAGTTGCTTAATGGTTTATCTTGGGAACTATCACCAAAACAATTCAACTGATCATATTGAATGATTAGCCCTTTCACTCCCAAGATCTAATTGTTTATTTTCCTCTCCAGCTGCTACAAATATCCTTGTAAATTCGTTACAAGAATTTGATGTTGGACCGAGATAAATTCTTTTTGATTAGTTTGAGAATTCTCATTATCTGTTTGCTGCATAATGTATAGATATTATGGGAAGAAGTTACATGTTAATAACTTAAAATTGGAAGTTTAGGGGTTAATTAGATATGTCTGTCTTAAGACTATGTTAACTGAGGAAGTGGCAACCTTTTTTCTTCAGGAAAACAAATTGGTAACATGGAGTTGTTCTTTGGCTGCCGCAAAAAAAGTGAAGACTACATCTATGAGGATGAGCTGTCATCATATACACAAGATGGTACCATTTCAAAATTGCATGTGGCTTTTTCCAGAGATCAGGTAATTTCTTATTATGGTGCTGTCTATTGTCTTATGTCGATTAGGCTAATTTACCTTACACAAACTCATTAGAGGTATTTAAACTGCTACATCACAACGTCAGTATACATATTCTCTGTACTCTTCTCTATACATTTGCTAAGGTGCTGATAAGGAGAATTTGTTTTGTAAGCAGAGCCTCTTTAGTTGGTGATCATTTCCTTTATTCTTGTGACGTGATTGATTGATTCAAGGGTGATATTGTGAGGAGAAATTAGACAATAATCACTCTTAAGGGTCAAAAGGTCAAAGAACAAGACTGGTTGCTTATCCTCATATGCTGAGTGCAGCCAAGGAGAGCAGCTTGGTGTAATGTTTTTTTCACTTTGTTATATTTACAGGAGAAGAAGGTCTATGTTACCAATCAAATGACAGAGAATAAGGAGAATATTTGGAACATATTAAATAGTGGAGGCCACATCTACGTTTGTGGGTAAGGAACTTTTATTTGAGTGATATCACAGTTTGAGAAAAAGCAAATCAACTCAAAATGAAAAATCAGCAAATCAAAGTACTGTAATTCTAAGAAGTTGGACCTGATGTCAAAGCTTTTTTATATAAATAGACCACACAAATTTGGGAATCAGTTGGAGTTGGGTACAATTTTGAAAACAAAATGATTTTCCTCAACAAACTATGAATAACTGATGACAAGAGAAGATTTGATAAAAACTACCAAAGACAATCTATGGTAACTTTTCTCAGCTCAAGCTTGCATTGGTGAAATTACACTTACAAAGATTGGCCAATGAAAGGAGCATTTTAGGGTGTTGTTTCAAATTATATGTATAGTAATTTACAGATCTCTATTATTTGTTATTAGTTATTATTAGTATTTATATATTTCTATTATTATAAGTTATTACACAGGCATTTTGATTGGTTCTTACTCATGATCTATTGGAGGAAAGATGCATAGATAATCTCACCATTAAAAACAATTTTCTTTTTTCATCATATGAAACAAATAGAGTCAATGTTGCAGTGGCTCTGTTCAGTTTAACTAGTTTAACTATTCGACTTCTTTATTTTAGTGATGCTCGAAACATGGCACGTGATGTGCACAACATACTGCTGACAATCGTCAAGGAAAATGGTAGCATGTCTGAAAATGAGGCAGCTGATTATGTAAAGAAACTCAGTGCAAAGGGAAGATACTCGGTCGATGTTTGGAGCTAAATTGTAGATAACCAGCCATTCCTATTGCAACATGGAATGTATGACTATTTTTTCAACACAGAAGGATAAACATCATACGTGCTTCTTTTTTTTTTGTTTATTTTAAATATGGTTTTTTACGTAGATTTGAAACGATTAGGAAATTGTTTTGAGGAATTTTATTTACGTTACAAGAGCACTCTCTAAGTATGTTAGCCCTTCAACCCCTAAGAGTGACCAACATTCAGTCTCTCCTTGCAATATCATCCCTAAATTCAATGTGAAGGTCATAAGAATGAGGAAATGATCACCAAGTGAAAAAGCTTGTGATTGTTGAACACGTTCTCCTTGCTAGGCCCTTAGGAAATGTATAGGGAACAGTATGGAGAATATGCATACTGATGTTAGGGTGTGAAGGGTTAATCCAAATTATTCTTTAGTTAATTTAGATATGAGGCACATACAGGTTTGCACATACTTTTCAAGAATAATATATGAAATAAATAATATTTAAACCAGGTCCTGTGGATGTGTGACAAATTGATCTTATTCAAAGGTAAACTTCAATGAAAGAAATTATTGCTGTAAAAAGGAACTCAGGCTTTGCTGGGGCCAGAATTTGTGTAAGGCAGAATTTCCTTTTTGCAGTTTACCTGGAAGAATTGCAAAAGCTCATTTTAAAGAAATCTAAAGATCTTGATTCTTTTTGCTTTCATGCAATTTTTCTGATGAATACCTCTGAAGTCAAAATTTCACATCCAATTGAAATCTTGAGAAAACAATTCTCTTTTCTTAGAGCAAGAAGTGTTAACCCTCAGAAATTTTCCAATAGTATTTTTTACAAAAGAATTAGTTAGTCAGTTGCCTGTATTTATAAGGAGTAGAAGATGTTAGGACACATGCATGCTGGAAAGGACACATTTTTTTGCAGTTTGAAGGGCAGGAAAGTTCAAAGATATACAAATCAGAGCATGACTGGAGTTGAAGCATGTTTTTTGATCAAAAATTTTTAAGGTCCAAGAGAACTTTGAGTGTGAAAATTTTCCTAATGAGCATATTTTAAGATGATTTCTAAACTGGCTGAATCACTCTGCTCACAAGAAGTTTACATAAACTGTTTAGGGGCAATTTGTCACCTGAACTGTTGCAAAATTTCCAATTTGATGTTGAGTTAATGATTATATATATTTAATCTGTATCAAAATAAACAGTCCATGAGAGAGTGATGTAGTGAGGTAGTGATTTAGTGATACAGTTGTTAGGTAGCTAACTGAATAAACTGCATTCTCAGAAATTAGGGGATGAAGTCCCTTTGTACAAGAAATTCCAAACTCTTACTTGTACAACAGACCCAAAATTGCCCTTTGCACTTGCCCAAAACACCAGTGAATCAACACCCAGTTTGGCTACATTTATCCCATTTATACCTTTCAATCCCAAGATCTCAATTAGAAATTCTCCCTTCGAGTGTGATATACATTTTCCATGATTTTAGTTCAGAGAATTTGGCATCAGATCAAAAAGTAATCCCCTAGTTGATATTTCACTTCATTCTCATCACTTCTGTATGTGATATAGCATTGAAATTGTAGGGAGAAATTATGTCTTGATCACTAGGTGATGGGAAAGGGTCAACTCCTCTAAGCAACATCATCTTGTAAATAAATTGTAAGGTACAAAACAATAAAAATAATGACCCATTTTATTTGTAGATCTTGGCAATACTTCAAAACTAAAAGACAAATTTCTAAATTTTTCATGCATTTCAATAGATATCTGTCAATGGCAGATTATGACAGGAAGGTACTAAAATATAAATATATTTTGCTTATAGTTCAACATGATCTTGTTTTGGGCCACTAAATTCTTCATGGGAAATAACACCATCTTTATCCTTGTCTTCATTCTCAAATATTTCTGATACGATGGTTTCACGATGGGTATCATCTTCATTTGGGAATCCATCCTGTTCCTCTAGATACTTTTTTACTTCTTCTATGCTAAGTTCCTTGTTTTTATCTTTGTCAATCATGCTAAACACATTTGGGTAAGCCTCGGACTCTTTTTCTCCATCATTTTTTATTTCCTTTAGTTCAACATCGAAAAGCAGATTAGCCCCTGGAGGGATCACATCATCAACTCCTTCATTTCCATAGCCTGTGCAAAATTAAATATATTTAAATCAGTACATAAATCACATCTATGCCAGTTTGAATGATTAACAGGGTAATTTCTCTGATATGCGATGAACCCCTCCGGGTTCAATTTAGCTGGGTTCTACCGAACAGTTGGATGCAAAAAGTTGCAACTTTCAACCCCTCTAAACTTGAACAAAGCAAAAAGTAGAAGAATATTCTTCTGTTTGATGACAAAAGCTCCCCCCCCCCTCCACATCATATCAATTCTCCCCACTAATACATTCAAATACATTGCAGAGATGGGAGAATTACTCATAAAATCATGGAATGCGTGATACACAAAAGGACAGTAACAATGATGTCTCTGTAGCTTATGTGACTCGGTCGAAATATGATCTGCTAACTTGAAGAAATACACGTGGAAATTTCAACAAATCTGCTTTATTCTGATAATATCTGCTGATTGCTGTTTTCAAAATTTGTATTGAATGCTGGAAAGTAGATTGGTAATGGCTCTGTGCTCAGTCATCCCCATCTTGACAAATGTTTACAAAGATCGTAGAAGATGGTAGCGTATTTAAAAGCACTCGTGGACGTTTGCATAATTTATAACAAAGGCAGCTTTGTGCGTTCTAGAATTTTTTGAAATTTCTGTTAAGATATGTCATTCTAAGCACTGGAACATAATGCTGACAGGGATGTTTCCATAAAATCTTCCTTCTGATAAATTGCCAAGTTCTTTCGATATTTATGATCGGACATTATTTGCTAAATACCTATAGCGGTGGATACCAATCGCGTAAAAACTTACCCAGGTATGATGGAACCCTAAGTTTTCTTTTCTCCCCAACACACATATCCTGCAGTCCTTTCTCCCAGCCTTGGATTACCTGGCCTCTTCCCAAGATGAAATCAAAGGTTCGTTGGCGTTTGTGGCTGGAGTCAAACACTGACCCATCTTTCTCAAGGCGGCCTGTGTATTCCATCGCAAGATAGTCACCATCCTTTGTTTTACGCGTGCATTCCTCTGGTTTGTATACGACTTCGATTGTCACTCCGTTCTCTTCCCCACTGCACAGTGTGGAAACAAAAGCAAGCAACACCAGCAGGTTAATCCACTCCGTGAACCACATCATGAGGAAATACTGATCGACACTACCGCAAATAATTCGAAATTATTGTTCAACTTTGATTTTTATATGCTTCGGTCCCAGTTTCCCTAGTCATGACTTGGCCGGGTACATGGCCCCGGGATCAAACCTAACTATTTTAAGCGGGTGGATGTTTAAAATTAAGGCACCGCTGTGGTAGTCAGCGTTAGACGGGAGTATACTCAATTGGAGAACCTGTACAAAATTTTCAGACGCGGGAATTTTTCCCCTTATGTGCATTTATCTTTAAGTACGTTCGATTTTGCTTCCTGCAATTCCGTGGTACCTGTCATAATTTCCCACCTCAAAGAGGCAATTTTTGAAAACAAAAACAAGGTAAACGATAACAACAATGCAGTTGTCGAAGGCGGTATCGCTGTCACCAATAAGATTCAGTGGCGTATGTAGCTCGCACCAATCAGATTGCGCCAGGTATGCTGATGGCACCAATATGTAACGTCGGGTATGCTGCTTGTTCCAATCAAATTTCTCAGGGTATGTTGCTTTCACCAATCAGATTGCGCTGGGTATGCTCCTGACACCAATCATATCGCGCCGTGTATGCCACTCGCACCAATTAGATTGCGCTAAGTATGCTACTGGAACCAATCAGGTTGCGCCGTGTATGCTGCTCGCACCAATTAGATTGCGCAGGGTATGCTGTTAGTACCAATCAGATTGCTCCGGGTATGCTACTCGCACGATCAAACTGCGCAGATATTCTGCTCGCACCAATCAGGTTGCGCTGTGTATGCTGCTCACACCAATCAGATTGTGTAGGGTACGCTGTTAGTACCGATTAGATTGCGTCGGGCAAGTTACTCGTACCAATCAGATTGCTCCGGGTATGCTACTCGCACCGATCAAACTGCGCAGATATTCTGCTCGCACCAATAAGATTACGTAGTGTATGTTGCTCGCACTTGTCACATGCGCCGGATATGTAGCCCGTATCAATCCGATTGCACCGGGTAAGTTGCTCGCACCGATCAGATTACAAAAAAAAATTATGTCGCTCTCAGCATTGGGGCCTGTTGTAATTTGTAAAGTATAAAACAAATTGCTGCCAACGTTCAAAGATAACTTTTGTCTCCCGAGTATTAAATTGAAATGCAGTGATACCTGTTGGGTGACAACGCTACTTCACGATTAATGGCAGGGTTATTTATTTAGCCTTGTTGTTGCCCATTTTGGAGAAGGTTGAAAAAATCAGTAAGGTAATATTTACTTTCCGCATCAGCGGCCGCATTAAATACCCGTCTCTTTGCTTTTGGAAGTTTAAACAGTATTTTTCCAAAGTTGGTCACTCTAAATTAGGCTTTTCGCTAAAAGTGATCAATTTACAGCAAATGACCTAACCTTAACAGCATAATCTAGCCCTACTGGAAAAAATTCACATGGCCCAAAATGCTACTGTCAGTTTTCAACTCAATCCTCACGCGCTTTGACGTTTCCTACAATCAAATTAGCTTTTAGCGATCTTGGAAGTTACTCCATCACGCGTCAATTCCTTGTAAACAACCTGAATTTTATTACGTATTCCCTACGCAGAGGGCAAAGTCCAGAAAGGCAACAACCAATCATAAAGCCCACGTGGTTATTCCATGTAAAAGCCTTTGAGATATGATGCTTTGCCCTTCTTTGAAAGAACGGTGGAAGGCGTGGCACATTTGCAGGTTGTTTCTATCATGGTTCTACAAATAACAGAGTCGATAGGCCACGCAATACCTTCTGTCCGAGGTTATTTTCAAATAAATTTTCTCCCTCTTTTATTGTGAAGTAACGTGATTTTTGTTTTCTTTGGAATACTTTGAAAGCCAAAGCCCTTTTTCTTTTCCAAAAATGAAAACATCCGTTACACAGTAGGCCATTCCAACCCACCCATCCCAAAAAGGTTACAGGATCAATGTCAGTATCTGATCAACTGCGCACCTACTCCTCCCCCAACCAGTTCGCTGTTGTTGGGTTAGGGGAGGGGTAGGTGCTCAGTTGCAAATTACTCTTGCATATGTAGCATGCCTATGTTACGTTTAAAGTATTTAAGATTTAGAAGATACGGATTTCACGCGTTGAAAAACACAAAAGTATAGTAACATCTGTTATCATCCTTCAAAGACCTTTGCCGCTTCCGATTTCATTCTCTATTTTCCATTTCCCGATTTCAAGTGATAATAGAACTTTCTGATAATAGGGTAAACAATTTTATTTAGTCACAAATAACACACAGTCAAACGATTTCCACGATGCTTGGAAATCTTCGAGGAAGATAAAATACTTTTTTACATTTTTACAGTGCGTGATATTATTTTTTTTTCATGAAGATTTACATGGAATGCTTAACGACATGGGCCGCTTCCACCACAGTAGGGCCTGATCTTTTGATGCGGGGGTCAGTTACCGGTATGGCCAGCCTGTAAAAGAGAGCGGATTACTGCAATTTCAATGCTTTGTTAGAAATAGCCTGGAAATTTATTGGTTTTCCTCTGCCCTATGATTGGTCGAAGAAAATCGTACCACTCGTTCAACCGATCAGATGCAAAACTAAATCCAGCCGCGACTCATACCAGAGTTCTCATTGGCCGCTTGCCATATTTTCCTATCTCGTGATTGACCCTTGGGATTACTTTGGCCTAAGTCGAAAACATTCATCCAAAATACGTTTTCTTCCGTTTACTTTGGTATGATTTAATGCCACACACACTTACACATACACATAAAAAGCAAAAACAAAAACATACCTGACGTTGGTTTTGCTATTGACAATAAAAAGCGGGTTGTATTGACTAAGTATCTCGTCGTTCACGGAAATTCCTGAAAATGAAGACAAAACGCCCATATCAATACACGGTCCATGATCTATATATGTGAAAATAGGAATAGATTTCTAACTCTGTAAACTCGGTCCCTGAATAAAATATCAAGAGTTTACTCTCAATATTTTTACAAGATAGGATTGCGTGAGAACCAGCGTGTTCTCGACAACTCAGCATGTTGATACTTCTGGATCAAACGCAAAATTAGAGCTTTTTCAAAGACGAACACTCACCATCTAAGTACTGTTTGAGGACAGCCCTGAGTTGCTGATTTTCTTGGAGAAGGGTGTGCTTCTCTTTATCAAGAGCTAACTTATCAAGTAAAACCTAAAAATAACATGACTGATGATAAGTAACTGATACTGCAACAAATTCAACCTCTAATTTCAAACATTAGTACAATTTTCATTTGTATCCAAAACAATCTGAGATTGCATTGGTTGTAATTTTCTCCGCAGTTCCTGAAAATTCGTGCTATCTTCAACCAATCAGAAATAAAACTTCACCAATCTCGACTCGGTGTGCCGCGTTGTCCTGCGCTTCAAAGAAATTTTCAATTGAGTGTCAAAGGCAATCCGACATTGCATTGAGTTTGCTTTACTTCGCTCTGACTAGGTTCGAAAACTTGCGTCCGGGGCTTGCGTCACTAACTCCACCAATGAGATTCAAAACTAAGATTAATCAAGACCTGGTCGCCCGCGTTTTCCCGCGCTATAGGCAGTTTGGTTGTTTTAACTTTGAGTTCTCATTGGCTCTTTAAGGTATCTTCCTTTCTTCTGATTGGTTGTCGTTATTACTTTGGTTTTGGTTTGACGACACGTAATCGAAAAGCGCTCCATTATTCTCTCTTGCTATGATTCGCTGTGGGAATTGCTTTCGTTTTGGTTCACCGACACCTTATAAAAAAGCACTCTAGGTACTGCTTGACTTTTGATTCCAGCCGAGGGCCTTTTTTGGGCTGATCAATTTCTTACCTTGTTGTACCTCTTCCAAAAGTTCTCTAATGCAGAATACTCATGTAGAATCTGATAAAGAATCATTCAATATAGTTAGCACTTAAACAGAAGAGAGCCACTCATTTTAATTTTGCCGTTATTAAATGGGCACCGTCCAAATGCGATAAAACAACCGTGACACAATCCCCAGTGGCTCACGTGCCTCCGTTTTGTTCTCACCACGTTTTGACATTATCTAATATCTTGGACTGAAAAACACACGATAAATGTGAATCTAGTTATTAATAAGTAATCTAGATTTACATTGGTTTTGCTACACTCTGCTCTGTGATTGGTCTAAAAAAACTCGCGCGACCCTCTCAATCAATCAGACGCAAAATTTAAAAAAAAAACCCATCATGACTTGGTCACCCACGTTCTCCCGCGTTTGAGGAAGTGTGCCTGTATTTACGTTTGAGTTTGTTCTTCTGATTGGCCATTGTACAAGCCTAACTTTTTTTTTTAAACAACAATTGATCAATAGGACAGATGAACGTTCAAACTGCGTATTTTGTTACCTCGGCAAGTGGTTCAGAGGGTGCTTCCTGCATAGCAGCGGCCACGTCATCTTCCTCTTCTGGTAAAAGTGACGACACATAGAAAGGCAACACCTTCTCGGCCTCTGTTTCCAGTTTCCGGCACATTTCAGCCAGCTTTAGGATAAATTCACCCTAGAAACGTGGGAACTTTAATGTGTATTCTAAACAGTTAAATTTAAGAATCATCGGGTATTCGCCAGTTTTAATTAAATTTATACTACAAAAGAAAGATGGCGAAGGAAAGAAAGACGCTGTTTGAGTTGTCATGAGCTTGGGACGAGTTTCCATGAGGAGTCGAACCCAAGACTTTTAGATTCCACGCTCCGATACTCTGTCACTGAACTTAAGAGACGATTGAGTGACTTAAGTGATTACTAGTTTCATCTGTGACAAACATCAAGGATCACCGATATCGAAAGCATCGTATGAGCAAACAGAACTTGATATATGGCAAATTTGGAACTTACATGAGTAAAAAAGAAATACCAACTGCCAAGATCAGTAATGTCTCAAGACCCAAAAAGGGCTCTCAGCCCCCTTTCCCCCCCCCCCCCTCATAAAAAGGTAAGATATTTACCCTTTCTTTGGTCTTTGTAAGTTCTTTTATGGCTGCATTGCTTTGAAGTGTCAGCTGGGTCAAACGTGATCTACGGGAAAAACGGAACAAATTTAGAAGAACTCAATTACCAAGTTTTTTAGCCAAGCCTACATCGTGATCTGAATCTGGGTTTTTCACCCTACATTGTCTCTTTAACCCTTTGACCATTAAGAGTGATTAGCAACTAATTTCTCCTTATGATATCACCCTTGAATCAGACATCAAAGTCATGAGAATAAAGGAAATGATCACCAACTAAAAAAAATCTTGATTGATGACCAAATTCTCCTTGTCAGCACCTTAGGAAATGTATTGAGAACAGTATGGAGAATATGCATACTGATGTTAGGGTGTAGAGGGTTAAAATCAACCCATATCTAGGGCTCATATTGGTATCCCTGATGAAATTGGCCAGCTTTTGGGTGCTCATTTAAATCAAAGGTGAGTACGCCTGAAAGAAGGGCGGCAGAAGTGTAAGTTACAATTCCTTCCTTCTGCAATTCTCAGCCAAACTGCCAATTTCATAGTTGCATTCACATTTTTGATATCTTTATCTCGTGTATACTTGACTCCCTATTTATGTCAAGCACCACTCATAAATTATTATTGCACACACTGGAAAGAATACAAACCTTTCTGAATCCCTCATTTTGTTCATTTCTGCTTTGAGTTCATGGAACTGAGTAGCAACTACTTCTCTTTGCTTGGAAAAGATAAGAATTTTTACAAACTATTAATCCAAGGTTTAAATATAGATGTATAAGCTGCAAGACTTAAACCATGTTATCAAGTTGATCCTCATTGTAGAGCAGAGCAGTTTTTGAATATTTGGGCAAAAATGGAAAAAAAAGATAATTATTATCATGGTTTCAATCATGGTTTCGGTCTACAGCTGAAGTGCTCCTCTGTTTATGCAGCCACACTGACAAGTTATTCCCACAAATTAGGTGATAAAACAAGGTACCCAAGGCTCTTTTTTAGACTCACCTCTTTTATGAGTCTGTTCCTTTCATCGCATTCTTTAGCATTTGTTGCCATTTTACTTTTAAGCTGAGAAATGTTGTCCTGAAAGACAAATGTCAGTTTTGAAGTGTATAGTTTGTGGAAATGTGCAGATATTCAAGCATGAGGCCTTCAAATTTTTATGGCAAGATAATATATTATTAATCACCTGTATTCTTTGTAGTTTTCTCATTTGGGTTTCTATTTCATAAGAACTCTTCTCATCTTTAGCTTTGAGATTTTCAAAAGCCAATTTTCTCTCCTCTGTTGTTTCATTGTAATTCTTGAGTGCCTTTAAAACAAAAAGCTCACATAAGATCCAGGTACATACAATTTTCAATAAACATAATATGTCAACATCCATGTTTTTCTTTATTTTTTTTTTTGGTGCTAGTAAATGAGTATGCAAGGGGAAACAGAGAGTGTAAGTGCTCCAAATGGAGAGAAGCCACAGCTCTTTTAAAATTTGCTTGTTCTCTGTGATATTATTCAAGAGAAAAAACCTTTTGTGAACAGGTTACAGTCAAGAAAGTAGCAAAGAAAAACACTAACACACTTCAAACTGGTTACAAAATGGATATGACCAAGAAAGTTTTCTTTACATTTGTCAATCAATTGTACTTGAGGTAAGATGAAATAATTATAAACTTACCTGTTGAAATTGTCTCCATAAATCCTCCACTGTTCCTTCCAATTGTATTCTCAGAGCATGTTTCTCCTCCAGGTTCTAGCAAACCAAGACCAGAATAATTATTATACACTGCTTTTAGATTATTTCAAACAAAAGTAGCAATAGGGTATGCTTAATATTTTACCTACTAATACATGTATAGTGGTACTGACTGTGCACATCAGATCAAGGTAATCTGATTTATGCATTAAATGAAAAATATGTTAAGGTATGCCAACATGCAAATAGAAGTTAATTAATAGTACATGTAATGCATTACTTTGTTTTTTATTTCATCTCTAAGACTTTGAAAATCTTGCTTAGCCTCATTTTCCAGTTCATTCCACTCTTCCTCCATTGCAAACATGATGTCCTGAATGTCATGCATCTCCCTTCTCTGTTGGCTTATGATCTTCATTCTGAAGTATAACACATTGTTTACTTAATAAGTAGTATGTAGTAATAATGGTTGAGTGACTGAGTGGAGTCCAATTCATTCTGTAATCATACAAGTGATTAATAAAATTGGATGTCCTCTAAGTGGGCATCTGATTTGTTAATCGCAAGTATGATTAAAGACCAAATTGGATGACACAAAGTACAGTTACCAATAAATCATAACCACTGCAATTTCCAAATTTCCACAGATGAGAAAATATATCAGATGGAGACACTGTTGAAAGCAAAAACTCCTCCATTTTAGCAAATTCCTCAGTTTTGTAGGGTAAGTGGTTGTTGCTATGGTTATTGTAATCAATACTGTGGTTGGTGGATTAAGCTGAGTGGACCTAGTACATGTATGATTGGCTGACTTAAATGTCAAATTAAAGGGTTTAAGTACAGTCAACTATCCTATGACTCTATAGCACAATTAGTGAAAAATAAAGCAGCTAATGCACCAATCACATTTGAGGAAATTGAAATAGTTATGATTAAAACAAGTAAAAGACAGAGAATGAAATGGCTATAATAAAAATAGAGGTGTTAAATTGTATCTTGTGGGTCTAACAAACTTTTATCCAACCTTAAACTTGTGCTTTAAGTCTCAAAGATTTGATATACAGTCCATCTTATTTTTGGCACAACAAATCAGTTTAATTTCATGCTTTAGTTACAGTGTTGCATGCAAGTTAGGTGAAATTCTTATCAACAGTCATCATTTCTTAATTAACTCACCTTTCTGTATCAAATTCTTCTTTAAGGATCTCTTGCTCTTGATCATACTCAGATTGAGCTTCTTCTAACCTTCTCTGTTGCAAGTCTACACATGCAGAAAATTGATAACCAAATGTTAATTCAGTCTACAAATCTAAACAGGCAAATCAGTGCATTAGGCAAATCCCCCTCACAAAAGTATGTGAGCCCTTTTCAGATCAGTGGTGTCTTTAACCCAAAGCAATAGCCAATCAAAGTTGGGGAAAATATCACGAGGGGCCAATCAAAGCCTAAGGTAAAAACAAGCAAAATGCCTAATGCATGGGAAAATGCAAAATACTAAGTTATGATTGTTTTAGTTTTACATCTGATTGGTTGAGGAGTTGGCACAAATTTTCTGAACCAATCTGAGAGCAACGCACATGTTACCAAAACTAATGCAATCCTCGGTAGTAACTGGTAAAATTTACTGCCTGTAGCACCTCTTATTCCTGCAATCTCTTAAAAATTCAACAGGTAAAAGAATATTTCTCTACCTGTCTGAAAATTTCTTTAACCTCTCATGTTTAAAACACTAGTTACTTTTGAGATCTAATTGAAAATTATTCTATCAAATCTTACAGTTAACACATTACCTATAAGCCTATCAACATTTTGCAAGTGACTTCTGAGGGCCATCTGGTATTGTTCCTCAGCTTCTTCAATATCTTTTACTAAAGACTTGATTATTGCTTCCTTCCTATCTATCACTCGTTCAAAAGTCTGACTCAGAATCTCTATATCCTTTTTCAATTCCTGTGATTTGGCTGAAAAAGAAATGATAAAATGTAGACTTAACAAAATTGTCAAAATAAAGATGATTTAAATTGTACATTCTCAAAGTGACTTTTTTTATCTAGTATACATATACACCTGCTTAATAAAAGGAAATAACCAGTGATATCATTATAACTGATGAATAACTGTCACTTCATTAAAATGAATGGAATCTTAGTATGTTGCCAGGAGCATGACAAGAATTCCATCCTCCTACTGAGATGTTTTGCATCCTTAGTAAATATGCAACAAAATGAAATTTATGACCATATGACCAGTCCAGTCCTGCATGTTATCCAGTCTGCATAAAGCTGTCTTCTAGCTCTGCCCTTGTGGGGCTTCATTACAAAAAAAAACCCAACATTGAAACAAGAAAATAAGTTGTGCTTTTCATACAATTATGAGTTTCTTAACATGTCCTATTTAAATTGCAAAAATTTGTTGAAATCTTCAACAGAAAGTGGTCACATGATAAGATGCCTATAGACTGAGTTTGTTTAGGTGTGACAGGAAAATATATGTCTCTTGGTCATGTACTTGGTCTGTACATCATGACCTTGAACGAAATATTTTCCTTTCCATCCTTATCACTGGGTAGATAAGTACATATCAGAAATGTGCATTAGAAAGTTTTGACCCATCCTTGTTACTGCATTATTCTCAATCAATATTTTATTCCCTTAGATATCTTGATTAAGGTGTCATAATGACTAATACATACCCTCTCTCATGATAACTCTCCATTGGTTTTGTAGTTTGTTCAGATTGAATTTTGTGCTCTTTTCTTCTTTAATTAGTTTATCCTAGCATAACAACAAAAGAAACTCCACTATCAGACATTGTTCACAGTGCAGAACTGGTAAGGGAATATCAAACAAAGTGAACTACATGAAAATTAATTAAATGTAGGGGGGCTTAAGTTTCTGAGGAAACTGTGGTGCTGGATGATGGGGGGTTTTACGAGACAATTTGGCTTAAGAGTTTCTTAAGCTGACTTTTTAGCATTAAAACTTTACCAAAGCAAGTAGAGGAATTGCAGGCTGTTTGTGGTTAGGGTTATTTGATAGAAAACCTAATTATCTCTCAATTAAAAGTAAATTATTTCAATGTAGAAGTAATGGTTTTCAGGTTAGTCAAGACAAAGACTGTTGTCCGTGGCAGTGACTGACGTTTCCATAAAGGGGTCCTGTGAACTGATATACCAATCACAATGCAAGACTCAAAAGAACAAAGTGGAGATGAGGGGGAGGAGGAGAGGGGGAGAGAGGGAGAGGGAGAGGGAGAGGGGGGAAGCTATTTCATGAGAGGCAAGTAAACTGCTCGGAATCCTATTTATCATAAAGAGTAATATACAATTTAACTCAGTGATACACGCTCTGGAGCTGAGCGAAAGCGTGAGCAAATTATGTAAACTCCACTTAAGTTTTTAAAACTTCTTCAAAATATGTATTTGAAAGATCGGTACGGTTGGCAATTTGCAAGGTTGAAATTTGTAGCATTATCCAGTCTGTCATGATTAACTTTGCAACCGCTTCAAGTCGTTGCAAAATATGAGATCCTGGTAATATAACTGCCACTGAGTTTCGCGAACTTATGTAGAGGTTGAATAAAAAATACAAAGTACAATTTGTGCGATTTACCTTCAAAAATTGTGTCAACATGTCCTCCTTTTTCTTCTTCATTTCTTCTTCTGCCAATCTTTTCTGTTCCATGTATAGAAGCCTCTCTTCCTCAGTCATCTTTGCAAGTTTCTTTTTACCTGATTTCTTTTTCTTGGGAGGCATTTTTCCTCCGGAATATGTCGAAACAAGAAAAACGACACAAATCCTGACTCAAATGGCTGACCCCAAAAGAGTGATCATCGTTGCTTGGCGACGGGAAGGTACATCATATATGGTATCCTAGAGCATACTTAAAAATACAAAAACGAGCGCATCAGACCAATGTCTGGCAAAATAATTTTAAAAAAGTATGAACTGTACCATTAAGAAGAAAAGACGAGTTGGCATTGTAGGATATGGACATATAGGTAGGATAGTTAACATATACACTCGATTTTACCACCATTAGATCTTGACTAATGATTAAAACTTCAGCTAATTTCCAAGGTACCACGAGCTCTTTTTAGTAGTTTAGGCTGGAACGTCGTACACCCACGAAATTTGAACCAACAGGCTTCAATAGAAGTGACGCGAGGTCTTTCTTATACGACTCGTTTTGTAGTTTTTGCTTCTCATAAAGGATATCTCATCGTCACCAGATCATGATCAGTGACGCTTTAAAGTGCATTCTGCCTAACTGTGCACAGAAACTGCTAAGCTATATATGCAATATAACAATACCACGTGCAAGTCCTTTGAGAACAGTGTAGTGCTTTCAATGTCGAGTAATTGATTAACAGATCTACAATTTTTTCAATTTTTTTTCGGTAGGAAAATATTTAGTTGAGGAAATATTAAAGAGAGATGATCTTGAGCTCAGTTTTGTTTGGAACAGAACTTCTGAAGCTCTCCGGAACAAAATAGATGATCGTTACATTCTGGAAGATTTATCGTCCTTTGCAGAAAAGTATTCTTGCTAAAATTAAGTTTATATTGTTTGAAAAGAGATAATACTTAACTTATAAAAGTGAAAATACCTTTAAAGGATACCAGAATCTTGTTTTAACCCATTTACACCTAGAAGTGATTAACTTATAACTTCTCCCTCAAATATTTATACATTATACAGTAAACAGGTAATGAGAATACTCAAACGTATCAGGTAGAAGTTGTTATCTTGATCTAACACAAAGGGGCATAGCTTGAGGCTGAAGATTTTTCATTTCAGATATTTTTGATGGTCTAGCAGATTTTTCTAATCAAATACTTCTAATATTTCTATATAACATGCATCAGATCCTGGTACATATTTTGATTTAAAATAACTTTTTTTTTTATGGTGGTTGTACAGGACTCCAGATTTGATTGTTGAGGTTGCACATCCTTCAATAACAGTAGAGTTTGGTGAATCATTCCTTGATGTTGCTGATTACATGGTATGTAACTGATCTTTTTACATTGTTAAATTTTTATCATCTGTCACCTCGAAATATATATAGTTTTTTTGTCTCTTGCTAAATGCAGCTATATTTTGATGCCCTACCCTGCACCAGGAGCAGTTTTTAACTCTCTCTAATTGTTTTCTCAGCAAAAATGAAAGCCCAGCTATTTAAATGGTTTCACCCCTTTAAAATAACTAACATTTAATTTCTTCTTACAATATCATCCCTGAATAACATGTTAAGTATACAAAAAATAAAGGAATCGATCGAATAAATTGTGTGGATATATTTCTCTTTATAATCTACAATGTAACGCAAAGGAACTGGCCGAGGAATAAAGGCACTGTTGATTGCATGTGAAACAAAAGCATTAGCTGATAACATTTTGATATCAGGCATTAATTCATTTATCTTCTCATATTTATTTGCCCTCATTTGGCGTACTTTAGGTCTAGTGACATTTCTGACATATGCACGGATTTTGAAACATGGAATGAGAACAGTATAGAGACTATGCATACTGATGTTAGGTTGTAAAGAGTTAAGCAGAGAGAAATTTAGGGAAGTTAAACAGTCAACATTAGATATGTATTCTGTATAGAACAAAATTAGTATTAATATTTTCTCCTTAATTTTTCGGTAGGTGGGTTCTCCAACTGCTCTGGCAAACTTAGATGTTGAAAACCGTTTGAGGTGGAAGGCTTCTACAGGTAGCCATGGAATTTATATACCCAGTGGCGCTCTTTGGGGTGGTGCTGATATCAAGAAAATGGCAGATATAGGGACTCTAAAGGTTTGTGTCTACAAGATGTATTATTGTTTAGGATCTACAAAATATTTTTGCTTGCCCACAAAATAAATTGGGTGATATCTGAGGATACCACCAAAGTAACATTCCTCAATTTTCAAACCTCATGCCTACTACCATAAATCTTTGTTTAAAATTTAACTCAAGACAAGATAACATTTTATGGTTGTTACAAAGGAAGGGAAATTTGTTTGTTTATAAAGTCATACCAGAGAAAACTCAAAAGAAAAAATATCCACAGCAAACAGTAAGCTGTTCTTAAACATTTTTTGTGCATGTTGCAAAATATTTGAAGGATAAGAAACACAGTAGCCTCTATTTTGCACAAAAATATATAAAAAATAGCTGGTATTTGGTGCAGAAATATGCATGGATATTTGTTTGTGGACATTATCTGTTCCGAGATGAGGACAGTTTTGCAAGAGCAAAGCTCAAGGAAAACTGTGAACTTTGGAGTTATAAATACAGTTATTCATTTGTTATGATTACATTTATTAAGCATATATACTAGTAAATTTTAATTGCAATTTTAGGGACTGAAAGTAACAATGAAAAAGCATCCATCTGGTTTTAAATTGAATGAACCTCTAAAGTCAAGGAATGAGCAAGTGAACACAGAACCTGTTGTACTGTATGATGGTAGGTTTTAAATTTTTTTGTTTTATAAATTACCCAAAGAATAACCTCCGTCTAATTGTTATAGAAAATAATATAGCTCTAATTTTCTTTCAAATCAAAGCCATTATTTTTTTCACCCTGATTATATTCCAAGACCTTCCATGAACATTTCCTAAGGTGTATTGAGAAGTTAATTAATTCTTAATTTTGTGAGGGTGCTTTCCCTTATTAAAAAAGAATACTCCTGAAAGGCGTAAAAAAGCCAAATTTTTGTAGGTGGGCATGAAAAATTGGCAGCATGTGCGATCTTCATTATTAGCATTCTGGCACAAGTGTTTTTTTACCTGCAGGGAAGTATAAGGCCTTTAGAAATGTGAGCCAGCAAGAGTTCTTCAAGGGGTAAGCACTGATAATTAGTGTCAGACCCCATGGGAGCTTCTCCTCACTTGTCTCAGATCTTCCTGTGAGTGGTGAAACACACATCCTGCAGTACTATTAATGAAAGCCTGCTTGTAGGCTAGAGAAATTGGTTGCCAGGGGTGAACTTGTCTGAGCAAGGGGGATGGTAACAATTTGAATTTATCTTCATAATCACATCAGTATTTGTTTCAAATGTTCTGCCTGTTTTCCTGCAGGCCCTGTTCGGGAACTTTGTCCTTTAGCCCCAAACAATGTGAATACAATGGCAGCAGCAGCACTGGCAGCTCACAATCTGGGATTTGATAAGATGCAAGGATGTATTGTGGCTGATCCAAGGTAAGATGTAATCAGTTGTTTGTTGTAAGAGTGACAGATTAAATTCATTTTGCAAATTTTGTTTGCAAATTTGATTGAATACACTTTGCCTCTGTCCTAAATATTTAAGGCCTGAAAAGAGTTGCAGATTTTCCATCCAAAGGCAGCTTAACTTTGAAAATCATTGATTTAATATCTGACAAGTTCAATCTATTTGAATACCCTTTTCAAAAAATGCAACATACATTTGTTCTGAAATCTTTTGAGTGTTGCAATTATAATTCAATTAGTCTCAGGAATGCCTCTGTGGCAATAGAAGTTTAGTATTCCCAAGTCACAATTACTGGTTTTCTTTCTATAAGCACAGCTGTTTTTTTATTCTCTGACACTTTTTTTAAGAAAAACACTCTCTCAAAAGCAACATGCATGGCTGCACTCATGCAAAGTGACAATCAAAACTCAACTACATTTGGGCCCATTCTCAGAAACTATAAGCTCTTTGCTATGGAAACCAGGATAAACTGGGTAAGCAATGGGTAATCAAGAAAAATAAGTTAACTCTGTACTTGAGTTAAGTGGCTCACCCGATCAAAGTTTATTCCTCATTCTTTAGCATGAAACAACATGGAGTATCACTACTCCTCCCCCTAGATGATCGCAAGGTTACCCCCTTCCCCCCAAAAAAAGAAATTAACTATTCTTCCCTGACATTTTCCTGGTACCCATTTTTCTCCTGCTTGGAGAGAGACTCTTTGAGAGTAAGGTGTTTTGCCCAACTAGATAATCAGGAGTGCAAAGCTTATTAAGAAATCCTGTTTCCTGAAATCTCTTTTTTAATTATGATGTTCTATTACTTAGTCTAAATGCTCATATTGTGCAAGTTGATGTCCTTGGACCCGGTGATGAACAAAACCAGTTCACAGTCAAGACTGTGCGCCATAATCCAGCAGGATCTGGAGCCATCACTGGCAATGCAACATATGCATCATTTCTTTGTAGTATGCTGGGTAAGAACTTACACTTTTAAAGAGTTTGTGATATGGACAGCAGAACAGAAGGTATTAGGAGTGTAGAGGAATATTCTAGTACATTCCAGAATGTTCTGTTTTTTACATTGTAACTCTAAAGTCATGTCAAGCATATCAGTTTGTAAATAGGATTTGATTTAATCATTTAGAATGTTACCTTGCTTGCCAAAGACTAGCTCATTCTGATATTTTCAAAGAAAATTTTTCTTTTTTTTTTTCAGGAGCCCACAGTCAGGGACCTGGACTTCATCTATGTTGAATTAGCTTTCAAAAAATTTGTATTTTTAAGAATTTTTCTTTTTTGAAAAATGGATCCGAAATAAAAATGCCTTTTGGTCTGTACACATATCAGGAAGTGTTTGAGTGAGTGAATAGAGAGCTTAACTCTTTCACTCCCAAGATCTCATTAGTAATCCTCCTTGGTGTCTGCCATACAATTCCTATGATGTTAGTTGGGAGAATAAGAGTCCTTTGGGCTGGTTAAAGGAGAGTTATGTTCCAGGTACAGGGGTTTCAAAACAAGCCGGCAACTGCCAGAGTTCTACCAGCCCCTTGATAATAAGTTGCCAGTTTCACTGGTCAAAATAATTACCTTGTGGCCCTTAATCAACTTTTCAATTCACCTACTTTTGCAGAGTCTGATACCTTCTTCAAAACATTTTGGAGCTGCCAGAGTTCTACCAGCTCCTTGATAATAAGTTGCCAGTTTCACTGGTCAAAATAATTACCTTGTGGCCCTTAATCAACTTTTCAATTCACCTACTTTTGCAGAGTCTGATACCTTCTTCAAAACATTTTGAAACCCCTGCAGATTTTGTCTACTCAATATTTTTTGCTTGTGCACTATTGGCTCAAATATACCATGTGATTGGATATTGTCAATTATCCATTTACAAAAAAAGAGGCAAGACTCCAAACTCTGTAGAACTTGTTAAATGAGCCATAACATTTGTGGTGTCAATTGAGTACAGGACACCTGAGAAATGCGTACCGGAAGTAACTTTGGGCTCATTTCTACCCAGTGTGGGAAGAAGAATGGGCTCCCTGTGAACCCTTGGGCAACCCCTTAGCCCCAGTTGTTCGAAGATTGGATAACGCTATCCACTGGATAAAACTCTATCCGGTAGATAACGCCATACGTTTTGCTATCACTTATACGCCGGATAGCGGTTTATCCGTTGGATAGCATTATTACTGGTTACTCGGGCTTTTCGTGCCTGTTATCTATTATCGAAAGAATGCCCTGGGAACGAGGTTACACGAAATCCTGGGCGCAGGCGGAAACTTTTCAGGATGTCTTGAATAATTCATCGATAATATGAGTAAATTGGACATCTATGCAGGTGAGAGGTCTCGTCGCTGTAAACAGTAGTTAACTGGTTAAGTAAGGAATAACTACTTTGGGCTCAAAAATGGCGCGTGGTGATGACAAAGTTTCGAAAAATGTTGATAAACTCGGAGTCAACAGCTGTTGAACTGGCAGAGTTTCAAGTTATGGAGAAAGATAATTCACCCCCGAACCAAATAAGGGAATCAAAGTTTGTTTCGTCAATGATGTCACCAATCAGCTAATTATTTAAAATCGACCAATATTTCAAATCTGAGGTTGTAAAGCAAGAAGAAAAAGTCCAGAATCATTAGGGTTCCTCTCAAGAATTAGTTTGGCTTCGATAAGAATTTTTTCCTTCCTTTTGAAATTTCTTTATATTCAGCTACTGCCATACCTTTTTTAAAATAAATGTCTCCCTAAGTTCATTAGTTTGTAGTTCTCACAGTCTGCTAAACCGAAACAAAACAGTTTAATCTCTGAGAGTGTGTGTTGAGCTGGAAAATAAATCCTCTGCCAAAATGGCGACCAAAAATTGAAATTGAGTTTATGGAAACACAACTCCCATAGCAAGTAAAGGCATAATTCATATAGAAACTATGGAAAATGCCAAGTTAGTTCAATCCAGCTTATTAGCTTAAATTTGGTAATATTTGCATACTTTTGGCTTTGGCATACACCCTCAGCCATACAAATGTGTGAAATTTTTTTCAAATTTTAAATAAAATTTTGTGTGGCTTGAATGATACCAGACTGGAATAGAGATGTTCTTTTACTGAGGTCACTATGGAGTTTTTTGGGGGCTAATTTGACCCATTTAACAAGGTTATTAAGACAACCATCTAGCTCACTGCTGAGATTTGACAATTGATAAGGTAAGGTATGAAGCCAATGAAAAAGTATTCAATACATTGTATCATTATAGCTTTAACTATGACTTAAAAGGTTCAGTGACAGTTGCTCAGAATAAAAGAGGAAAGTGATTGTAAAAGCAGGGATAAGAAAAATTATAGGGGAACAATTTTAATCCTTTTTAACATGTTTTTTTATTTCATTTTCTTATCTGATCAACAGATGCTGTAGCATGGTATGTAACATTTTGTTTATAATGTTAAATTCCTTTTAACAAAGTTCTCCAAGTAAACCTTCATAAGCAATCTATAACCTTACCTTTGTTAGGCTGGGAGAAGTAGGCATAAAGGTATTTCTAAAAAAACAAGAGCCACTGTCCAGTGATGTTAATTAACAACTACGTGAAGTCTACAACTGACCCAAGTAGCCTAATAATTAGGCTACTTGGGTCTGTGGATGCTTTGTCTAGTTTCAACAGCATTAACTTTTTGCACCCTAAGATCAGTATGCATATTCTTCATACTGTTCTCTGTACATCTGAAATGGTATTGACAAGGAAGTTGTGTAGAACAGTCAAGAGTTTCTTGAGTAGGTGATCATCTTCTGTATTCTCACAACCTTACTGTTTGATTCAGTGGTGGTCATGTATAGAGAGATTAGATGCCAGTCACTCCCAGGGGTTATATTAAGAGTCAAATACCTGCGTGGTAGACTTACTGGCTCACCGATTGGCATGATGGATGGAGCTCATTGTGGTTTGGGATCTAAACCTGATAGGGCCATTCTGTTTCGTTCTTCAGCCAGTCACTGTTCTCTCACAGTGCCTTTCTCTACCCAGGAGTATCAATGGATACTTCTCACCTGTCATGGAAATATGACAGAGTATTTTGTCTCTAACCATTTGTATTCCTGAAAGGAAAGAAGAACTGTGTGACTAATATATCTTTCTCAAGACTAGGGAACCTCTTGACCCAATGTAGAGTGAGCTGACTTATAGACATGCTCATCCTTTAGATAACATGTTAGACTCCAAGATTTTTACTATTAAATTTTTTTTCTTCTTTGTAGGTTAGAGGGAGCTGTTTTTGAAAGTCAGAAAATGGGTCATGTTAATCTTGATGCATTAATAAGTGACTGTAAGAATGCATCCCAGTGTGTTCAGATGCTTTTACCGATAGAGGAGGATTCACTTATACGGGTAATAAGTACTGCAGTTTAATTTCCTTCAGCTAGTAAAACAAAGTGCGACAGTAAATGGTGCGATATACTGGCTGAGGAGTGGAAAAATTAGGGAGGCTTGGGTCAGGTCATGCAACATCACATCTACACGACCCAACCCAATCTTTCCTTGTTTTTGTTCTGTTTCTACTTCTGGGACATTCACTGTTTTGTTTTGTTTTTTAATTGAATGCCTGTAACAGGCTACTGTTCCTTATTTGGAATTTATTTCACTGATTTTTTTGAGCCTTTTTTTTTGCAACAAATTTGAAAAATGGCATGTAGTTTTATGACCATGCAATTAAGCTAGCTTCAAACCTTAATCGTTATAATTTTGACCCTTAGAATGCCCTTGATGAAATTTCTATCTCACTGGAAAGTTATCTTGAGATTCTTCACAAGAAAAAGAGGCTGCTTGACTATGGATACACATCAGACTCAGGTATTCTTCATAACTTAAACACTAACCCCTTTCACCTTTAACTCCAAAGAGTGACTAGCCTCAAACTTTTCCAAACAGTTTCACTGCTGAATCAGACATTAAGGTCAAGAGAATACAGAAAATGATCACTAGACAAAAGGCTCTTAATGATAAAACACATTCTCCTTGTTCTCCTGATGTTATGGTGTAGATGGTTAAGAAGGCTAACATTCCCAGGCTTCAGCTCTGAAGACTGATGTCAAACTGTATGAGGCATTTCTCATGTTTTCACAGATACAAAACCACAATAAATCAACATCTATTCATAATGCCCAGTTTACAAGATCTGTAAAATGCCTTAACAATCCCTTGTAAAAACCCATCAGTTTTATCACTCGTATGATGAAAGGAAGTGGTTTCCCTGACAAAGGTTTCCTCATCTGCCTCTCAGCTACCCTTGCTGTGCCATTTTTATTTTTTCTTACACATTTTGAGATCATTTATGATATTTTACTAGACACACCCACAGCAATGTGGTATCTGTTTGTCAATTGTTTTTACCCTCTAGAAATGAATCCAGTAAAAAGTGAAAATAATGATTGTAGAAGGTGAGTTAATTGTTATTAATTAATTATTAATTAATTAACTAATTATTAATTATTAATTAATTAAGTTGTTATTATTAGAAACAGGCCAATTGTATTACCCTGTTTCTTACTTTTATCTTACAATCCCAAAAACTCAAATGACAGCCCTGGTGCCTTAACCCTTGAGCCCATAATCATTGGTTAAATTTTAATCTTGTTTTAGAGTGATTTAATCATGGGTTAGCACTAATCGGCTTTCAAACAACCGGAGCCTGATTGTTAATTCTCCTTTCTAGCTACTATGCATTTCCTTGTAAATTAGTTATGGGAATTTGGTGTTAGATCAAGAAGACAACTTCTGCCTGATAAGTTCCAGTATTCTCATTACCTGTTTGCTGGATAATGTATGGATATAATAGAGAGAAGTTAATCACTTTCATCTCTCATAGGCTAAAAATTGCAATTCAAAACACAATTGTTTCCCATGGTCTTATTAAATTCTGTGATGTTGTTGGCCTTAATGATGCTAAGCAAGCACTGAAAGAAGCTGTTGTTACACCACTACAATTTCCACACTTCTTTACAGGTAAGAACTTACTTATTTAAATGTCTCAGATATGTAAATTACACAATAAATCTAGGGCAAACTAGAAACATAAGGAATGGTTAGTGAATATTGCTATTTTTGGGTTAACCATTTGACATGGTGGCCATAAATATATGCATATTGATGTTAGGGTGTAAAGAGTTAAAATGTTTTGAAATTGTGACGTTTTGTAGGGGGTCGACAGCCATGGAGGCGAATACTGCTGTATGGACCACCAGGAACAGGTACTCCGGTTTAATCTACGTCACTACTAGTCCATCGTTTGCCACCAATAGACCAAAAATAATATCTATTCTAAGGAGACAAAAGATAAAAAAAAATGTGATAACATTCCACACCAATAACCTTGATTTACGTGCTGGCTCTCTAAGATTATGAGCACTTTTCAACTGAGAGTCGAAAGTAATCTGCAATTACATTGGTGTTCTTTGGAGCAATTTTCCATTGAGTGTCGAAAGTTATCCGATATGGATTGGTTTCGATTTACTCCGCTCTGTGATTGGTCCCGTCAACCAATCAGATGCAAAACTAAAACCAATTACATCTTGGTCACCCGCGTTTTCCCGCGCTTTTTACTTGGAGTTTTCATTGGTTCTTTAAGGGTATTTTCCTTTCTTATGATTGGCCGCCGTTGTGACAACTTTGGTTTGGTTTTGAAAAGTGCTCTACTTCACGTCTTAGTTGGTCCGGGAAAATTGCACCACTCTCTCGACCAGTCAGATGCAAAACTGAAAAAAATTGCAATTTGTTCTCACGTATTTTCCCGCGCTTCAGGCGGTGTGCTTGGTTTTTCTTTGAGATCTCCTTTGCACTATCTCGCGTGACTAGCCAATGTCCTCATACTTAAGGCTTGGTTTAACTTGATTAAGTCGAAAAGCGCTAGGGCCTGAGTACAACCATTAAAAAAAGTTGCATTAGTTTTAAGATTTGTTTGAAGTCCATGTCACGTTTTCGCTAAAATAGGTAGTCATTGCAGTTTATTCATACATCGTCATAACTGAGATTTACTGCTTCTGTTTTTGTTTAACAGGTAAAACAAGGCTTGCGCAGGCTGTGGCTTCAGAGATCAACTCTGTATTTTACAGTGTGTCCAGTTCTGATCTAGTGTCCAGTTGGGTCGGAGAGAGTGAAAAGTACGTACAGCATATGTTGCTATTTGGATGGATGCAATGTTCTCCTAAACCCCATAACTCCCGTGAGTGACCAAGGCAGAATTTCTCCTTACAATGTTTTCTTGTGTTTTTTTGTTTGTTTTTTTTGTAAGGCTTATCAAGGAGCTATTCCAAAATGCAAGAGGCCAACAGGTTCAATCAGTAAGTATAAAACTTGTTTTTGTAGCGCGAGTCAGTACAAGGAATCTGCTTCTAAACTTGTGCGACCTTCTTCATACTATTCAAGCCGATGGAATCTCAGTCCTGAAGTAGAGAGTTTTCAGATTTTCTGTAAGCTTCGTTTTTAACTGAGTCTTATCTACGAACGGAGGTGAATCAAAGATTATATTTTTTAAGCGAAGTTTAAACTTGATAAAAAAAAAACTAAGACCAATTTAGGCTCAGTTAGGTGTATTTTAAGTTGCACAGGTGAAGTCCTTATTAAATTTTTCTTACTAATATCAATTACTGCTCTGAACCACTTGTGTGTTCCTTGGACTTTTTAACGAACGTATTGAACCATATTTGCAAAACAGAAATATTACCGAGTTTTCCATTGGAAAAAACTGATCAGGGATGCCATTCACACGCCGAAAGCGCGGATTTCTCTCATGGTTTCTGCATCTTTAACTCCGCTATTATTGGCTAATTTGTTCCCTTTCAAATCAAAGTAGAACTGTTCGATGCGGCACTCATTTTTGTTCACATCAAAAGCCTTTTCAAGTATTTGCTATACTCTCTTTATATTTTCCAGGTAATTTTTATAGACGAAATTGATAGCATCTGTAGGAAACGAAATTCGCGGGAAGAAGAGTACACTCGAAGAATTAAGACTGAGTTATTAAAACAGGTCGGTAGATTTTGGAAACAGATCTTCGTGTATTTAGGTTACTTATCTACTAATCAGCTGCTGACATGTCACTTACCTTTCGAACCACTCTGTTGACTTTTCTTGTCAGTAAAGGCCTATAGTGTTTATATAATAAACAGAGTAACACATTATAGCCATGGAAATTCTCTTCCCAGTCGTGTTCAGCTCAATATCTGCGAGCTCGTTCGCTGTGCTCAGTTATCGGGTTGAACACTCGAAGAGAAATTTTATATCTATGCGCGACCCAAGTGTTCTTCTATATTTATTTCTAAATTCTGTTTTTTTTTTCTTATTTCTATTAAAGATGGAAGAGGCTGATAACCCTGCGTCAATGAACCATTTCATCTTGCTCTGTGCTACCAACTGTCCCTGGGAACTAGACTCCGCCTTCCTAAGAAGATTCCAGAAAAGAATTTACATTCCATTACCAGATAAGTAAGATTTAGGTTATTCTGAAACGAAGCACTCAAAAGCAGAGACTTGATCAAGAAGCATTCTAATTTATAAGGAACCAAGTACTCGAACTCGCGGAAAGCGATGAACCACGAGGTCGAAAACGAAATACCCGTAACTCAATCGAAAACGGAGAACCCCGAGCTCGTAAAAGAATTACCCGAAATCGATCAAAAGCGAAGCCGAACCACGAGGTATGAAGTACCCCGAAGTCGGTCGAAAACGAAGAGCCACGAGCTCGAAAGCGAAACTTTCTAAAGACATCTTCTAACTCCAAAAAAAAAAAAAAACGATCGTATCCCGAACAGAACGGGAATATAACTAACCACTGCTTTTGGATTTTTTTTTTGTGTGTGTGTGTATGTCTGGGTCGGAAATGCATCAATTTGGCTGTACGAAATACCTCTAAATTGATAAAAAATTGCCATGTTTGATAGACTGTCAAAATTCGCAAATAATAAGATGTAACTTTTTGTCGAATTTACGGACCTCATAATTTCATTATTTTATTAATTGTGACTCTTAACTGCCCGTGGACGAGGTTACTTGCGATAGTCACTGATGTATGATAAAAAGAATGATCTGAGAAATGTATTTGTCTCTATTTGTCTACGAGCATTTTACATTTCATAATTTTTAATGAATTAAATTTCAATTTCTAAAGGCCAGCGGTATTTTTATTTCATAGAGCTGCACGCATCGCGTTAATGAAAATACACTTGGGAGTCACTCCTTCATCACTCACTGCGGAAGATTGGTACCTACTTGGTGACAGGACAGAGGGCTTCTCAGGTAGCGACTTGTCAAACTGCACCTCAGATGCCATGTTTGAGCCGTTACGTGAACTTGAAAACACCTCTCGCTGGAAGATGAACAAAGGTAAAATGCAGGAGATTGTATTCTATAGTGAGAGCCCTTTGAGGTTGAAATCAAAGTAAACACAACTGCTAATGAGAGGAACGGAAAACATTGGTCCAGAAGATTCGCACCATTTTCCAACCAATCAGATTTAAAATTAAAACCACGACTTGGTCACCTGCGTTTTCCCGCGCTTCAGGCAGTTTGCGCGTTGCTAATCTGAGTTCTCATTGGCCGCTCTTGACCTTTCTTGTCGTCTTATTGGCTTTTATGATTTCTTTGGTTTTGGCACCTAATAAAAAAACGCTCGAACTATGTTACTGAAACATGGGACAAGTGGAAGGCAAGAAGGTGGCCCTAAACCATATGATTCCAAACCTAGTAGTGCCGTTTGATTACATTGATTTGTATTTGATCTATTTGATCTATTTTTGTAATTGATCTATTTGTTGTCTTACGTGGTCTTTAGTTGACACCTCTCCTTCTATCAGATTTGTTTTATGTGCCGTGCTCTGAAATTGAAGAAGACGTCATACATTCATCCATGAGGGATCTTCCATCTCAAAAAGTATGTTTTATGTCCTTTTTTATCATTCAGAAGTTGCCTTAAACCTTTTACTTTACCTGTGTCTTTAAAAATAACGTTGAGGGTATTAAGTCCTGTAACTTAAACCCTTTTATACCCCAAGATCTGATTGTCAATTCTCCCCTATAGCTGCTACAGATTTCCTTGTATATTAGTTACGAGAATTTGGTGTTGGATCAGTCTTGATCTCTTCATTGAAGATTAATTGATGAAGTTGTTTTCTCTATCACTTCCATCTAGATTCAACCTCGTTCTGTGAGACTTGATGATTTCTTGAAAGTGTTGTCGCACAATACAAGCACAGTTGCCGAAGAAGACTTAAAAAAATTTGAAAAGTTTACCATAAATCTTGGACAGAGGGGATAAACCGTTACTGGAGAAATCTCATGCTAGTACTGCAATAAACAAAGTACAAAACTGAACTGAACTGAACTGACCACCCAGTTAACGCTAATTTCCGAATTAACTTCGAAAGTCAGATTGCCGATTGGGTTTGCCTTACCACGCTCCATAATTTGTCGAGGAAACTTGCGCCATCGTTTGAAACAAAACTTGAAGAGCTAAACTAAAACCAATATTGTCTGTTCACATTTCTACCTATAAAGAAGTCTGCTTGTTCTTACGATGAGTTGTTTTTGGCTCCCTTTGATTTTTCCCTTTGTTCTGATTAACCATTGATTTGTTTTTGGTTTTTTATAACACCCAATCGATTAGCGCATCAGAATGTTGCGCAAATAATTCGGGTGTCGCCTTGTCGTCGTTCATGGAACAGTTATTGCGAGATGATGTGTTACAACTGCTTCACATCGTTTTATTTTTTTTTCAATATTTTCCTCAAATATTATATTGTACTGTATTCAGAAAACTATGTGTTACAGTTAGACACTAAGTCAATTCTGGTCACTTATAGCAAAGCGAACTGAGTTTTCGGGAAAATCTCAAACTTAGGCCATGTCGTGTTGGATATTGGGCCGTTTGCTATCACAATTCGTTTTACTCACTGAATGACCAGACCTGGAACAGACTAAAGCCGGCACACAAACCTTTTTCGAACAAAAGAGACCTTCTGACCTGAAGAACTGACCCCTTTCGCGCTGTTCTGGGCGGTAGGTGGGCGGCGCCGTTTAAATAGGCGCAGAAATGACCTGGGTGCTAGGCTGGCGTTACAATGGAAAGCAAAACAAAGAACTTTCTGCAGGTTGCGTTCGACTTCGCAAGCGGTAGAAAGTGAAACATTCGGTGTCTTGCTTTCGTACAGAACAATTTAAAGGTTAGTGAAGATTGGTGAGATACATCCTATTACAACGGTTCGTATACCCCTCTATGGTCAACTATTTTAACACTTCAATTTTGTTGATCGAATTTGTTTACCTCAGCTAAATATTATGCCTGTGAGCTTGATCTCCCTTGTGTTAGTCGGTGCAAGACACTCCTTTCACTTAAGAGTTTTCTACAAGTCTGTTAAAAGTTAAAAATGCAGTCGTAACTGTGGATTTTTTAGTTAATCTTCGGTCGGTGTGCAGCTTTGAAACATAAAGATACTCGAGAATGTTTCCTAAATGGGACTAAGCCTTTCCTAAACTGCAGGCCTTGCAAATTTTGAGACATGCATAATATTTCAGTTACTCAAACCTTCCCTCTTACTTTGAAAGCAAGTGATTCAGGTAATTCGCCTGCTTTTACGAGGTAACGTTCTTGGATAAATTAGTTTGTAAGCCGATAACACATGTATTTACAAAGGTAACCTAATCTCGTGCGAAGCAGAATTTGAAGTTCTTTGTTCGAAGGGCCTGTGCAGGCCCAACTTTCGTCATGTAAAGGTTTGAAATTGAAATGACTTGCTTACCAAGTTGCGAAATGTCTCCGACCCATTTAGTCAGCTTGTCAGTTCTCGGTAATCTGTCAGCAGAGTTAAAATAACAGTGGTTGCTTTTAATGTAAATAGAGATGGAAAAATGTACGAGAATGAATGAAGTTTCCTTGTTTCTTAAACTTTAGACTGAGCCATGAGTAGTGGACGCGGACGTACTGCCCCTCATGATGAGGAGAGTATTTATCGTATTCCACCATATTATTACATTCATGTTTTGGATCAGAACACGAATGTCACCAAGGTGGAAGTTGGTCCGAAAACCTTCATCCGTCAAGATAATGAAAAGGTAAGTGCGAGTGAATCTTTCAGTTGGACAAGTATAGGATAATTTAATGTGAATTTTCTCTGACAGGTGGACGAGTGGATCTAGTTTAAAATTAAATTAACGTCAGTCTGCAGTTAAGATTTTATTTTGCAAAACAGCTGCTAAAACAGAAACACTTTGACATAAACATTGGCAAGATTTGCGCACAGTTCCATGCTTCATTATGCATACAGTTCTGTTATAAAGGAAACAATGGTGAAAACAATAAATTGCCTTTGGAACTAGGGCTTTGTTTTAGAATAGTATGTATATGTTATACAGTAATAATTCTGATTTATTTTCTGTTCCATTCACACAGGTTATTCTTGGTCCAGAAAGAATGATTACAATTCCTCCTCGGCATTACTCTGTTGTGGAAAATCCAGTTCTTAGGGATAAGGATGGGCGTGTCGTTATAGATTCCAATGGACAGATCAAACTGGGTCATGCCGATCAGGTAACATAGCGGTTTTACATAGTGCTGTTAATTCAACGTAAAACCAATTTTTGAAAGGGAATTATTCCTTTAACTCCCAGAAGTGATTAACACGTAACTTCTCCCAATAATATTCATAAATTATACAGCAAACAGGTGACAAGAATACTCAAACTTATCTGGTAGAAGTTGTTATCTCGATCTAACACCAAATTCTAATAAATAAGTTATTAGGAAATGATTAGCAACAAGAGGAGAGCATCAAAAATCAGACTTTGGAGTTGAAAGGTTAAGGGAGGAATGCAAAATCTGATGTTATTATAAGGCAAACAGTAGAATTTAAGATTAATATTGGTCAATGAGTGTATTTCTTGCATTCACTGTGGTGAGAATATTCAAGCTTGTCTGAAAGGTTGTTAATGTTTCATTTATTAGAAGAATGCTCAATTAACCTTGCTTTTAGAAGGATATGTCAGCCATATGGTCTACATAAAAATGCTTATTTAAGACAATACTGTTATGTTCTGAATGTTATGTGTAAATTAAGACAAGTATGGACTTTGTTTGAAGAAAAAATAAACACACAGCATTTTGATACTTTAAACAAGCATTTTAGAAAATATCAAAATACAGCTTTCTTTGCTTGGTCTTGGATGTAAGGTTGTAACAAGTTGATAACAGACCCGTACTCCAGAAAAAATAACCAATCAGTGGTTGTTCATAGCAAATATTCCAGAAGACTGGAGGTTTGAAAAAAAAACCTGAGAATTAAATTTTGGACAGCGGAAGAGGGAAGGGAAATAGGGAAAAGAAAATAGGGAAGGGAGGAGAGGAGTGATCAAAACTAAGGACCCTGTGGTGGATGATGAATTATACAATTTGTCATGTATTTTAGGATATTCGTCTTGCTCAAGACCCATTCCCTTTGTATCCTGGTGAAGTTTTGAAGCAAGGTGTTACTGGTCTAAGGGTGGTTATGGCTAACTCTGCCATACGACTCCGTGCAATGCTGGACTATGAGTCTGAATCAGGAGAGAAGAGAGTGGCTGGGGATGAGTGGTTGTTTGAAGGGCCAGGTAATACTCATGCTGATTCATATCTTATTGAGAGGAAATAGTATGATTTATACTGGTAAGCTAAGTGTACATTGATATAAAACCCTTGCTGAGAGGGTCTTTACCCTTTAACCCTCAGTATTGATTAGCTTGTAACTTCTTCTTGTGATACCAATATATTGTCTTGCTAACAAGTTATGAGAAGAGACAAGCTTATCAGCTAGTGGATGTTATGTTCACTTGATATAATATACATTCCCCTGTCTAATTACAAGAAACTCTGTGACAGTAAGAAGGAGGAAATACTAGTTGGATCTAAATGAGAACTAACAGGTTAATCTATCAAGCAAGGGTCTCAAGAGAGCCATTCTTTTTTAATTATAATATGATAATTATTTAGTTTTAATTTTTAGGTTATACTTATATGTTTCTGAACATTTTGCTGTCTAACTTTTCCTGTAATAGGGGGGTATCCTTCAAGAGAATTGTGAACTTGAAACTGAGAACATGGTGAATCATATATGATATCAGCTACTAGTAGATAGCTTGCTGAATTAGTTTCATGCTTTTCTACTCAACTGTAGTAGTGATCTTTGGGGAAATTCATTGCATTGAAGTAGATATAGCATATAGAAATAAGTAATTCTTAATTAATCAGTATAATCTTATCACATTTTAAAAACAATTACAAATATTTTCTACAGGTACATATATACCAAAGAAAGAGGTTGAAGTGGTAGAAAACATCCTTGCCACCATCATCCAGCCAAACCAAGCCATCAGACTGAGGGCAAGAAAGGAAACTAAAGTAAGGACTTTAAAGACAGGATTTTTTAAATTTATCGTGTATAGGAATAATAATATTTGGTACATGTGCATGCAAGGACCAAACTGAACTAGAGACAGATTGGTGGTTCTGTTTGAAACATCCAGATTCTTAATTTGTTACCTTTTATCAAAGGAAGTGAGACTTAATCCAGAATAAAGGGGATAAGTGTCACAGGAAACTGTGGTTCTACATCAGTAGGAGAATACAACAAGGTAATTCATTATTATCAACTGAGTTGATCACTAAATTGGCTAGTGTTAACCCTCTGTCAGAATGAAAGATGAAGGGCTAATGCTTGAAACAACATACAGCTTTAAAACTCATTATGGTGGTCAGTTTACAGAATGAACACAGTTGATAATACTAAATTACCTTAAAAGTAAAGGATCTGTTTTGAGGTAAATTTGCAACCTCATCTTACTTCTTCTTTTTCTCATTATTTGAAAATTAATCTTCAAACAGGATCGTGATGATAACTTGCGTGTTGCTGGGGAAGAGTGGCTTGTTAAAAAGATTGGTGCTTATCTTCCTGGTGCTTATGAGGAAGTGGTTGATGTTGTAAATGCCTATGTATTGACTGAGAAGGTGGGTGCAAGAATGTATTAAAAACATATCATATTTGATTGACAAAGAAAGATAGATATATAGTGCAGAGGACAGCTACTTCATGGAATTTGATTGGGTAGGAACTAGATGCTATTGAAGAAATGTAAAATGGTTTCCGTGTTTACATAGCCTGATGTAAACACGCGGGAGGTTGGGAGAACACGAGATAAGCGTATCTTATCTTGTATCTTATCAAGTGTTCTCCCAACCTCCTGCATGTTTACATCAGGCTATGTAAACACGGAAACCATTTTACATTTCTT